GAACAACACCTACATGGGTTTTTGATTCTGTGGAGTCTTCATTTTCACATTTTTAGGTCCTTCACTTTCATTAATCCCTCTTTTAGTTTACTCATCATCCTCAGTTCTTATTTCATTCACACACCATTAAAGTCATTTTACTACACGAGATTTCTAAACAAAATAGTATTGTCTTTGTAACTTGGGCCAATTATTATGCTGTTAAGTGATGCTGCATGACTGAAATCTTTGTTCTTTCAGGTTTTAAATATTCACACTCTCTGTAGTTGTTTAATTATCACTGGTTAAAGAGGGATTTGTGTATGTTTTTAAAAAAGAAAGCCTCCATATGACCCAGATATTTCCATATTAAGCTCGTCATGAGTTGGGCAGATCAGGGTCAGTGTGAAAAATAAAACCCTCATCTGGTGGGTTTATGTGGACATTCATATGCCGTGTGGATATTAGGAGGATTTAGCCTTCACAGTGTGATAAAGCAGCTGTTGAGCCTCTGAGAGATGAAAACAACACGAGGATGTGAGCTCTCCGCAACAATAACAGATTATTTTAGGGTGGTGATTCCTGACACAGGGGCTGACATAGATCTGAAGAATCTGTGGGTGGCAAAATATTTTAAGCTTGAAAGAAGCTAAACTGGTTTGTTTTCCCCAAATCTGTGTATTTTAGCTGTTAAGAAAAATATAAATTGGTCCAAATTCAGATCTTTTTAAGCCCTTTTAAAATCCTCACACTTTGAATTTACTTCGAACAAATGTTATTGTTCGTTCCAGTTGCCAGGGTGGCTCTGAAGGTCAATGGCAAAAATATTTCATATAAAAATAACACGGGTAAATATAGCCAGGTAAACTGCTTATGGTTACCTGAAACCCATCATCCTTCTCGCCCACTACGCTTAGCCCAAAAAGGTGCCCGGTGCTTCCAGCACATCAGGCTCAAAATTCATGAGCCTGACACTTTTCTTCTGTTGTCCCTAAATGGTGGAATAAATTACCAACTCTATTCGATCCACTGAGTCCCTCTCTACTTTCAAAAGACAGCGAAAGACCCAGCTCCTTATAAAACACTATTCACTTGGCTGGACCATTCTCCACTGTTGTCTCCAGTGGTTGAATGAGTCTACAGTTACAGTTAACTTGCACTGTCCTGCTCTATGGGAATTTATGTTCAGCCCTTAAATGACCCAGCACTCAGTACCTTGGTGACTTTGTTGTGATGACAAATTAATTGATTGTGATAAAGAAAGGTCCTAAATTGATTAATTGCTTCATTGTTGATGTTCCTTGTTCATTTAAAAAAAATGTTTTTAAATGTCTTTACCATAGACTGTATATACTATGGACAACTTGGTTCCGCCTCTCGTCTGTATACAGATATAAAGCCAAATAGCTCTCGGTATTTCCAGGATTTTTATTCATTTCGTGAAACCAGCATTGCGCAGTAGCATTGTGCGCATTCGGCAGGAGAGTCGCTGTGATGACGCTCGGCTCAAACAGCGTGTCCCCTGGGTGAGCTACGCAATCCCTGAACGCCATTAGGCTGTATCAGGTGTCAATCATAGAAAACATGAACCCAGGACTTGAGCACAAACCAGTCTTACTGTAACTACATGTCAACATCACAAGCAGGGGGGAGACAAATTTATATTCTGTGTAATAAATTTCTAAAGTTTGTACACAGCCCCATAAGTTTTGCTGGCAGAGGCGGGATTTATGACCTATACTGCAGCCCGTCACCAGAGGGCGCTGTTCTCGGAGTGGCTTCATCCAGCAAGGAGGCAGACGCTGTCCATATCCTATATACAGTCTATGGTCTTTACTCACTGTTGTGCATTGCCTTGACACTGTGTGGCAGCACCTGTGTCTAGATAGACTTGTAGTTATTACTAATCTTGTTTCCTCTGACTGAAAATAGTGTTTTTCAACATGTATTTGCATTTCCAAAATACTGGTATTTTTTAAATTTGTTTTAAAAAATATGATGTTTTCCAAAGTTAACTTGCATTTTTTTTTATCTATATTTTTTTTCAATTTGTAGATTTTTTTATATTTTCTCGAGAAAAAGATGTGCTTTTAGACATTTTTTGTTTTGTGTTCATATGATATATTTTTGTATTTGTGAGAATTTTTTTTTTTTTGCATTTTACTAAATATTTTCGTGTTCTGTGGAATATTGTTTTTTTTTTTGGCGTCTCGGCCTTGCCATTGACCTTCAAGGCCACCGTCGCTTCTAGTTGGAATGCAGCAATATTTTTATTTTCCAAACAACATGTTGGCATACTGAGTGTTTATTTGGGTCAAGATTGCAACAAACGAGCAGTCGTTATGATGGTGCTCCATTTTCCAGATGGTTTGGTATGAATGACCAAGTGTCTTGTGAATGCAAACCAAACCACATGAAAGTGCAACAACCACAGCCTCACAAAACCAGCGATGACAGAGTTGTTTCAAGACTGAGACAGCCAAAGGTTCTGCATTTTGGTTTGATTTGAGGCACAGTGCTTATGTGCTTAGCGTGACATTGCATTCACCTTCTTTCCTGAATATATTTTGCAGCATATATTACATTTCTTTTCATACCATCTTTAGCTTTGGAAAAATGTAGCCACATTTTTTCACCACTTCTTCTTCATGCAGTTTCATGTAAGCTGCCAATTCAAACTTTACGGGAAAAAATTGATGAATTATACTTTACTCAAAGTAAAATGTACTTCCTTGGACTGGTGAGTATCAAGAGCAGACTTGAGATGCCCAAACAATTGATTTTTAGGTTTTGAAAAATGCAGAATTAGGTTTGTAATGAAACCTGGCCTCGATCCCCATCCCTCGTCAAATTAGATATTTTATTGTCAGTAAGCCCAGAGTAAAACAAAGACTGCACCAAAATCCTCACAAAGCAAGAGTTACTGACAGGAGCTTTAACCTATAGTTTTGTTTTGAATGCTGCTGTGAGGGACCTTTGGTTTAAAGTGATTTTGGCACCCCCTGTTGACATCCTGCTTTCTTGTAACAGTAAAATGTACCTCTCACAGCGAGAATTTGCCTTGGGAAATGTAAAATAAGCAGTTTTCTTGGCTTCTGTCATTTGTCCAGTCTGCAGTTACCTAACAGCTGTAACAGGCCTTTAAAAATATATAAAGAAACTTTTAATTCTACTGCTCATGCTCCTGTTCACTTTTGCAGATCTTTGAAAAGTATCACTGTTATTTGGATTTATTTCACAACCCATTAAAACTTCTTCACAGTGGCTTTAAGTTATATTTTAAAAGTGCAGATGTTAAGTTGTGTTTTTTTATTAAGTAAGTTGCGTCACACCTGCCCCTGGTCTCCCCCTCACCCAACAAGTGGAGCAGTGTTTGTTCAAGAGATATCATGACGTGGTCGCTTGAACTTCCTGGAAAAGTGTTTACCTTCACGGTGACCTCAGGCCACTCTGAGTGAAACTAAACATTCACACGAATGAAGTCATCACACTCTTGTCAACATGTCTCTTTCCTGTCTAAACCAACTTTACTTCTGTATTCTCACAGATGTTTTTTTTTATCACTTTTAAGTTACAAAATTAGACACAAGTTGTTATAAATCCTAAATAATCCTTCATGAAACTGAAGTAACTCTTCCGTTTGACCTTAAAAGTATGTTTTATCACCATTCCTCACTTCATTCTGTCAGTATTACTAACCTTTGCTTCATCATTTATTCCCTCTTTCTTCGTCTTTGTGACTCATGCTGCTTTAATATTCATCCCACAAGAAAGAAATTAGGATGATGACGATGACTTGGATCTAAACTGTAACCACAAGCATGTAAAAACCCGAGCAACGAGAACAACCTGATCAGCATCGCCGCTACCACTGAGTTTCAGGGTGTTGTTTCAGCCTCAGGTCATATGGCTGCCTCGAATGATGATGACGATGACAGTAAATGTGGTGATGAAGAGTCCTCGGGCTATAAACACCTGCTGGTGTGTATTATTCAATAGTAGCAGCAGCAGCGGTGGTGGTGGTGTATGGCCCCAGCTGGATTGCGTAACTCTTTTATTAAACCCTCTCTGGATAGGTGTCAGGTCATGTTGGGAAGGAAGGATGTGATTCAGAATTCTGTCATAATCCACGGGAAGTGGTCCGGCCCTGGAAACTGCTCCTCTGAGTGTGTGTGTGTGTGTGTGTGTGTTACTCTGTAAGCATGAGATTAACAGAGGCAGGCCAGACTGGCACTGGCTTGTACCAACCTCCTATAACCGGATTGACCCTAAGATTTGTGGCCTTACATAGACTGGCTGAGCCCTTTATTTGCAAATTAGATACCTCTTAAGTGAAAAACAAAGAGAACAAGACAACTGAGTGCAATTTCAACGTGTTTATTACAAATATCTACACCTTTTTCTCTTTCATACAAGTAAAAAAGCAGCTTTGAATGTGAGGTAATATTATTTTCACATGTTAACTTAAAACAAAAACAACATTTAAGTGACGAAAACGTTGAAAAGTAGATAACAGGGCTCACAACACCACGTGGTCAGCCTGTTTTTCAAAGCACCATGTGAACTCAGTATACAGGACAGCCCCTAAGCAGTAGTATGGATTGATCAAAGTCCACAGCAGCAGTTGAATGTGTGTAAATGTGTGCGCATGATTGTGGCAGCCACAACCGTCCTTCCTCTTTCAGTGTCTGAGTCCAATATCCCCCCACACACACAGGCAGGAAATTCCCTGAAGTCCAGTTTCTGTCTGTGTGTTCATGTATGTGTGTGTGTGTGTGTCTGTGGTCAGCCACTTCACTTCTTCTTCTGACTCACATCACTCTCTGCTGATTCACACATATACACACTTTGAGTCAGCAGCAGTCACTTGTTTGGACTCATTTTAACTGAAGGTGAATCACCAGGAAACTAAAAGCAACTCAGTTAGTTCCCCTTCTGGTTCTTCCTCAAACTTTCCGGGCACATTTTGCTCCCTTTGACCTGGTCTCCTCTTTCTCCTTCTTTGCTGGGGCTTTAAGGTCTCAGGTCGACCGGACAGCTCGCACCATGGCTCCGGTAATCCCTTTGTCCTGGGACTGGCCGATGTAGGTCAGCTCCTCGGCGCGTAAAGGGATCCAATCGCCCTTGTAGGTTAATGAGGAGTCGAGAATCACTCTGCTCCAAAGTCCCATTGGAGGCTATTTTCTCCCTCCATCTGTTCAGCAGGCAGGTATAACCCGATTTAGAGACAAAGCGGTCAGGGAGTCCCCTGCCCCGGCGCGACAGCTGCTTAGCGGGGCCGCATACCTCTCTTCCCCGGGCTCCAACCTCGCCCTCTTGCTGGGGAGGAAGTCAGGCGCCGCCGACGCCTTACCCCGGCGTTTCCTGGACTGCCTCGTCGGGCTCAGGTTCTCTTTGTCCTCTGTGGTTTCACACTCCTCCTCAGCGCTGTCCGGCTCCTCTGGGAGCTTCTCAGAGGACACCAGTGCCGGCTGGGGCTCAGGCAGGCCGGCTTGTTGTTGTTCGTCCTCAGCGCCGGAGCTTGTCTCCATCGGCTCTTCCGGAGTTGGCCCCTCGCTCTCCCGGGAGGAGTGATAGATGTCCCGGGCAGACCTCATAACCAGGGAGAGCAAGAGGCTCCGGTGGAGTCTCAGTCCGCCTCTCTGAGTCCTGGAAGCGTACAATTTACTTATCGACACCGCCAGGATCCGTCTGGCTTCGGCGTTGACTTCCATTGCGTCTGTGGCACTCATTGTTCAGTTATTTTATGCGTAATTACGCACGACTATTTTGACACTGTCCCCAAAGAAGAGGTTCTTCTGTCCCGAGTTAGACTTAAGTTAGTAGTTAGTTATCTGTCTCTGCTCGGGATTTCGATGTTCTTCAGTTATTGTACTCTGAGAAATGAGAGGCTGAGGGGAGCAGGGTGGCGTTTTATTTCCCCTTTGACGTAACGTGGACTTCATTCCTTAGTGAGCGACAAACAGGCGCCGCCCACACCTGCTGTATAGACACTCTCTCTCACACGCACACACAAACACACACACATACACACACCATCTGTTCCGTCTACCGTTTTTTTCTCACAGTTTAGCTCTCTTCTAATTTGGGTTTCGAGTTTCTGCTTCAAGACATCTTGTGCCGCTCCTGCAATCCATTTTTTTTCAGTTTAACATATGTGGCTTTCACACACAAATACCATGAAAGACGTTTCAGTCAAAGTTATTAGGCTACAACATAAATCAACACTTATATCGAGATTATCACCATTAAAAAAAAAGATGAAATAAATATATTTATATCACATTTTATTCGCAGACTAAAAAGGTTTTGCAAAAAGTAGCAAATGCTCCAATAAATCGACATTTTAGTGCACAAGTTAATATTATAAATAAGCACCTTTACCTTTATATTAAGATGGGGGGCAGTTGTTGCTCTTTAGCTTATAAATTACAGCCTACTTCAAAAAGTATATCATTTCTCTTTTATGATGTGGTGGTAAACTTGTAGTATGGTGTGAATATAGTGTAGCTTTTTGAATGTGACTCCCTTAAAGCAAGGTTAAATACAAATGTAATGAAGATGTAAGGGGTTATTTCCGACATATTTTAGCCTGTCTGAAATGAGGAAGTTTGACGAAGTTACGGTGACATGTTTGAGGAAGTGTTTTATTTATTTACGGGATTCAGTATCAAGAGAGGGAAATACACTCCGGAAATAAGGGATTTGAATCGATATTGGAGTCACTGTTTACATTCTGGTTTTACAAAACTCCAGCCAGCGGCATTTCGAAGAATTTACGTGGGAGAAGGAAACGTGTCTCCAGTTTCTCGGGAGTTTTCTGCTCTCACGCTGACATACATACATACGCGCTACGTCACTCACTCGCATTCTCGGCTTCCATATATGGCTTTTCCGGTAGTAAAGCCCCGTGGGGACGCGCACAGTGGAAGAGCCATGACGCGAACGCGCAACCGCAGCCACCCCCCCCCACTTCCCCTTGCTTCCTTCCTTCCTCTCTCTCTCTCTCTCTCTCAATTCCCCCGTCCTCGCTCTGCTGTGTACCCGAGCATAGAGGCGATGACGACACCTCAGCGCCATATAAGGACTTGCTGCCGGTGTGAATTAGGTTACTAGGCAGCAGTCTGGGGTCAAACGGCAGGCAGCTGCCAGTCGCGAGCGCCGGTATAACGCTTTAAAGGACCGTTGGAAATATGATATCCTCATTTTGACGGTGCAAAGCTGAAATCAAACACCTTTTTATTTTTATTATTATTATTATTTACTTTTATTGCACTTAAAACATTGCTATGTTTTTTTTTTCAAAGTGCAACAATAAAAAAATAAAAATAAACAAAAAAAATTCGGAATGTTTTTTTCAGACTCAAATCATTTATAGATTTATTGTTTTTAGTTTAGATTGATAATTTACAAATTGCTCCATCAAAAACACAACAAAAACAAACGAACAAAAAACAAAGTATGCCACATGAGCTTTTTATTTTATCTATCTATTTGTTTATTTATTCTAATTTATGTTGCTCGGTGATGCAAATTTCCCCCTTGCAGCAAAACATGCCATATGATTTTACGCATTTTGTTAATCATTCATTAATTCATTTATAAACTGAAGTATTTATTTAACATGATTGGTTACATGTTACACATGTTTCTCGACACAGCAAGCATAAAGATTGACATTTGGAGGTAAGGGATGTCTTAGATGTTTTTATCCCTGTTGGCCAAATTTTATGCAACATTAAAGTCAAGAATTACAGACAAATGTTTCCATTTTTCCTAAGCTCTGAACCTTCTTTGTGCGAATACAAAACAAAGCCATAAAACTGTGTGGAAATAACAACCACAGAGGTCATAAATCAGATAAATTGCATGATCAAAAGCCAATAAAGTTATGCCGTCATCTTCAGAAATGCTTTTACAACCACATGACCCTCTGGCTGACATACAAGTATCACCCAGCGTTACATAACTGCTTAGTCAGGGAGCAAATTAAACTTGTTATCTGTAACATTAGCAGTTACCACCCTGAGCTGTCAGATGCTGTAAAAACTTGCGAGCTGTAACCATGGAAACCTCTTCCATCGCTACTCTCCTTTCTGCGTGACGTGTGCACGGCATCCCAAACACTAACACTGTAATGGATACCAAATGTGTTGATCAGAGATGACTACAAATGTGACGATGATTGTTGAGAAATAACCGATATCCGGTTAAATCAATATTTCCATGTCCGGGCTGCAGATGCATTACGGTGAGAGAACACATCTGGAGCTGGGATATTGAACTGTTAGCCGTGGTATTCTGATTCTGGTAAACTGCCAAGATCTGTTATTGTTGTAAGCTTCAAATGGGGAAAGTCATGTTGCTGTTTATACAATTTTTAAATATCTAGAACCTGGAAAATCCTGCAGCAAAAATAGGGTCATTTGTATATTTGAGACAAAGTACAGCAGTTTTTTAAAGCAGATTTCAAACACAGAGGAAAACAAAAGTGCTGTGAGTACAGGTGAAGTTGAAAGTATTAGATCGTAATAGTGCAGGTTTCAGCACAGTATTTAGTTTATGTGAAGTATCAGGGGGGAATGAAAATGCAAAAGGAGAGGTAATTAAGTACAAAAAAATGTCAAATTAAAAAAAAATCCTATAACTTGTCAATTTGTTTCCTTACATACAGTGTAGCCCCCTTAACTTTATAAGTCTAGATAGATCCCATTTAAAGATATTACAGGCAAAAAATAAGGATTATATTAATTTCAATGGGTGAAAATTGCTTCCACCGCAGTAAGCTTACATTAAGTACTGGTCAAAAAAAAAATTTAACAGAATATTTTTGCTACATTGCAATGTTTTCATCAATTAAAATAAATTACTTTCGGCTTGTTGTATCCATAAAACATGAATCACATATGGATCTAAATCAAGTCTGTTTGTTTGCATTGCACACTGTCTTATATTTTTAATGAAAGAGGTTTGTGTTCACTTTGGAAATTTCTGCACAGCTCTGCAGCATCCTTTTGTTCCCGTATTAGATGTATTTTTCATTGTCATTTTTTTTTTTCAGTAATAATGATGTGTATGAGCTTTCCATTTTTTTACCCTTCTCTTAAGTTGCTTGTTTTTCACCAAATCACCAAGTCAAAGTCCTAGTATGTCCAAACAATAACCTTAACTGGAGTCAGACTTAAAGAATACAAACCACAGTGTCTAATTCAGCCTTGTTTTTGCATTAACTATGATCACGTTTGCCATTAAAGCAGAAGTTTTGACATTTAAACTGTTCCATTGGTGCCGACACGTGTTGCAAATCTAAGTTGAACTTAATCACCTCACACAGCATAAAAGCTGCACATTTACAGAATGATTCACAAAGCGAGCAGCTCTTAAGCAAAGAAAACGGCCCAACATGACTTCACTTTCAGGTCTGTACCCGACTGGTCTCTATGGTGACTGTTATGTGTGATTGTGCTTATGCTGCCTCCGCCTCAGGTCAAATGGGCGTTGGAGTGTGTGTGTGTGTGTGTGTGTGTGTGTGTGTGTGTGTGTGTGTGTGTGTAAGAGGGTGGGGCCTGCTGTTTCTCCACAGACCTTCACTTCTTCTCTCTGCACTGGTAAACACTGGTTGGTTGGTAGGACAAGGAAGTGACCCAGTTGCTAAGTCATGACATTTATGGTTAGAAAGCATAGAGACTGTTGCCATAAATAGAGCTGTATAAAGTTTGATATGATCACTGTATAGTAACTTTTTCTACTCTGCATATGTCATAAATTTTAGTGAATGGTGGTGTTCTAACGTCTCTTAAAACAAGATTTAGATCAAGATCCTACTGAGATTGTACTAGAGACGTGTGGAACTATAGCTTTCGTACATGAGCCGCCTACTCTACTAGCTGGGCTAATCCACTGTCCCGGAAATAAGAAGCATTTATGCTGTTCATGGTTGGTTGTTTTAATTTCGCTTTTCTATTGTCAAACTTTGGGCAGCTTAATGTGAAACCCACATGTTCAAGAGAAATTTCCCTTATACAGATGATAAAAGGGTTTCAAGTACCAGTAAGTGGTGGGCCTGTGATCGTTTCAAATCATTTTGTGCTCCACTGTCTTTTACTGTGTTATATCCTATGATACTTCAATAATATCCTATCAAAACAATATATTGTATTGTATCATATTATATCACATTCTGTTGTATTGTATCTCATTGCATTAAATAGCATTGCTTTATATCACATTGAATTGTATCTTGCCATATGATATTGTATCTTATTATCTTGTACCCTATCGAATCATACTGTATCACATTGAGTGGTGTCATGTCGTATCATAATGTATGGTATTGTGTTGTGTTGGGCTTTATCATATCGTATGGTATCTTATTCTCATGTTAGGTTGTGTGATGTCATGTCGTGTCATATCGTAACGCATCATATTGTGTCACATTGAGTTGTGTCGGATCGTATCGTGTCATATCGTAGGGTATTGCGTTGGGATGTATCATACTGTGTTGCATCATATCATATTGTGATGTATCACATTGTGGCATGTCGCACCATATCGTATTGTATTGTGTTGTGTTGTGTCATATTATATCATAACATATTCTGTTGTATCATATTGTATCAAATTGTATCATTTTATATTGTATTGTATATCGTGTTGTATTTTAAAGTATGGTATGTCATTGTGTGGCATAGGTATGGTATTGTATGGTATCATACTGTATTGTATTACAATATATCATCCTCCTCTCTTATATTCTCTTTATCCTACCATACTGTATTTTATTTTAGCCAATTATTGGGTATCATTTTCATTTTCATTCAGCATTTATTTGTACTTGAAAGATCATCGAGTGTAACCCTCAATTACAGAAGAAGAAGAACTTTATTGATCCCCAAAGGGAAATTCAATAAAATAAAATTACAATGATATCAAGTCAAATTACAGTGGCAGTTCAGAGACAGTCCACAAAGCATTTATGAGGAAAAGAAGAAAGCTTTATTCAAGGCCATTGAAAGTAAAATGAAACAAAAGTAGAAAAAAAATAAGGTGTATAAAATAAAACAAAACTGTCCAAACAGGAAAATTATCTGAATGATTAAAACAATGTCAGCCGGTTCATTTTCTCTGCAGATGTATGACGTACACCCACATCTCCATTGTGGTTTCCAATCACATCTTGGCATCATTTACTATCTGCTTATGCAATGAAAGCAATTATCTCTTATTACGACAGTGGAAGTCTGGCATCAGAACAAGAAAAAAAAATGCACTCAGCTTTTATCATTTACACCAGCTAAATGCATCCGACAGGAGCTGCAGCAGGTTTGGGATTTCAAAGCTGAATGAAAATAGGTCACCCTGAGAAGGAGCATCTCATAAGGGAATGGGTCAGAGTTTCTATTTATAGACTTCTCTAAGTGTTTCCTGCAGCTTCTTGACTCCCAGCCAGCTCCTTTTTGTTATTCCACAATGCCTAGGTTCATTCCTGACTTTGTTTAGCTTCTGCGGAGAAGATTTTCCTGCTACTTCACCAAGTTTTAAAATGAGTCACTCTTTCCGCTCAGGCAGAGCTGCACTCAGCTGAGCAGGACAGCAGGCGTGAAGAAGAGATAAATTCAAGTGATGCAACAAAGTGAGAGTTTTTTTCTGTTCGAAACTGAAGGTCATGCTGTCTCGTTAGCAACAGTTTGGAAATTTAAGAGCTTCAGGGGAAATTTTTAGGTCTCATGAATAAATGTAACCTTTGTGTTATCATATAGCACCATTACATCATGGGAACGGATGGTAATTCAAGATATGCATGCTATGACGGATACAATGCAAAATGATATGATATTTTATGATACTTTAATACTAAATTAAACCATACGGTACAGTGGCCAGGAAGTACCAGAAAATTTGCATATTCCAAACGATTTGCAAATAATGAAAAAAAAAAAAAAAAATGCAAAAAGCCACAACACAACACAGCGTATGACAAAATACATTACAACACAATACAAAACAAGAACGTTTTCGATCCCCAAATGGAAATTTGTTTGTTTTAAATCTCATCTCATCTACTATTTATAGAAGAATTACAAAGTCTGATGGCTCGGGGTACAAAGGTCTTCTGTACAATTTCTACAATACAGTTAAAAACAATATGTTACCATACAACTCAATACAATACGATATGACACGATACGATTTGATATGATATTGATATTGATACGATACAATACGATATGATATGATACGATACGGATACGATAAAATACGATTCAATATGACACAAAGTGATACAATACAATTCATTATGATACGATATCAATCAAATCATGTGATTTGATTCAATTTGATTTGATATATTATAATAGGATATGTTACACTATGATAAGATAGGGTGGGATATAATTCAATTCAATTAAATACTATATGTGTAAAATGATACAATAAGATGAGATGTGATACAATTCAGCCTGAAACAGTTATATAAATATTTTTCAATAATTAGAATGAGATACACTTTTATGTCTTGGAACACTGCGCTACTACATTACAATACAATAACGCAATACGATACAACACACCAACAGTTTGATGAGTATGATTAAACAGCTGTTATAGCAGTATACATGTAAACAGACTTTAAGTGCCCTTTAGAACTTTTTTTTTTAGCCATACAGTTTGACCCAAGCTTTAAAAAAAATTCTGATATAATAATGCAGTTAGTCATTACCTAAATTCTGAGGGAAACCTGTTCAGAATTCATAATAAGTTTATGTGACTCACATAAATGTGAATCAATCCTTTTCTGTTGTTTCAGCGACCAGGCACACTATGTGTCAGGTTTGCATCATGCTTTCATAAAAACAATGATAATAGTTTTACACTGGTTCACAATGATTTAGACATATCTAGTCATAAATGAAAGTAGAAAGTACATTCGGGAACTGTGGCAGGGGTGGGTGGTGGTGGGAAATAACAATTAACAGCCATTGAATACAGTCCTTAAGACATAAAATTAGTTTCATTACAGTCTGCTTTGATGCTGCCTGTGCTGTTTCACTTCTTTACTGTTGGGGAATATCTAAAAAAAACCTTGAAGTGAAACTGTACAGTCACAAAACTGGTGGTATTTCTATCTCAACCACACAGTTATTCCCAGAATGATTAACCAGTGTCACAACATGAGCCAGCAGCAATTGGAAAACATTACTGAGAGGAAAAAGGCCCTGTGAGAGGAAAATATCTAACGTTAGTGTTAAGAGTAACATTTATAACTCTGGCTGTGAGTTTTTACAGGCCTGGGAGGGAGGAAGAGGAGTGAAGGAGGAGCAGAGGAAACAGGATGAGGACAGGAAGGAAGGAGGTGAACAGGACAGGGTGGGATGGAGAGAGAAACCCCCACAGGAACAGAGACAGATGGGTGGGACAGGAAACAGAGCTGTGAAGAGAGAGCACGCACTCAGACTGAAGATCTGCTGAGCCAGAATTCACTCACACCTATATGTACATCCTTTTTCATTTTTAATTAGACATCTGTGTTCATTTTGAATGACATGCAGTTAAAATAGGGTTGTGGGGTGGTTATGGATCTATTTAGTGCAAGGTTTTTAGAAAAACAAGCATTTTTATATGCTTACTTTTGGATGCAAAAATCTGCTGTGGGTTCTATTTGAGTTTTTTTCATCATCGCTTTATTATTTACTGAAACTACTAGCTGCCCAAGATTATTTTAAGAGTCAATCCATGAAGGTTTTTGATTTCATCCCCTAAAATATATCATCTTGAACAGGTAACATTTTTTGCATTTTTCAACAAGGCCATAAAAATCAAAATTTCTGTACGCTTCATGCTTGCTCTACTAAAGCATAAGAAACAGCCTTTTGCTGCATGGTTGAATGGCTTAAAAATTTGCTGTTTTTTTCACCTGTCATTATGACTTTTGCCTGCACATTTGTATGTAATCAGTCTTTAAAGCTCCTGTGGGAGATGTTCTGCATGTGTTGATTTTTGCGCCCCCTGTGGACAAAAAAACAAAACAAAAAAACAACCATAATATTGTTGCTGATTTTGTTTTGTCCGTTTACAATTAAATTTATCACTCATTGTAAACATTTACTGTAGGACAAAACAGCAACTAACCCACAAATTCCACCGCATGTGGAATGGCACCACTGTGGAACGGTGTGATTTCCACCATCCGCCAAGTCCTTGTGAGTGTTTGCATTTGTGAGGCAAATTTCGTGGCGAATTTCGGACAGCAGGAATCATGGATTCATAAGCAGTAGAGTGTGTCCTTTCAGAGGAGGAAATTCACTCTGTCCAGACCAGTACATCAGATCAAATCAACATCTCCTCATCCATGGTGTCAACAAGGTGAAATTACATCTAAAAACCTTTGACTTGTTTGTCCCCGCCCACATATGCACAGTGTGAAATATGATGGGCCTGAAACACGCAGTGTTTTATTTTGAAAAAAAGCCAGATATTTTATTTTGTGTCTGTGCCTGACTACCTTTCCAGTGTGGGCTAATAAATAGAACCTTGGTGATCACCAAGAGGCCTGCAGAACTGCAGGGGGCCGGAAAGAAGCCGGTGGAATTTGACACATTAACTTGAATGGAAACGATCAGCTGCGATCCACACTGATGGCATTTTCGCTGCTGTTTTTCATAGGGTGGAATTTGAGGGTAACAAAGGCTGTTTCTTTGGCACACCTACCCCCTCCACAACAGTTATGGGCATTGAAAATGATGATAAATAAACTATCAATCTTGTTCTCCGTGGTCTTATTTGGGCAGCCATGGCTCAGTTGGTAGGGTCGGTCATCTCCCTATCAGGGGAGAGTCACGAGTTCAATTCCAGAGCTGTCCATGTGATTAAGTGTCCTTGGGCAAGGCACTTGACACCGCTTAACAGTTGTTCTTGAATCTACGTTTCTTTGGATAAAAGTGTCTGCTAAATGACATTGTAAATTGTATTTGCTTTGTAATATCATAGAGAGGCATTACTGTTCATTCCAGTCTGATTTATAACCCATCAAAAAAATTAACAGGAGCTTTAAAGAGGTATATATTTTCTTATATGTGCCTTTGAAAAAATTCATACTTGCCTGACAAGACACCTTTTTTTGAGTAAAAAATACATGGTCGCTCATGTATTTTTTTCAAAGTGCTTCAGAAGAAAATCAAAACTTGACTTATAAACTCCTGAAGACAAAAAGCTTTTCAGACATTTTATAACTGCATCACAAGGCCGTCATGAGTCAAAACGTTGGTCAAATTTCTCTTTCACTGAGTGTAATCAATCCATTCCTGCTTAAAGTGGTTCAGTGGGTTAATTTTTTTTTAAATTTCTCACTGTGTTAGCTTTTTTGTGTATTTTATTAGTGCTTAAATCTGTGTTTGGAAAATTCAGCCAGCAATGATCAGACTGAATCAAAACTGAAGTCTCTTCATAACCCACAAAAGCAAACTAGACCAAAAGAAACAAGTAGGATCATTTTTATACAGTTTTTCTGTGGGTCTGTAGCCTCTTTCAGATGTGTCAGACAAAACCATTAATGTAAGGCTGCAAAAAAGGCCTTTATTACTCTTTATAACCCAAACATTTATTGTAAATAACATGTCAGACATTAAAAATGGGAGAACACTTCTTCATAAGAAAATAGTACAATGGCAAAATTTGGCTCTTCCTTTTTGTTTATGTATAATTTTACAAAACACAACAGAGTTTTTGTGCCCCCTGTGGACAAAAAAGTCAACCATAATATTGTTGCTGATTTTGTTTTGTCCTTTTACAATGATATTTGGCACTTATCGTAAATATTTGGTGTAGGACAAAACAGCAACTTTATCCAAAATTCCACCAGATGCGGAACGGCATCGCTGCGGAACAGTGCGATTATCACCGTCCGCCAAATACTACTGGATGCGTTTGTGAGGCGAATTTCGTGGCAAATTTCAGACAGCAGGAATCGCAAGGACTCACAAGAAACCACGAATTCACATGCAATCGCATGATTACAACTTGTCTCTATAAAGACAGCTCCATAACCATATAAGCATTTTTTGGCTAAATATTGCCCAAAGTTAGATAAAATAATTGACAATACAAATTTCAATTATCAGTGTATAAGTGATATTTACAGTAAAACTGCGAATAACACCGTAAAGGCGAAAAGTTAGAGCCTTTATTCCTAGAAGAAGTAAGAATCAAAAAAAGAAACTTCATTTACTTTCAGAGAGTGCAAACAAAGAGTTAAATGCAGTCCGCTGCCTCTGTCTGCAGAAACTGTCCCACTTAACTGTAAACACATGCAATGATTGCATGAACGTTACCAGGGAAACTAATCTTATACAGATGTGTACAATACTCCCCTTCCAGATTCTCCAGATGACCTGCCAGGTTTCCTCCAAACACTATTACTGGAAGTCTTGTAATATTCATATGCAGCCAAGTATGAAATAAGTTCACTTTATTGTTTTATTCTTTTGTGCGCACAAACTTTGATAAACCTGAAAACAAAAGACGTGATTTAAAGTCGAAAAGTTCTTGCATTTTTGTATTCTATCTCTTAAAGAAGACAATGATTTAGCTGTGAGTAATAATTAAACGGCTTCATACCTGAGAACAACGAGAAGGAAACAGCTGAGTGACATTGAACACCCTTTGATTTATACCTGCACTGTGCGCATGCGCTTAGACTGAAGCGGAAGTGAGCATCATGTCGATAGAAGATCCATTTTTCGTTGTGAAGGGGTAAGAAACTAACAGATTTAAGTTCTTAAATGAGGCGTCACCTTAGCTGTATCTATCCGCCAGTGTGCTTGAAGCTTAATTTGATAGATAGTTGCGCTTTATATCAAAACACAGTCATTCAAACGAAGTTTGAGCAGCTAGCTCTAGCTAACTAGCCTCGATGCTAACATCTGCGCTTGGGTAATCGAGTGTTGATGTTTGTTTGGTCTACTAAAAGTCCGTCCTGTGCGGTGTAATCCCTCAGATTTAGATTACTTTCACGTGTTAGTCAGTGGAAACACCTGTGCAGCTTTAATGAGACAGTTTACACGGTGATGTGAAGTTTAAGAAGGGTGTGAAATGTAGCTTCTGTCTGTTTGTTTTGGTTAGTTTTGGAGTTGAGCTTGACAAACAGAGAAACGTGTCTCAGTGTGTGCAGTTCAAGTGTTGTGTGTCTGTGTGTTTAATCAGGGAGGTGCAGAAGGCCCTGTCACGTGCACGGAGCTTGTTTGATAGGTGGGAAGAACTGTTACAGGATGGAACACAGGTGAGCAGACCCCTCGAGTCCTCAGGTATATGACTGTCTAACCCTGATAGTCTGATGTGGGTGAATCAGTCCAAACACATCCTCCTGACACTCAGAAACACACCCTGTGAGAGTTGTCCAACACAAGATGAGTCTGCAAACACATCATACCACCTTAATCTGAGAAATACTAGGCCACTGTTTAATGTTTACAAAGACAAACCTGGATTATAAACTGTGTAATCCTTTTATTTAACAGACAAAAGTGCAAAATCAACATACTAGATATTAAAACACATAACATTTTCTGTGTTTGTTGAATAAACATAATCTCATTAAAATAGCTGAAACAACTTAAAAGTTTAGTTTTGCTAAAAAGGGTCAAGGCTAGGGCTGGGCAGTAAAACTGTCCCTGTCGGTGAGAAAAAAAGAAAATGAGTGCTACCCCCGGCAGAAATGCAGATGAAGATGATGACATCATCGACAAAACTGGCATGAAAATGTCGGTGGTGTGGTATTTTGGTATTTTGTTTTTTTAGGTTGGACATGAAGCAGAGTAATGTGCACTGCAAATTCTGTCGAGTAGATGTTCTCACCAAGTCGGGGAATACCTCAAATCTTTTGCACCGCCTGAAGCAGTGCCACGTGGCAGAGCATGCACAATGAAAACGGTTACAAACCCTGACCGAAGCAAGGAGCCTATGGTGCTTGCAGCCGAAACAGCCGACCGTTCAGTCCACTTTCTCTAACCCAGTGGTTCTCAAGTCCAGTCCTCGAGGCCCACTGTCCTGCATGTTTTGGATATTTCCCTGCTCCAACACACCTGATTCAAATGATTAGCTCGTTATCAAGCTCTGTAATGGCTTAATAACGAGCTCATCATTTGAATCAGGTGTGTTGGAGCAGGGAAACATCCAAAACATGCAGGACAGTGGGCCTCGAGGACTGGACTTGAGAACCACTGCACTAGTGCAATGCCTCACGACAAAACGTTAAAGAGACACAAAGACCTCACAGATGCAGTAGCTTATTGTATTGCAAAAGACATGATACCAATAAGAACTGTTAAATTTCATGTAAGAGTAACAGGGAACATTTAAGATTGACAGGTGTTTTTTTTTTTTTATTTCATGATACATATCGATATCGACTGATATAAAAAAATATACTGTGATAAACTTTTTCCCATATCGCCCAGCCCTAGTCAAGGCTAAAATCCAGTACTGAATATCTGTTATCTTTGGGCCCACAGGCTGCACAGCATTGACAAAAAGACACAACTCTATTGTGGAAATCACTGCATGGGCTCTAAATCATATCCAAAACCCATTATCCAAACAACACTTTTTTTAAATTCCAACATTTGATTTGTTGTCTTTGCATTTTTTAAAACTTCCAACATTTTGGAATTGAGGTTTTGTTCAGAATTTAAAAGTCTGCAGATAAATGAAACGCAAGATAAGGTACTTTCACTTTTGTTTAACTGCATGTGGAGAAAAAAGCATGGAGCCAAGAAAACAGCAGCAGTAAACTGTATCTAAAGGTTGTGCTTGTGTAATATTTACATTATCTTACAAAGTTACGTGGTGACTGACTCACCTGTAACCTTTCAACAACACACTGGTCCTGTCCTGTAATGATGTGTGCATTCCCAACAAATTTCCTTTCATGTTTTTTGTTGTAACAACGACCTCTTCACATCTATATTTAGCAAACATAGTAGTTTTTCCGTCATCGTTCAGAGTCCCATGACTCACAGACACCATTACTCGGCACCACGGCTCCTCAATGTAAACCAGTTCTGTGAGCATCCACAGCTGATAACAAAGACATTCCTCGAGTTTAAAAATAGTAACACAGTTATGTGGTCCCAGGTGACTCGGGATGAACTCGACTGGAGTACCAACGAACTGAGGAACTGTCTGAGGGCCATAGACTGGGACCTGGAGGACCTCAGTGAAACTATCAGTATCCTTTTAAACAAGAAAATACTCCCTTACAGCCCACATCTTCACATGACCGAAAGTGTATATTTAGAACAAACGGCTTCCTTGTGTCACTCTGACTCTTCCCTTTCTATCTTTACTCTCGTTTAGGAGAAACATCCTCTTCTCAAGACCGGGAAAAGTGCAAAAATTTGATAACGTACAAATAAAAAGCCCCTCTCAGTAGCTGGAAAAGTCAAAATAGAAAAGACAGAGAACATTTTTGTATTTGATTCTTAATATCAGATAGTAAAAGCCTTAATAGTTTTCTTTTCAGATTGAATACACGTTCATTGCAGTTTTTATTGTACAGTTCGCTTTGTTTGGGATTGAATTTACGGTACTAGGTTGTTTTTTTTTACCACGCCTCATTTCCCCAGTCTCTGCGGTTACACCTCACTGTAAGTAGGTGTGTCTTACAGTACAAGAGGAATAAGCAATAAAACATTTTACAACTGCCAGGTATTGATGTCAAATTATTAATGTCTCCAATGTCAACAAAGTGGGAAACTCCCAAACCGGTTTGTCCCCTTCGATCCAACAAACTTTTTCATCCTCTTGTTCAATTTTTTTCATGATGAATGAATTCTTTATTTGAAAGTGTAGCTGAGATTTTACAGTGACTCCTACATGAAGGGAGGTCAGATTTGTTTGGTTTTGTGCATTTGTTCCTTAACCAGCTCAGATATTGTGGAGTCAAACCCTGGGAAGTTCAAACTGGGAGACAATGAACTTCAGGAGCGGAGAGACTTTGTGGAGAGAACCAGGTCATCTGTCCAGGTAAACTCTTTGGTGTTTCTCTGCTCAGTATTTTTTCTACTATCTTGCACAAAGAGATGCTTGATATTGCTAGCTCTACTTATGATAACCTCATCTGCAGATCTGTGATCTGTGATTCTGTGTTAACTTGTGTTAGATTGATAAATTGTGCTGAATTTGAACAGTTCTCTGAGTCGTCGTGCCTTTGGTCGAGTCAAATCAATTCACCATATTTGCTAAGAGAATATACTTTTGCATCTCATTAATCTGTTGGACTGAGATTTACCAACTCATACAGTTTTATCCCAGGTGCAATCATATCATATATCCTCAGAAAGAATATAAGGAGTGACAAAAACTTGTGTAGAAACTGTGTAGCCATCTTCTCGTCAGCCTGCTAGAGAGCACAAAAAGTTCTCTGGCTACTGAAGAAATGATTAAAAAGTTGAAGAAACCATTAATACATAGTCGGGCAGGATTTGAGGAGCTTTAAAAGCCAGTTGTGGTATATTTGGATATGCACACAATGAAACAATGAGGTGAATGATTGAATTGAATAAATCATTGAATTTCCCTTCAGGTGTAAATAAAGTTCTTATTCTTATGAAAGTGAAAATGTCAACATAAATAAGAAAATGTAAAAGGTTCTGATATTACTAAGGGGAAAGGGATAAAAAAAAAGTTCTGTGTGAAATAATAGCAAAAAGCAAGGGGTATAGATGAAAAAAGGCTCCTGTATGTTGCAATTCTAAAAACTCATCGTCGTAACTGTGTAAGTGGCATAGAAATAAATCAGTTTGGAGGTGGATTGTACATTTATGGTCAGTACATTGTTATTAAATTTCCTAAACCAAATAAATCAAAGTATACCACCGTAATATTGTAGACAGTTTGACTATTTTTTTAAATAATAAAACATACTTATAAAGCAGCTTTGAAAACATAGAAACACACACACAGACACACTCATGGTTTTAGGGAATTCCCGCTATGTCCAAAGACAGTGTGGGTTTGATTTCCACTCTCAAGAAGCTTTACCTCTTTAAAACCACATATGTTGAACCCACATGAATCAGTCCTGATCCTTCGATGAAATTCCTTCACAAGTGCTGGTTCCATCAGCACATCAGTCAGCTCCAATGTGCCCTAATTCGGACTTCAGTTGCAGTCATGTTCACCGTCCCCAGAGTGGGCTGTGCTTACGCTCCCATTCATGAGTTCCAGGAAAATACGCAGAAATCCTCCGATCTTAAATTGTCTGTTTTTCATACAGAGGAGCACGTGCAGGCACTATTTTTTTTAAAAGGTGTTGCCAATGGCTACAAGAGACCGTGTTAGAAGAAAGACACAAACATTGCCTGGAAGTTCTGTGCTGTGTTTTGGAAACTGAAGTGTTTCTAACAAACCGCAGAGACTGCGGGCCAGACAAAGTCAAGCATGAGTCAAAGCAGCAGCAGCAGCTCAAACTGAGCCTGTTTATATATTCCTGCTGTTTTTACTGTGAGGAGGAGTGTTATTGATTATCTATCAGTACCTGTCAGCTTGTTTACCTACTCTGCACCTGAGCTGAATAGCGCTGCATGCACAGTGGAAAACATGAGTCAGTTTGAAACACAGCAGTCTTGCAGGCAAAGGTAAAGTCCTTAAAATAGAGCAGAGAAGAATTGAGTCATCTGAGTCGAACAAAAGAGATTCACTCAGATGAACAAAAGGCTCTCTGGCATTTAAATTCACCCGCTGGTTTTTCTGGATCAGGAGAATAAAAGTCTCATTAACGAAGCTGTCTGCACTAAGCCGGGCTTTTAGAGAGATTTTAGCTGAGGTTGTGAAACCCTGTCAAGTTAATTGTGTGTACGTGTGTGTGTGTCGTGCAGGAGATGAAGGATCAGCTGTCCAGTCCCTCTGCTGTGGCTCAGGCAGAGAAGAAGAACAGACAGGTTGGTGGACATTTCTACCCCCAAATGTATGAAACATACAGGGGGAAAAAGGGGGTGCAAGAAATGTTTGAGAAATGTCGATTAGCAGAAAAAAACCCACTCTGAGCTGCTGTGTTGGCAGGTTGCTTTGAGACATTTCTATCTGAAACACCAAACAAATGATTTCATCATCTGTGATTTGGAAAGTATTGTGGGCAGGAGCAGCTGCAAAAGAAACTGTCAAACCCACATTGTTCCACTAGTCGGCCTACTTTTTTTTAAAGTTTAGAAGATCACACACTCACTCTGACTCTTTCTTTCCTCTTTTTTTTATTTTTTTTTTAAACCACACGTCATGTGCACGTGCCTTGTTTGTGTGTGTATGTATGTATGTTTGTGCAGGCTCTGCTGACTTCATCAGGTCAGGACAGATCATCGGGACTTGAGGCTCATATGGTGTCTACAAACTCCAGATACATCCAGGAGCAACAGGAGCAACAACAGGTATCCAAGAGGGGCGAATACTAGATTGTGAACATGCAGAGGATGTGAATACAAATGCAAATATTCAATAAGTGTTACAGATACAAATAAGAAGGGAAGAGCAAGAAAATGAGAGTCAGAAGGGTGGAAAGGACAAATATAGAAAAGGGGAAAAAAAAGTTTTGTTATCTGGAAATACTTCAACATATTGTGGGGTATGTGATACTTTAAGGAATGAAAACGAGAACTGCTCCAGTGGGTCAATTCTCATTCAATCATTCATTAATTTAATGTCACTTTGAAGGGAAATACAGGAGAACATTTGAAGATCTGATGCGTTATAACTAGAGCTGCTAAACAGTTTCTTTAACTGCGATTAACTGGAGATTCTTAATTGCAGTTAAACACATTTTAAAATCCTGTTATTTTGCATCCTAGCCATCTTTAAATCCATGAGGATTGTGAACTGAGTTCCAATGAAATGCACTTTGACTCGTAGATTCTTCACTAAAATAAATGCTGCACAATCACACCGGTGTGATCCAAAACCATGTTTTAGAGAAGAGTGTATATTTAGGGAATTCCCTACCCTTTAGTCCTGGAAAAAGCATGTAAGATCAGATAAGATAAACTTTATTGCCCTTAAAGTGGAAAATTCGTCCAGGGCTATTCACCCTCACTGCAGCCACAGAAATGAACAACATACAGCATGATGTCAACGGATGCTGTCATCTCTGTTGACTTAGTTTACGCTGCACATACAGTAAGCCACCTTAAAGGGATATTCCAGCTTAAATTTAAGTTATGGTCAAACACACTGTAACACAGAGTTCGACATCCCCTCGAGAGATGAATGTTGCTGACCGCTTGCTTCTCTAGTTATACCAACTTTAGTAAAGACCGCAGATAGCAATACACAGCGGTCTACGTCTCTGAAGAAATGATCATAATTGTTCTTCCTATGATCTTTCTATGTTCATTTCTTCATATAATATGGTAATTATTACTTCAAGGAAATGATAAAGTAGTGATCATAAATGTTCTTCTTTGAGCTACGAAACTTCGCTGCAGTCAGTAATGGACTCGTCCGAGCTCTGCCTACAAACAAACGGCTGCTGGAGGTGAGTGGGTGAGTTGTGTTAGAGTGGCTTTTTGGTCGAGGTTTGCGCGTGGCTCCATAGACAGCTGTATATTGCTATCTGCAGTCGTTACTAAAGATGGTATAACTAGAGACGCAAGCCATTGGCAATGTTCATCTCTCTTCGGGGTGTGTAACTCTGTGTTACAGTGTGTTTGACACTAAATTAATTTTACGCTGGAATATCCCTTTAATGATCAGGACTCCAGGAGATTCTAAAGTTTCTTGATGTTTGCAAACTCAGCATGGAGATCACGTGAAGCTTTAAGTGCATCTTTATTTTCTTTGGTGGTACTCGGTCTGTTGGAAGCATCAGAAATCAGAGGCTCTAGCTGTTGTTCAATCTTCACCTCCATGTCTGGACCGAGCTCGAAGTGTGCCTTGCAGTATCCAATTGCTCTGTAACTCCAGAGAGGCTGCTTTCCTCTGCATGTCGGGCAGTTAAAGCAAAAGGGTGAAATGTCCAATAAGTGTCGACATGTTGCGCAGTCATCCTGAGATCATTTTAATCACATGCTGATGCACAACATTGCCACTCATCAGGAGTTCTGGTTTCATACAGGCCCACCTGTCGCCTGTGTGTTCTTCATGTCCAGTCACAACATGCTCACCTGAGTTAGCATGACCCGAGTCTTTCACAATGTTGATTGGCCTGTGGTTGTTTCCATCCATTTATCAATCACTGGGGTTCACTTCTTTGATTTAATGTGTCATCCGCAGCCATAGGGGGTTCACACACTCAACCCTCAGATTTAAGTAGGTATAATAAGGTAAAGGTTGGAGACTTCAACTTTTGTGGGGGAAGAGTGAAAGGAGGTTAAAAAAAGGTAGTGTCAAACATTTGAGGGTAGTGATTGTGTGATTTCTTTGCAGATTGATGTAAAGAGAGCAGCCTCGCTGTCAGCCTGATGCTGCTATAACCTTTGTTTTTATGATGATAACAGAGAGAGAATCAAGCAAAGGATCAGTCTGCAAGAAGAGCATTAAAGACGAGAGAGTGTCGGCTTTCTGCTGCAGCAGTTTAAAAAAAAAAACAAGGTCTCTGTTCTGCCAAGTATCAAATAAGTAAATAAAGTGAAAGAGGATTAAATGTAGGTGGAGAGTTCGTTTTTCATGTCTTGGCAGAAAAAGGCTGTTCCTGTTTCCTGTGGATTTAAATGATGAAACCTCATCTTCTCACATCCTGTGTGTCATGTCGAGGTTTCAGATGAAAAAAAACAGAAAACACACTGAGCTTGTTCGCAGTTTTGATCTAATGATTAAAGAGAAGATCTCTGACCCTGTGCAGTTTCATCAGCTCCACCAACAGGATGTTTGGGTGTCACTCTTTGTTAAGATATTATTGGACCTTAATCTACAGGACAGTAAAGAGAGAGTTAGAAGAAGTGTGGCCTAAAGTTTGCAGTAAGAGTAGTTTTCACTAATCACCTCTCTGCCGGCTTTGGCAGCAAAGTAATCCGTATGGAGAGCAAAAGTAGGCAGGAAACCATCCACTGTGATCTGAAAGCTATTGATTTATCACTCTCTAAACAAATACCTGCATCCAAGGGCAGCTGATAATTTATTCTGGTGATGAACTTTCAACTCAGGCAATAAATCTGCCTGTAGGGCTGTGGCACTGCAGGAATTCCCCTGCGGTGGTTACAGGAGGCCTGGCTGTATAGCACAGCACTCCCTATTAAAGCACGTGATCATACACTGGCTGACTCATCCACATCCTGTGTGACGGTGTGTGTAAGGTGTTTTTGTCCTACACTTTCAGTGTTGTGTTTGGCATCTTGGATAAAGGCTTCATAGTCTGACATCAGCGTGTCAGCGCTGGAGGAGGCAGGCAGCCGCTTTAGCATGACGGCTTCATCTTAACTTCCCCTTTAAAGTCGATGTTTTTCACAGGGACCTTTTTTGGCGCTGCATTCACACATTACCGCATCTTTATGAGCTGGTTCTCCATTTTCATTTAGCTTTGAGCCTAAATGTTCTCAAAGGAGCGGAAGTAAACATGAGCTGGGGTGAGGTGACGTAACTTGTCGCCCATCATGCTCTGCGGTTGGCTTGTCAACACTGTGGTATTTTATTGTGGTGACAACCCTACCTGCCTGACACTGGGTCATGAAGGCCAATTGGATTTCATGACTTCCTGGAATACATTAGACCTGAATTTTCCTACCTCTATCCAACAAGCATACTTCTATAAAGTGCTAAATCACAGCGAATGGTATCCGAGATTTCCTTACACAAAGAGCAGCTCTAAAGAATGAAGAGTAATGTTTGTGTGTTTGTGTTTGTACAGCTGATCATGCAGGAGCAGGATGAGCAGCTGGAGTTGGTAACAGGCAGCATCAGAGTCCTCAAAGACATGTCAGGACGGATCGGGGACGAGCTGGACGAGCAGGCCGTGTGAGTGGACAAAAACAAACAAACACCAACATGTTTTTGTTTTTTACAATGTGTGATCATTACACATAAAATGGACAGAGGGGTGAGCTTCAGATCAGGTTTTTCAAGTCTGAATCATTGGTAAGTCTTGAAAGTCTCACAACAACCCTTGAACTCTCCTCTAGCACCACCCTCAGGACAAACACCAGCACCTTCAGACAGCTCTGAGATCCCACACTGTACTTAGATCTTTGACTTAATCATACATAAAAGGTTATTGGGGCTAAATATTTCTCTTCAAGTTTGGCTTTGATTGGCAGTTTATCTGTCTGCATAATAAACTAATGCAGATATGCTCCTAAAGCTGTGGTTGATGTGCTTTTTTCCCCCCTATAAATAACTAAGCCTTGCTCTCGTTTTTCAGCATGTTGGGGGATTTTGGAGACGAGATGGACCAGACGTCATCCCGGATGGATTCAGTCCTGAAGAAGTTGGAGAAAGTGTCTCACATGACCAGCAGTGAGTCCACTCAGCACTGACAGAATCACACTGAATTGATCTCAAGCAACACAAACATTTAAAATTTATATTTTTTAAAGATTTACCTGCATGTTTTTCAAATAATGAGACTCAGACTTTGCACAAGAGTGAACAGGACTTCCAACAGAGATAGAGAGAGTTCTGATAAATCTGCGTATTTTAACACCTAAAGGTGGATTTTCCTGTGGAGCAGATACAGTTTCTCACAGCATGAGTACACTCCTTACATTTATGCAAATACATCTTTCCATGGGACAACACTGAAGAAATGGCAAGTTGATACCAGGGCTGGGACGATATGCTTTTCTCCTGATTCAATTGTTCTACGATTTTTTGGTGCCGATTTGATTTAAATTGCGATTTTACGATATTGTATATTTTCTCGATTTTTAGTCTGCAATGATTGTCTACTAACTATTTCAGGAACCATATTTCCCCAAAAATACACGTCATATGTTAGTCAGTTTTTAAGATTTGTTCTTGAATTTGAAAAAAAATATCGATTTTTGAACAAAAAATTTGATTTAAAAATTGTAAAACAAAAATCGCGTCACTTGCATGAATAGATTTTTTTTCCCACCCCTAGTTGATACAGTGTAGAGTAGTCCTCACAGCCATTAATGTGTACACCGCTGGCAGCTAAAATGAGCACACCACTAAGTGAAAATGGGTCAATATTCTGTGTGGCCACCATTATTTCCAGCACTATCTCAACGCTCTTCGGCATGGAGTTCACCAGAGCTTCACGGGTTGCTCCTGTAGTCCTTCTCCACTCCTCTTTGATGACACCATCTGGCGGATGTTTGAGACCTTGAGGATGCCCCACAGATCCTCAATAGGGTTTAGGTCTGGAGACACGCTCGGCCAGTCCATCACCTTTACCCTCAGCTTCTTTAGCGAGGCAGGGGTCATCTTGGAGGCGTGTTTGGGGTCGTTATCATGTTGGAATATTGTCCTGCAGCCCAGTTTCCAAAGGGAGGGGATCATGTTCTGCTTCAGTATGTCACAGTACATGTTGGCATTCAAGGTTCCCCTTAATGAACTGCAGCCCCTCAGTGCCAGCAGGACTCATGTAGCCCCAGACCGTGACACTCCCATCACCATGCTTGACTGTAGGCAGGACACACTCGTCTTTGTACTCCTCACCATCTGAACCTAATGGGTTTATTTTGGTCTCATCAGACCACAGAACATGGTTTTAGTAATCCATGTCTTTAGTCTGCTTGTCTTTAATAAACTGTTTGCTGGTTTTCTTGTGAATCATCGTTAGAAGGGGCTTCATCCTGGGATGACAGCCATGCAGACCAGTTTGATGCAGTGTGTGCCGTATAGTCTGAGCACTGACAGGCTAACACTCCCACCCCTTCAATTCAACCTCTGCAGCAATAGAGATGCGACGATCCATATTTTTTCCGATCCAATACGATACCGATACCTGGGCTGAGCATATCGGCCGATATCCGATACTGATCCAATACGACTGTTGAATGAATGAGCTGTATACCTTGCCCATACCTTGTTTAAAAAAAAAAAGGTAACAAATTAACACAGATTCAAATTTACTTAATATTATTTATTAACAAATAACAAATTGCACTTAAGAAAATTTACTCTGTAAATTTACACTGTTGTACAAGATGTACAATGACTACTTTACATGGTATCAAAGTGTCATTTCTTCAGAAAAGATATTATGAAGTCTTTGCAGAAATGTGAGGAGGTACTCACTCTAAGTCATGCTTCAGTCTCAGTCTGCACGTATCAAACCTAAAGATCCTTTCTTTCCCTCTTCAGGTCGGAGGCAGTGGTGTGCCATCGGCATCCTGGTCGCCATCATGATTGTCATCCTCATCCTCTTCTTTGCCCTCTGATGCCAGTGACCTCTGACCTCTCGACTATGTTCAGTGTTTCCTCTCTGCTATGAAGGATGGACAGAAACAGAAACAAGGGACGTTACTTTCCTCCCCCTTCTCTCCCTCCCTCCCTCCCTTTCTTCACTCCAAGGAGAAGTGTGTGACCTGGATCTTCCTCCTCCTCCTCCTCCTCTCTGCTCTGAATGATTTTAGTGAACAAAGCTGCTTTTAGCAGAAGGAGAACCCAGTGGTGTTATGTATTTCAAATTTCAACCTGGTGCATTTCGATTATTGTTGGGAAATAGACGGAGGGTCTGCTGCTGTCGGGTTTAAAGCACAAAAATCTGCAAACTGAGATAATTTTCAGTAATTCTTTAGGACAATGAAGTTTAAAGCAAACACTAAGCAACTTTGTTTGTTGATAAAACTGTAAACAACACTTCAAACACCAGTAGGTAATTTTAGGAGCAGTCTTATTTGAGTCTGCTCTGTACACTTTTTGAATGACGGCGGCTTAAAAACACTATATGGAACTTTTTGAGAAGGAGTGGTTTCATTATATGTGAAGAAAACTTCACTTAGATCAACAAAAGTGACCGTTTTTACAATTTGATGCTCAAGTCTGAATCTTAGCAGAGCTGGTAGCTTCAATTGAGTTCTTTGAAGTTTATTTTTAAGATGTTTTGATGTGAAAAAAGCATTTTTGTGTGTTTTAAGCTTACAGGAGCAGCAGCATGAGAAGGGGAAGATCAGAGAAAGGTCTGTCAGTGTTGCCTTAAATATATTTTTATATCGTGAATGTGCAGTATGTTCATGTGCCTATATGTGAAAACGAGAGCGAGATTCACAGCAGATATCAGGAGAAAGGGCAGAAATTTCTAGAGAAATGTGACTGCAGATGGTTTAATATTTTACATATGATCCTGGATGGATGAAATCAGCTGTTGTGGTGAAAATAAACACCAGGCAGGAAACGAAGCTGACACTTCATGCCAGAAAACCTTCAGATTCATGCTCCTCTTGCCAGGAGTCAGAAACGGTTCATCTCCTGCCCCTGATCCGTCTCAGCGAGGTGGAGCGAGGTCTGCAGCCCGCCGCCTCGGCGCCCCTGCAGGCGGGTGAAGCACACGATTGGCTGCAGCTTTGTTCCTCTCACAGGGGGGATGAGAGACAACCTTGGCTCGGAGCGAATGGGTTCGCCTGTTTTATTGAAAAGCTTGAGCTAATGAGAGGATGAACAGTTGCTGGGCAGGATGTCTCTCACAGAAGCCCCCAGTCGGGCTCACAGCGCCCTCTGCTGGACGCTGAGGGTCAGGCTTTCCTTTGTGTCATGTCAGGTTACACTGCCCACGCTTGGGTGTGTGCAGTACTGTACAATATCAACTTTGATGCTTTAATTTTGTGTGTGATTATATGATTTCTGTACAACCGCCAGCTTAACCTTGAGTGATCATTTTACTTTTGCCCTGAAGTAACAAAGAAAAGATTTTACTAAGAACTGTCTCACTTTTCCTCGTTTCTCTCACTATATCTCTCTTCTGGTGCTTCATGCGTCCTCTAATGTGCTCTGACATATTCAAGCCCTCGTTTCGTCGGCGCTTCAGCAGAGAAAATTAGCAGAAAAAAAGGCTGCAAGCATAAATGAAGCACTCATGTGGTTTCCACTTCAACCATGAGTCACTGCAGGACCTCACGCCAAGCAGAGGTCTGTGGAGGTAAAGAGGTCTGAAACCACAGGAGGATTTCTAGCATGCACTTTACGGCGGACAGTTAAAGCTGTTAAGTTCCTTCTGTTTAGTCTCCATACTGAAACGGCACATCTGTTTTCAAGTGAGCTCAGCCTTTATTTCTTTTTCTGGATCTGCCTCAGAATAGAAGAAAAGAGCTTTGTGTAAACAACCTGCTCCTTCAGAGTGAAGTATAATGATTGAGTACGTTAGAAGTGGGAACATAAACACTTTTTACACACAAAGGTCTGCACAGGACCTTTTCTTTATTTGCTCCTCAGCTCATTTTGTTGCATTAAGCCTATTAAATCTTTTGACCAAAGTCATTCTGTGATGGCTCTTAGATACAGAAGTCATCAGTTTATTCAGTTAATATCAGAATAGGTTTCTGCATGTCAGTTTTCCAGCTTCTAACACCCTTGAATACATCAGCTCCACCTGTGAGCGAGCGCTGATCCAGAGTGCGTATGCAATGAAAGTTTTATAACAACTTTAAAGTTCAGACCGAGTCCAAATTTTTTCCTCTCATTATTTGATCATTTTAAATCCACTTTCATCTACTGCCAGTTATTTATGATCAAAATCAGCAGATAAACATGATTTCGCACTACTGTCCGATCAGTATGGATGGAAATAATAGAGGTGAGACTGATGCTCACCTGTAGTTGAAGCAGCTGAGCTCCACAGCAGCAAAACATCTACAGCAGTGATCCAGAGGATACTACAGAAGGCATGATGGAGCTCCGAGACTCCAAGAAAAGACTTTATTAGTGACTTTAATTTGACATGATGATTTAAGGTTAGTGATATAGACAGAGAGAGGATGGAGAAGGAGGGAAAGGTGCTCTGCAAAGCTGCCGTAAGTCTCTGAACCGTCTCATTTCCCTGTTCCTCCATTTGCGTTTCAGTTTAACTTGAAGTCATGAGTGTTCCTGCTCCTTAAATGTAGTTTAAGAGGTTTTAAACATTCATGTCTCTATGTTTAGACTCACCACTGTGTGTTTGAATGAATCCAGGATCTCCAGCTCTTGCTCCCTCAGTGATTTATACTCCGGGTGAAACAGCTCTCACTAAATGACAGATGTTACTGGAGTGAGATTTAATTGAGAGGCTCCCTTCATGTGGAAACATCAGCACGTCTCTTTCTTTGAGCAGGACCATCATGTGGCAGCATGTTTACTTCAGCTGTGATGAGCAGAGAGCATCCCCGGTGGCTTCCTGGCTGAGGGGAGAGCTGAGGACACGCTGGCAGCAGGAGCGAGTCCGACACATGAAGACATGCAACAGACTCCTCACACTGTAAGTCCTTTATTTCCTCCACAGCTAAAGCCAACTTTGTAACACTGACTGATTTATTAAATATTTTATTTTGCAAAGAAGTCATCCGTGGTTGAAACATGTTAGCTTCTTTAATGATTTAGCCACTAAATCATTTTCCTTCTTTTGGAAACACGTCTCTGCCTCCTCAGTCCCTCACAAGGGTCCCTTGTGGATTTAACAGTCCACATTTACAGTCTTTGCTAAAACCACCCTTACCACGCAGTCCTAAAAAGTTGGTATCAGTTCCAGGTTGACACTGTTCAGTTATTATTACTATCCTGTAAATCCTCAAATGAAGACAGGTATTCAGTATGCAGCACGGCCTCTCATAAGCTTAGGATGTGAAAAGCTGGCTAATTGGTCCGGGTAGGTTTATGTTTTTAAATAAGTTACCGGCGAGTTCACAATGATCACACAACACCACCTAGTCACTGCACAATGAACTTATAACCCTATTATAAAAAAATCCCCTTTTTTTCTACCAATAATAGGCATCCAATAGAAGCTGAGCACCCCCCCCCCCCCCCAACATGAAAAAATGTCATTCTCTCCCTCTCTTGCTTTCCCCTCCTTTCTGAAAACATGAGCGTAAACGGGCGAATGGAAAAGCTGTGCGGTTATGACGACATAACCGCATAAGCTTCTCCTACATGTTGGTGGCACTGACCCCGATAATTGTTAGCCCAGCCCTCGAAAACTTCTTCGCTGAGGTAGCGTCCGCCATTATTCCCCACACATACGCTGCTCCAGTACAGCAACCATGTCAAAGCTACGACCCAGCCGCCGCTTGGTTCTTGGCTGCACAAATAAAGACAGTAGTCTATTTCTGCCTCCTTTATCGGAAGATTTGAGGACCCAGTGGATTAATTTCATTTAGGTTGGAAATGTACCCACAACTACTCCGAAATGTTGTATGTGTGTGCTTGCCATTTCCCCATGGACTGTTTTACCAACGAGTTTGGGCAGTTCAAGGCAGGATTGGCTAAGAAGCTGAAGATAAAACCCAGATCCATACCGACTGTCCGTGTCAGGGACCCAACTTCAAACATGGAAGCTGCGAGTTTTACCATTTTATGTTGCTTTACCGTCGACCGTATGACCAGTGCTTTGGCTGCAATCACGCGTGTTTACCATTGTTGGTATTCGTCTTTGGACTTGCTTCTAATTATTTTTATCCCTATGAGCAGTGGGTGTTCCTCAGGGGCACGGAGACAGGCTGGTGCTTCCACACACGTTGGTCTGGAGGTCTTCTGAAGAGGTCCCCAGAAGATCTCCAGATCACCGCTCCTGGACCCCTGCGGCAACTCAGAGTGGCCTTGGGGAGGAGGAGCGTGGTTACACACAGCTCATTATTTAAAGGCACAGGCCGTTCTCAGTGGAGCTCAAAAAGAGGAGGGTACAGGTTGGCTGATATCCACAAATAAACTGGTGTTTCAGACAACAAACTTCAAATGTACTGTTGTAGGACCTCTGGGAACAATTTAAACTTGATGAAAAATGCAATGATAGGGGACCTTTAAAGGAAGCTCCTTTACTTCCTGTCTTTCATTATTGGACAAACTGATTAATCCAGATGTGACTAATCATTGTGACTGCTCAGACACACCTGAATTAATCAGTTTGTCCAATAATGTAAGACAGGAATTAAGTTCAGGAAGTAGTGGATCAGTAATACGAGGTCACAGCCATCAGTGTCTCCCCTCTCTGCTGCTCAGAGCTGCGTGGCAAGCTCTAATCCTGACAGCGCTACATTCAGTTCACTTGCAGTATATGACGAGCTGATTGGAGGAGGAAAGTCCTGACCTTTTTATTGTGGAGTCCATTCATAACAGATGTGAGAAACTTTAGTTTATAAGCAGCTGACGCCAAGGAGTAAGTGGGCAAAAAGCTTTTTTTTTTTCTCCGCTGTGCAATGTCGCTGTATCTGCTCGGTCTGAGTTATCTGATATAACTCCTTGTATATTAATGTCAACATAAAGTGCATAGATTTATGTATGATTTTATTACTTCTGGGTCTTTTAAAAGTTTGAATCACCAAGCGTTAAGTGTGACAGTACTAAAAGTGTCGCTCAAATGGTTCATTTCTTTTTGTAAGTATCAAGAAAAGTTTGGCCACAAGACACAACGTTTGAAGTTAGTAATAAAATCAGTAAAACATAGTTTAAAAAAAAAAGAATAAAAATATAGTTCTACCCAAACCTGAGGTCTAAAAAGTAAACAAAGACACAGCGAGGCGAGTGCTCAGTCCTGTTTGTTAAAAACTTTTTTATTAAGATATTCAGATTTTTCCTCATTTTGAATCAGTCTGGTTTCTTTTGCTCTTTACAGTAGTTAATGTGCAATTATCTTTATTACTGGGTCACAGTTAGGAATTCACAAAGTTATTGGCACTTGGAACACATGGGGGAAACACTGGCATGTACACAGGGCAGGACAGGGGGCGGAGTCAGGGCGATCGCTTGGATGGGCGGGGCAGGGTGGGGCGTTGTAACACGTCAGGGTTTGGTACAGGGGTCTGGGGGGCGTGTGTGTGTGTGTGTGTTTGGTGTGAGGCAGGGGTGAGGTCGGGTATCTTCTTTGACATCAGTAGATGCTACTGCATTGTTTGTTTTTGTTCTCGTTTTTTTGTTTACTTCCAAAAAGCTTTTCTTATTTCACTTTTTTTCTGGGTTATGAAGAATAATAAAGAATAATACCTCATGCTGCGAGTGCACATCTAACAATCAAACTTCGATAGTGCTTCTATGTCATAATGTACAGTTTATATATTTATATATTTATACTGGAAAAAAAAAGAGTAAAAGAAAGAGTTCTGCAGTTACTTTCACCCGACAACACCAGAGACAAGGAAGAGAGGGAATAAAAAATAGTCATTCACCTTTGCTATGATTGTATGTGTAAGCCCCGCCCCCTTCCTGTTCTGTAGCGTGATTCTGAGGTAAGACTGTGTTGACATGGAGTTCCGTTTCCTGTAAAAACCCTGCGTTGAATGCATTCAAAATGGTCCGAGGGCGCTCTGCTGAGGCCCCCGGTTTGTTCCTGAAAAACAAAAATGTACCTGCTTTGTAACGGCAGCCACAGCAGTTCAGAAGCTGCTCGCAGCGCTGACATATCTGAGGGGATTAAGGTCTGCTATGGCTGAGAGCTCCCGAGGTAAACTGGTACTTTTTTTTTTTTTTTTTTTTAAACTGCATCAGCGACACGGAGACACGCGCACACACGTCCTGACACACATCCCGAGTGTGCAGGCGTGTGTGCGTGCCGGTGTCTGTATCTCAGAGGTTTGCCCGTTTTGTATTCATTTGTACATTTACAGTATATTTGTGAGTGTATGAGTTGTCTCTGGTGTGTGGGGATTTTGAGGAAAAAGCGGCGTAAATGTTTCTGGATAGGAGACTACAAACCTGCAGGCAGCAGGAGAAAGAGGAGACCGGAGGGGGAGAAGGAATGGGGGGAAAAGGGTCAGGGGGCGATTGAGGTTGATGAGGTCGAGCCGCAGCACTGAGGGAGAAGAGGAGGAGGAGTAAGGGAGGGATGGAGAGGGAGAGATAAAACATGATCTTTCTTGATTCAAAAGATTCACTTCCCTCACTCCTCTGATCTCAAGTGAAGCCAGTTTTTGCACACTTAATGACACAACTTGTTACATTCCTTCAGGGTCTCAGCAGGGTTCCTACACAGGAAAAATCCACCCTCTGACTCCTCTCTTGTTGCTCTCAATCCATCGCTTCAGACTCCCTGTGACAAGCCTCGCCGCTGCCGAAGCATTTTAGTTTCTTTGAGTGAGGTGTTTTGGTTTTATAGCCCTGCAGCTATACTGTTCAACCACTATCCCTAACTCAAAATTCACTGCTGCAGGGCTGTAAAAACTGAGAAGGTCATACTAACAAGTTAGTTCATAAAGAGAGTGCGTCGAACCCCTTGTATTCCCCCCCTACAGCCCTGGTTCTGACTCTGTTTTAGAGAAGCAGCTCAGTTAAAAGTCTGTGTGCTTTCTGTTGTTTGCAGGCAGACCAAAGCCACTGGCAGACGTGCACTCCTGAAAATGTCCAGAAATTTTCAGGCGCTCTAACCTGCAAATTTGATAAAGGACAACAATCAATGGAGGTGAGCTCCTCTCAAATCTTAGGACAGATTGTCTAATAGAGGATCAAACACATTCCCACTTTTTTTTGACAGTATGATCTTTGGTAATTCTGGGAAATTTTCAGGAACTGTGTGCATGTCTGAAATGGGAAATGGTGGCGACCAAAACAGGGCAAAAAGGAGCTTGAATGTTGGACTTTCACTTATTTTGTGGTCAGAAACACCACAACACAGGAGCTCAGTTTACACTTTGTGAAAAAGTTGCAGTAATTCCCCCTGATCTGCCATGAAAATCTAAAAGTCTGCGACTCAAAACATGATTGGATATGACTCAAAGGTCAGTCAAGCTTGTGCTGCAAAGAGAGAGACCAGATTTGGCCTCAATCGAAAAAAGTGATTTTGAACAACAGTTTGATCGTCGAGGGTGGATTTTTCCTGAAACAACTTGACTTCTTTGGAGAAATTAAAAAAGGGTCACATGATCACCAAGCAGATTGTTTCAAGACATAAAAACGACCATGAAGGTCAAACCCAACAAGCATTTTGACAGAAGCCACACTGGTCAGAGTCGCCGTGTTTGTTCTCTTCATGGATTTGGACTTTAGAATCAGCATCCTTGTAGATGTTTCCACAAAAATCTGAGCCGGTTTTGGCACCGTCAGACTGTAACCCTTAGTCTGTCCATGCTTGCAGAGTTATCTGACCCATCACAGAGATTTTTCATTCTTTGTTTTCAACAAAAAATTGATCAAAAACTCCTCAAACCACTTCAGGAACCCTTTCTGGATCATCTCCACCCCCCCACCCCCCAATTCAGAGGAGAGTTTACACAGTCTTTGCTCCCCCTTTCCACCTGGGGGGAGACAGGTCAATGGGCACATCATCATCATCATCATTATCATCATCATCATCGTCATGGTCTTAACAGTAAACAACCAAACATCATAAAGAGAGAGGAGAAAACATACAAAATAAAAAAGGGAATAATTGTACAAAAAGATAAAAACAACAAAAATAAGGAACTTACAAAAAGAACCCTCACATTACATCTCGATCCCCGCCTCCCCATTAAAAAAAAAAAAGGAAAATAAAAAGTCCCTCTGTTTACACCAGCAGCCAAACCACAGACAGAAGTGACACAGTGAGCGTGCTCAGAAAGGTGCAGAGGGCTTTGGCTCTACTGGACAGTCGAGCGCTCGCCCAAAGGTGCTTTTTTTTTAAGATTATTTCACTCTCTCTCTGTCACTTTTGTTTCTCTCTGTGGGTCAGCAGCTGAGGCGGCGATCAGAAGTGGGAAAAAACAGACGAAATGGTTTGTGGATGGATCAGTTGGAGGACAGAAAGCGACAGCAGTGCTCCGTTTGCTTTTTGGAAGTCATGTCGGCATTTTTCAATCTGCCAACAACTTGGTTTTTTTTTTTGGCATCTTGGTCCACGTTTGGCGGACGTCTCTGCAGGTTTGCGTCTTGTGTCTGATTTTGTAAGAATGAGCAGCAGAAGCCTCCAGCGCTCCGCTGATAAGGTGCTCAGATAAATACAGTGATCGAGACTCTTTAGTTACAATCGTAGCTTGTGAAGGATCACTGCTTCTTGGGAGGTCGCCCTCTGATGGAGCAGGCAGGTACTACAGCTGATGAGCCCCCCCTCTTCTCTTTAGCTGCAGTAGCTGTTTTCATCCACCAGGGCGCGTTTATAGAAAAAACAAAACATTCAAGCAGCAGTAGCTTATTCTTTGTAAAAAGCTGGTACAAGAACCAGGTCAAGTAAACGTACTTTTGGTCGATTTTTTTCTTTTTGAATGGAAGTGAATGGAAACTTGGCGAGGAGATGCGTTTTTATTGTCACAAGACGAGTTTTTCCAGGACGAGAATTTTTTTGAGAGCAGACATTCAGACTTGTCGTCTTAAAATGATGTGAGCGCAGCATCCTTGAATCTGTCCCCACTGTCCATCCATCCGTCTGCAGATCCCGCCTCGACCACAGCTGCAGTAAACAGCAAACATCTGATCCAGCGTTAAAAACCCTCCCCCTCCCCTCCCGCAGCACCTCAGTCATACAACAATGCAAAAATATGTGGTTCTCTTTCTCTAAACTATTTTACAGCTAAACATGTCTCCGCTTTCTCTTTTTTCGCGTTTTCTCTTTACACAACTTGGCAAACTCTACGTACAGGTATTAATGTCCAAAATGTTAGTAGCATCTGTCTTAAAAAATAACTCTGGAGGACTACAGTACTCTAGCTCAAACGTAGAAAACGAAAATATAACAGCAACAGAAAAATGAATGCAAAACGAAAAGAAATGTGTACAAAGCTCTTCTTCGAAACTCCTATCATCCGCTCTATCTATCCCCGCTCAACACTTAGCTGTAGATGTGTGCTCAGACAATAGCTGCCCTACAAAGGTCAAAGTTCACAAGGAGGTTTTCTCTTTCATTAGACTGTTTGATTTTTCTGTTATTTTTGCTCTTTGCAGGGCAGTGGAGTGTTCAAAAACCTCTTCAATTCTCTCCTTTTCCCTCTCAGTAGCATCAACTACTGACCGATAACGTTTCATTTGAATCAAAGAGGAGATAAAAACAGGCACAGACACATATATTCAGCAAAAAAAAAGAAAAAAGTTCCTGTTCTCTGTGCTTTAAAAACATGCCAATTTTTTTCTAAAACGTTCATCCTATAAACCAGTTCAAAGCCCTGTGCATCCAGAAGACAACATGAGGCCAGGAGAAACCGGGCCAAGCACCGACGTAAAACTTGGATAAAAAGCTCCTTAACTCGACTCCGCTTTTCAAAATCCTCCAAAGTGACAAGTTACTTTTCAGGGTTATACAACTGTTTCAAACTTAGCGTTCAGGTTGGATACTACTTCTTCTACAGTGGGTCCTCCCCCTGCAGAATGGAGCTAAGGTGCCGCCAGATTAAAGAAAAATACATTTTTAATCCCCACATTACAAGAAAGTCCGTCTGCAGCTTTTTCACTCAGTCTCTAGTAGAGTATCTCTCTCTTCTCTGTCTTCTAACTCCATCTATCATTCCATCCAACAGTCTACAAGCCGAATGATAATTCAACTTTATTATAAAAGACCAAGAAAACTGGCCGGTGTTTCTGTTCTGAATCGTCGAATTGATCACTCGTTTGACTTTGCTGGTATTTCTAATTCTGATGAAGATGAAGATTTCCAAACCGGTCTTCACATTTTCATTCACTCAGTGCTCGGACAGGACAGTGGGGGTAAAACATTCAGCTACATGTGCGCAAGAGTTCACAGGACAGGCACAAGAAAAAGGCAAACAAAGAGGAGGATGTTTTTGAGACTGAAAACGAACGAAAAGTCAAATTTCAAGTGTTTTTTCCATGTGTGCAAATATACCGTGGGTCGGTTTGGGTATCGACCAGAACAAAATTCTGAGATTGGTGGATTAGATTTGTTTTCCTCAGCGAGAATTTCCAAGTCTAGATGAAGTTTATTTACCTACCAGGACCTGCTGCGTCGGCGTAATACTCTGAACTTCACTAAAAAGACGACGACGCAGCAACCCTCCTCTTTTCTGACAGTTTGTACTAAAGAGTTCAACTTTACTCAAACACCTTTTTACATCGTCGACACGCAATCTTGCTGCTTCAAAAGGAAAACTTCTCCTCCTCTTATGTCCTTTTTTTAAATGCCTGGCTGTTACGATCTTAAGCACAAATGTGTTTCCAGTCACAAAAGACATTTTCACGCTCTTGTACAAATAGTTAGTGCAATTTTTTTTTTCCTCTATTCTGCCTCAACTTTTGGAAGCTTCATCTCTGTCTCTGGATCTCTGTCAGTGTCCAGTAAGAGAGCGCTTTTCTTCTAGGGGGACAAAAAACATCATCGTTCAGTCATTCATCCCTCGACCCAACCCCTCCGCAAAAACGCCACGCTGCGAAAACAAACAAGCAGCCAGGTATTTATCTGTGTGCCATGAGGGCAGAGAGAGAGAGAGAGAGAGAGACCATCACCTCCTCCTCCGCCTCCTCCTCTCTCTGGTGTTACCCTCCCTTCTCTTCCCTTTCTCTTCCCTCTCACTCTCGTCTCTTTGTCTGGATTGTGGCTTCGCTCGTGTGACGGCAGACTGCCGCAATGCCTCATCTGTCCTGGGAGATTCTTAACAAACATCTCCTCCTCAGGAAGAACGACACCCCTCCCTCCTCTTCCTCCCTCCTCCTCCCTCCTTCCTCACTGCTCAAGACTGGGATGATTGTAATTATTTCTTTAACCCCACTTGGCCACTTGGTTCAAACAGTCTGGCCATTTATCGCGCCCTGATTGGCTGTGGATGATCTGATTGGTCTGCCGCAGGGATCAGGGGTATACAGGGACATGTAGACCTTTTTTTCTTATCGATAGTCTGATTATTTAAGGTGCAGTACACACTCAATCACAACACACTGTCCCATGAGAGTGGGGGGGGTGGGAGCACACACTCGCACAAATACACAAAAAGCTCTGGTGCGCCTGGTCAGACGTACCTACACCCTTGTATTTGCATACTTGCATTCAAATGACGAACACACGCACACACACAGACTCCAGCAGCCACATATTTTGCAGCCCCATCTGTTGTTTCAGACAGTAAACACACACACACACGCACACACACACACACAGATGTATGGGTGAGAGTTTGGCAGGGATTTATTTGCATCCCATGAAGAAAATGGAGTCGACACAAATGAAGCAGCGGTGGATGAAAAAAAAAAATTGATGGTTTACGTAATGAAGCGACGAGGGACCGACGCTATTTAGCTCTTTCCTGTGTGTGTGTGTGTGCGAGAAAAGAGAGAGAGAGACAGGGGTGAGGCAGGGGAGAGGGATAGTAATGTATACATAAAAAAAGAGAGAAGGCGGAGAGAAATGTAAACAAAGGAATTAGAGAAACAGAGAAAGACGGTGAGGAGAGGCGAAGACGGCGAAGAGAAAAGGGGGGAAATTCTCGTGTCCTGGCTGCAGTTTTGCTGCCGTCCCGTACAGAAGTGGAGTGATGGGACGTTAAAGGGCGTCCAGGAAAGAAGTCTTGAAAAGAAGGAGACTTCATTTTGCATTTGAATGATTTTGAAACACGCAATCACACGTCCAGAAAACAGCTGAGCCATGATGTGCAACATGGCGGCCATACGTCTGCAGCTCAGATACGGCGCAGATGTACAGACTCTGCTGTGAGTATAGATATGTGACTCTGCAGATGTGTGTGTGAGGCAGAGGAGGCAGACAAAAACAAACAGCCACTCATCTCAACCTCTGTGCACACACCACCCACTCACACACACACTGTTACGCACACACACACACACATACATACACAGACCTTGCAGAGCTGAGCACCCAAACCACCCACACACACAGTGACAGACATGCGCAGTCCTCACGTAAAGCCAGACACACACGCATGCAGCACATAGATCGAGACGCAGCAGCAGCAGACCCAGCCTGGCATAGGCATGCGCACTACACACACACACACACACACACTGTACCACTGTCTGAAGCTCTTTCGAGTGAGGAGGCAGACATTAACATGCCATAAATGGAGATGGAGGGAAGGAAGCGGCTGCATACATACATTAATATGCACACACACATACACTCACTCACAAACATTCAAAGCACACCCACACATTATGTTCGCCCACACACACACACACACACACACACACACACACAAAGCCTCTCCAAACAGCTCTCAAAAACCCACCCTGCAACAAAAAAGCACACACAAAACACACACTTGCGTACACACCAATACATGCATGCATTCACACCAAATCATCCAAGCGTCCCAGCTCCCCCCCCCCCCCCTCCTCACTCCTCTCCCTCCCCTCCCTCATTCATCCCTCCTCTCCTGGGAGGTTCACACCGTCCTCTCCTTCCCTCTCTATCTTAACTAGATTTTTTTGTCTCGTTTAAGGCGTTGGTTTTTTTTTTTAAACAAAGCATCGGAATTAAAAAAGAATCTGAAACAAAAGCAGAAATGTGCAAACTGCCCCCCACCCACCCCCCACCCTCCCCTTTCACTTTCCTATTTCTTTATCTTTCCTCCTCTTGTCTCTGTCCTCACTTATTGAACTCGGTTAAGTCTCGGTGGATCGTACCATGTGCTCCAGAAAAGAGGGTGAGGTAAAAGAGTGTGAGTCCAAACAAACACCCGTGAATTACCGTCTATCCTCCTCCTGACTTTAGGACCTTTAGGTGCTCGTCTCGGGACCAACGGGTTCTTTGACTCATAGCCTACGAATAAAAAACGTGATATACAAGTAAATCTATAAAAACGTAAACATCTTTCCTCAAAAGCCAGGCTGTAAAAATCAGACATTTTTTTCTTAATAACACTGTTTTACAAAAACGGGTTCAGCCTCAGACGGCTCTTTTGGTTCTTCTCCGGGTTCGATTCAGCGATTAAATCATGTGCAGCGAGGTTTCAATTGACAACACGCCCTTCACCTTGAGGGTGTCTGTGTGTGTGTGTGTGTGTGTGGGCGTGTGTGAGAGTGAGTCAAAACGTTAACAAGATACAAACAGTGACACACACTTCATTACAGCAGCTACTGCCAATTTCTGATGCCACGGCGGCAATAAGGTGCTTCAGGTTTCCCCTCGCTTGGATGGGAACAACAAAAACAGGCCAAACGTGAAAAACGAACAAAAAATAAAATTAGGTATATATATTTTTTTACAATGAAGCAAATCTGAAATACATCAAGTCTTCTCTTGTTTGGGTTTAAACGTGTTAGTCCAGGAGATTATCACATTTAGAAAAAAACACTCACGGTGGGAAAACCGCATCCAATTTCACAAGTCTGGACAGATATGAAAATCTAACACCCACGACAGAGTGCCAATAAAACAGAGCCAGACCAATACCAGACATTCTGACACTGATACTGAGTTCAAACTGGGGAAAACAGACAAATACAGAGATCAAACCTAAGCACCAAAGAGATCAACTTTCTTTTGACGGCCAATAACAGCCTGAAAACTTCTGCAATCTGGCTCACAAGATTGTTCATAAATGATGTGAAATGCAACCAATGGAGTAAGCTGAGCGTTACTTTGTGATGTGATTTTTGAGATACTGATTTTAAAGTTGGGTCAGATTTCAGCCATAGGAGACACCAAAGTCAATCCCAGCCTGACTAACTTCCACTGACTGGTTGGATGAATTTCTGGCGTGTCAGAAAGTTTGATCCGACAGCACAGCAAAGAGCTGATCCCGAATTCTCAGGGCTTTTTTCCTAGCTCAGGAGATGGCCATAACTCTAGGGATTGAAGGCAACCCGATCCAGCAGCTCTGCCATAAACTCAACTCTCTATTAATACTGCTGGAATCAAATCCCCTGACTTTAATGTGCGCTGACTGCTCAGACTTACCCTCAAAATCAAACACTTAATGCAATACCTATTTAACCAAAGAGGAACCATTGACTCTTGAGGCAAAGTGCTGCCCCCTACAGGACAAAAAACCACTAAATTTAACCTCCAGTGATTACAGGGTTCTGCTGAGTCATTAAAACCAACAAATGAAACCAAACGTTCTTTGTCTGCTTTTGAATTTGATTTTTTTGGCCTCAATGACGAAGCTCAAGGTCTGTCTTTGGAGCAGCAAAACATTTGAACTAGGGAGGTGGGTGTGCTGTGTCTTTTCATAAATCCATGAGCTTCAATTGTTGTCAGAGAGAAGACCGGACTCTTAGGGCTCCAGAGGAAAAGTCAGTAGATCAGCTTGTGCTGCTTGTGGTCCTTTTCGGTCAAGTTGGATCACTAAGAACAAATTATTGGACATAAATCTGTTCGATTCAATCAGGAAATATTTGATCATATATTTCAAAATATAATGTCTATTCTATTTTATGTTGCAGCCCTGATATATAAACTGAGAGGATGCATGTATGTTTTCAGTGCAACAGCTGCACGGTTGTTGTCTTACTTTGATTTACCTGCCCTACTTTGATTTCATGAGAAAGATGGACTCAATATTGACTGTCTGGGATTGATTGAAGATAAAAAGCTTGCAGTCTGACTGAAATTTTAATCTTCTGTTACGGGGATTTGAGTCTCCATTAGAGGAAGGAAGAGGCACAAATCTATTGCAGACCGAAAAGTCGGTGTCACTAGATGAAAAAGTTCGCCCGCAGCCCTAATATTCAAGCTGAATCCGAACAAAAGAAAGTCGCCCTCTCTGTGGTTCAGCCGATCAGCGTGCTCTGATGTACTGTAAAGTCTAGAGGTCAGATTTTCCTAAGAGGAAAGATCCAGCTCTGTATTGTTATTTTTTTTTTCTGCAAAGCTGATATTCAGCCACACGAGTTAAGTATCAAAGAGGAGTATGACAGCGATTTGACTTTCAGGGTTGTTTCTATGCCAACATTCTTCTGCGGTTTCCATTATCTAGCAGCTTTCTTTATATTATTACCTCACATAAAGCCGGGAACTTCGCTGTCGACGCCACAAAGAAAACTTCCTGCCAGTGCGGTCGGGAGTTTTTCCACCACTTTAGCCACGCAGAACACAAACTGCATTAAAGGTGAGTGTTTACATGTGACAAACTGCAGCCTCTCTGCTCTGCCTTGGTGCGATTCCCCTTTAATTCCCACGTTGCTCTGGTGTACTGTAGCTGATGCGGCTGACAGCGCCCAAATGCGTATTAGCGTGTCTGTGTGCTCACCGCAGTGATGGGTGAATGAATCCACTGAGCGTGTGTGTGCATGTGAAAACACACACACACACACAAGCACACACGCACACACACATGGTCTGGCCTTCCTGCTCTGTCTCTCTGCTGCAGCACACACACACCATTCAAACACACACCTACACATATACACACAGCGCTGTACTCCTTTTTTTGCGATGTAGCAATGCCTGAATTAGCACCTTTGTCCATGCCAGGCGAGCACGCAGCCAAGCAGCAGAGCCCGAGGAAACTTGCGCTGCTTTCTGGCGTGGCTGTGAGGAGTCTTAGGGGACACAATTTAAACATGAGCCGAGAAACAAAAGAACGTGACTGCTGCATCCTAACACACATACACACAAACACACACACAAGCACATTAACACACGCCACTCCGTCTCAAAGTCAAAGGCAGAAACTCGCTTTTGGATTATCTTTTTTGACTTTCCTTCGGATTATTAAAAAACGCACGTGACAGACAGGGATATAAATTGGAATCCAGCTTCTATTTTTTCTCTTTTTGTGCATTTTTTCTAAAATAAAAAAACCGCCCTTTTCTCTTTCTGATAAAAACATAGTTCGATTGTACTCATACCGCAGGAAAAAACAGTGCATTTATCACACGCAAACTCTTTGACAATCATCAGCGACATGTTTCCTCTCCCTTAGGAGCCTTGGCAAAATCACACACAAGTAGAAATTAAGAGTTTCAACACAAAAAAAGTCCAACTAGAGGGTTAAAAACAGGATAGGGAAAGTTTTTTTTTTTTTCCTGTCTGCTGATACTCTGTCAGTTTAGAACTCACCAGCGTTTCTCTAAGAGCTGGTAGGTCCACTCTAAGCATGCCAAGCACGGGGTTAAAGAGCAGAGGCCGGGGAAATCATAAACCATGCCAATATACATATTAATATTCATCTCAACCCCTCAGCGCTCAAACACCGAAAAATACAGCGAAGAAAACAAACAAATAAAAAAAACGGGGCTTCTGTACAAGCTCGCTCACTGACGCTGCGGTGCAGATGCTCGGCCACGCATACATTCAATATCAAAAACAACAGTGTTACCGGAGTTTGGTGAAGAGAACGTCACTTCCTCCAAACAGGATCCCCCTCCCCACCCCTCCCCAGGGAATGTGTGTGATTGATTATGGTAAGAAATAGGGCCTCGGTGATAACACACACTTTCAAAACAGAGAAAAGAAAGGCTGAAACAATCAGGTTTAGAGAGGCTGCAGAGGAATGAGGAGGTGGAGGGGGGGCTGGATGACAACCTCCTTCCTCTGCTACCTTTCACTTTGTCTTTCTTTCTCTCTCCAGCAGAAAAAGGAAGGAGGAGCGACCAGAAGTGAGGCATTCTGGACCGCCGGGGGAGAGAGAAAGAGAGACAGAAAAGAGGGAAGGAAAGCAGAACAGACTGACAAAAAAAAGAGGTGTAGAGGAAACAGATCCCCAAACACACTGTGGCGTCAAAGGGACGAGCGACAACTGTCGTCACGACTACCGCTCTCTACTCATCACCCTCTGGAGAAACGCCACCCCTCCCTCTATCACTCTGTCCATCTGTCCATTCATCTATCTGTCCGCTCACTCACTCAAAACAAAGTGCTGCCGTCTCCTCCCGCCCCTTGGAGGGTGTCTGCCTGCGCAGCTCCGCCCCCAGCTTCGTTATTGTTGGTGGCTGCAGCTGCCGCTGCTGCCACAGCTTCCAGGGAGGCGGGGTCGAAGCCTTGCTCCGCCCCCAGCCCGTCCGCCTCCATCTTGACGCTGTCGGCCAAGAAGGCGGAGTAAGCATCGCTGTCGGCCATCAGCAGTTTGAGCTTGGGGATCCAGCTCTTGCGGACGACACGGCGGGCGTTGGTGCACATGTCGGCCGCGATGGCGTTCATCTCGCTCTCCTTGAAGCTCGGTGCAAAGTTCTGGCAGTAAACTGGGAAGGAGAAGCAGAATATAAAGCGAGGGCATCCAGTAAGCAAACGTCAAAATGAGCTTTTTATTGAAGCTACTCCATCCTGCTTACTCTGCGAATCATTTTGCAACCAGCCTTCGCCTCAGCTCCCGCTTTCTCTGTGCTTTTCACTGATTTTACCAGAGCCGTACATATCAGACCGTCAGCTTTTTCCTGTGGTGACTGTCCGCTCAGTTCAGCTTTGCTTAACCATGTCCTCAATTTTTGTGGAGCAACATTACTGTATTAGTTTATCAAGGTCAAGAGGGCTTTCAATGGTGAGGTTACTGTGAGAGTGCCCTCTGCTGGATCACACAATAGCCTGATATGCTGGTATACCAGGGCTCAACAGTGCGACCGTTTCACTCACATTTGCGACTAGTTTTAGGTTGGTATCCGACGGACATTCACTGTGGATCTACCAGTGTCTTCTCACTCTCCATAACTGGGAATAGCAACAGCAGCGCAGTTAAATCTACTTGTTCATCCTCGCTGTCAACATCAGGTGTTAAATAAGGGACCATCAATAAATTACCAGTTGATTTTCTCAAAAAAAGGCTGTTTCCCTTCAATAGTTTCCATGTCATGTGACCAATTAACCTCAGTTGATTTAAAAAAATAGTGTAATGGTAGGACAATAGACACACCTTTTTTTCCCCTAATTTTTCCTAATTTTTGTGTTAAATTTAAAGGCAAATTTTGAACATTTTCTTCAATAGCTTCCATGTCGTATGACCAAAAGACCTAAAATTAATATACAAATAAACAAATTGTCAAACCCTGTATACTGTATCAAGATGAGTTAGCCTCAGTAATGTTTGAACATGAACTTTCCCCCCCCGACCTTGAATCAAAGTTTAATTTTGCCTCAGTGTCATATGTTTGTAGCTGATGCCTGCTCTGTGCTGTACCCTGACATCTTTGCTGCTGCTCTCCCTGCCATGGAATAAAGTGGGAGGGCACGGAGCTCTCCAAACACAACCAAATCTAACATATGCTTAAAACTGATTCTGTAAGACTCACATTTGACAGCATGCAGCACTCTGTTGTCCAGGGGTTTGCGACTGGGATCGTTAGTTGAAGAGCGGATGCCGGTTCCACAGCTGTTTGCCAGAGTGCTCCTGAGCGAGGAAAAAAACACACACATATGGACAATGAACAGACAGGCATCCAAACCTTAATCAGCTGGTTTGGTAACACAAACATGTATTGGCAGGGATTTGTTTTCTCTCAGTTGACCTCTGACCTGTCAAAGAAAGCAGCCAGCAGGCGTCGGAGCAGCACTTTGTGGCGGGTGCCAGCGCTGACGTGGCAGTTCATGAGCTGAGCGCGGGAGATGAACACGGAGGTGCCGCTCACCAGCTCCAGCTTCTCGGCCGGGTCGCCTTCCTCGTACAGCTTTGGGTGGCAGCGGTTGCCGATCTGACTGATGAGCTCAGCTGGCAGGGAAGCCAAGTCCTGCCGGGACCGAGCCCCTCGTCCTCCGCGTCCGCCACCTGAGTCTGGGGCCAAATCTGGAAGAGCCTCAACCCGCTCACCGACCACTGAGGAGGAAGGACAATGGGTTATTGTCAGTTTCACTCAGATTCAAGACTGGGTAAGGTTTCATATCTGTCATGACCAGAGACATAATTTCAAGTTAAGACCAGGTTTCTATTCTACAAATATCATTTTGAGGGTTTGCAAATCATGAAACCTTCTATTTGGTTGAAAATAGTGCAAAAACACAAACCAAATCTTGAAATTGCTTTACCAAAAACGATGTTCTTTAAAAACTAGATGCAAGCAACACACTTAATCAGTATGGATCAAAACAAAAGAAAGAAGGCTGCATTTTGCTTAAAATAAACTCCTGGAGGAACATCTCTGAACTAATCATGTTAACTTGAAAGTAATAAGTGACGTGTGTTTGTGTAAAGAAAAGTTTTAATCAGCAGAAACTGTGAGAATATCTAATACCTCGATTTCATATGATGCTTTTCAGCAGATTTTTAGCTTTTCTGTAACTTCTGAGTCCATTTTGCATTTTGAATTTTTGATTCAAACTCTCAAATCATCCCCTAGATTAAATAAACTATAAACAATTCATAAGCTGAGGGAGGATCTTTAACTGTTTCATGGTTTCTGTGTTGAGAACATTTATTTTCCTCTGCATCCTGAGAAGTTTCCAGATAAACAAACTTTAGAAGGCAGTTCTTCTAAACACGCTGTCAGAGTCTCAGATCAGAGACAAAAAACTTGAGATTCACATGAGCACACAGTTAAGTGGATCTGGACTCTGAGGTGTTCGTGTGCGCTCAGATCCTACCTGTGGCTCCTGCGTTCAGCATGCTGTACATGGTGTACATGTTGCAGATCTGTCTGTACTGCTCCTCTGCGCTGTCCTCCGCTATGTCGTCCTCCTCCTCATCCTCGTGGTAACTGATGGGCGAGTCGCTTGTGTACATGCTCAGTGTGCCCGGGCTGGTGCCCTCAGGGGTCCCGCTGCTGTTGTTGTTGTTATTGTGGTTATGGTTACTGTTGATTGTGGCCCCTCCAGTTGGATTGGCGCCAACGACTCCGGCGCCGCCGCTCATCATGGCAGCGTTGGCTGCAGGTCCACGAGCAGAGGCGTCCTGGTTAGTGTTGTTGGAGGAGGAAGAGGAAGAAGAGGAGGAAGAATAGCGTGCGGTCTTCCTCATCCCGCCTCCTCCGCCACCTCCGGACCCCCCTCCCCCGTCGCGGTTGCTCCCCTCCCAAAGCCGCTTGGCCACTGGGGTGCAGACCACCGAGTATGGAGATCCCTCCTGCTGAAGAGGAGGAGGAGAAACCTGTTAGTTACCTTTAGCACTACAAAATTATTAACAAAAACATAAATGTCACTGTCGTCAAAGAGAGAGGTTTTGTAACAGCCAAAAAAAGTACTCTATGAGGTGGTCTTGGTTTACATTTAAAGGATTCTGTCAGAAAAATCTTAACACGACTTTATATCTAATGCCTAAATAAACCAAGTTTAAACAACAGGCATTACCAACTACTGCCATGTTAATATACATCATGAAAGGCGTCCCCCAGGGTTCTGTTATGGGACCTATTTTGTTCTCTGTTTATATAAACAACAATTATTTCACTACATGTACATATTATCAATCAGAGACTGACTTTTATTCTATCATTACCAGCTGGGATCAATTTGAAACAAAGTTTGGGAGCACAAGTAAGTTGTGGCCCCCAAAGTTGTGGCATCTACAGCTGGTCCAGAATGCCGCCGCCCGACTTTTGACCGGCACACCCAAACGTGACCGTATAGCTCCAGTCTTGGCAGCGCTACACTGGCTCCCGGTACATTTTAGAGTTGATTTTAAGATCTTAATGTTTGTTTTTAAAGCGCTTAATGGGCTTACCCCTTTTTATTTCACTGCACTTCTAAAGCCATATGTCCCCTCTCGGTCCCTCAGTTCCACAGACAAATTGCTCCTTGAAATCCCTCAAACACGACTCAAGGGCAGAGAGGACCGTGCGTTTTCTGTCGCTGGCCCCAGACTATGGAACTCCCTCTCCCCTCATGTGAAACAAGCCCCAACTCTAGCTATTTAAATCCTGTCACAAAACGCACTTTTTTTCTTTGGCTTTTAACACAACCTAATCACAAATTGTCCGTTTATTAATTAGTTTTTAATTCCTTTTATCTGGTCTGCTCTTGTATTTCACTGAGTGTTGATTTAGTTTGTTTTGTAATGTCTATGTAAAGCACTTTGGTCAACTTGGTTGTTTTTAAATGTGCTCCACAAGTAAAATTGTATTGTATTATATAAAGTTAGTTTCACATTGACACCAGCTGCTTGTACATGTTGTTTAACAGCAGTACAAACTATCAGGCAGCCACAGGTGGACAGAGGAGAGCGGGGAGCGGCAGGTGTGTGTATCTATGTGAGTTTAAAAAGCAGAGGGGTGTTTTTTTTTCTCCACTTACCCTGTTTTTCTCAAAATGAAGGCTTTTTAAGGAGGTTTAAATGTGCGTAAATCTGCCTTTCTCTGGGGACAGATGCTTATAGGCAGTTTTCTTCAAAATCCTCTGTGTATTTAAGTACCTTTCTTTGAACCTGCTATGATGTTCTCATTAGTTCTTCTATTTGGCTGCTACCTTGGCCGGGTCTATTTTACAGGCAAGGTTAAACTGAAAAGTGAAATCGAAGTGGTTGAAAACAAAAAAACGGACGACTCTTTGGATCCGATGACTAAAACAAACTGTGATGCTGATCACACCCCTCCCCCTCCGCAGAAACACACTGATATGCAGATCATCACCTGATATCACATGACGACTATTTTTGAGCTGCAAACAGATGCTTTCCTCAGATTTTCTCCACATCTTCCTTCATCTTGATTTTACAGCATGACTTAACACTTCTGTTTCTATGAAGACTCTATGACGTTAATCTTCAGTTTGAGAGTGAAGAGGTTTGAACCTGAAGGTCAATTAGGAACCTTTTGGGTGCCAAAACAACAAACTTACAGGTATGTATGGTGTACAGACTGCTTAAATATACCAGTATAAAGGTATGGGGCTTTAGTTTAACATATTTAATTTGACAGTAAACTTGGGAGAGGTTGTTTATTTTGTCTCTTTTGGCGACGTCCTAAACTAAAACACATTTATACAGAGGACAAAGATCTAAACGTCAAGGATGAGATGAAGCAGGACTGACAAAAAAAAAAAAAGACTGCAAAGCTTTGGAAGTGTTTTTATCTTTAAAATTGAAGTGAAACAGCTACAGCTCCTTCAAACCACCCACAGCCACAGCTCATTTACATGGAGGTTATATGATAAACGCACAAAAAAACATACCAGCTTTCACCTTCGGTTAACACCCTAACCAAGTGATTCACTGCGCACAATTTCACAAAGAACCCTGACCTCCAGAATAATTCCAGTTTGCTCATGTGAAAGTTTTAAAAACTGTCTATGCCCTATTTTAGAAACAACCTTCAGGTTACGATTATTCAAAAATATGGATTTACAGTGTTTCGAGAGCTTTCTAGCTGCTGTTAAAAAAAGGTGATTGCTGCTTAAGTGAATTTTCCTTGAAAGTTTATCAAAGGCTTTTCAAACTCAAAGAGACACCTACTTGAATGATGTTAATGAATGCTAATTCAAATCATTTCAGACCACTTCATATAACTCAGTGTGGGACAAAAAAAAAAAACACTGTCCAAATGCTGCTAAACGACTCATCAATGCAGCGTTTTCCCTGTTTTCAGATGATTAGAGGACCTACCTGCTGCTGCTGCTGAGGCGTGGAGGCCGCCTGTTCTGTCTTCACCTTGGACACCAGGGGGAGGGGTGTCAAACAGGAGGCGGGTCTTCCAGATGCCGTGGCGGTGACGCCTACTCCCCCCCCTCCTACTGTTTGGGTGACAGGGCTCTGAGGCTCGGAGGTCGGGGTCTCCTCGGTGTGGAGACCCTGGGAGTCACAGCTTGGAGATGAAACCTGAAGGTAAAGATATAAGAATCAACACTTCTACTCGCTAACATACCTCCACCATTGGCAGCGCTGGGCATTATCTGTTTGTGACTGTAACTTTGAGTATTAGTTTGGCAGATATCGTCTGAGCTGCATCTAAAAATCATGACTTCTTTTCCAAAAGGTCCGACATAAAACATATTTGTGCATTCAGTAGACAAACTAGCAATAGGAATAAGTAATGCAAGAGAGAGTTATTACAAATTATCTTAGTTTTAGAGCTTATTAAAGTTCAGGAATGACATGATTTTCAAACTGCAGATTTCCAAGAAACCTTCTACTGGGTTTGGAGACGGAATAGAGTAAAAAAAAAAAACAGGCTACAAAAAATTTTCCGTTTTTTTTCTAGTTTGTTTTTTATCCTGTTTATAATGACATGTGTAGATCAGATTGTAGATGAAAAGCCATTTTTTTAAACTTTCAGAGATACGTTATATTTGTGAATTCATTCCATCTCACTTTGTTATGCAGTGGTTATCTTAAAGTTGTATAATGATCACCTTGTTTGCCATATTATAATATATTTCATTACTAAATCAGTTTTCCAGAACCCTGCGATTATAAGCCATGCTTCTTATGATTCTCTGAAAATGTTTGATTAATTGAAAAAAAAATTGAAATAACATGTACATCTCCCAAGAACAGGTGTAAGAAGCAGACTTGGTTTAGTTTTTTTTAATAAGTTTCCAAAAAGTTGGGAAGAAAATCTGATAATGGAACTTCTCAAATCAGGGCCAAATATATATATTTTTTAAACCCTGATGGTTACAGAACTAAAATGGTCGTAATTAATCATATTTTTAATCGTGTATGTACAATGTTACCATTTAGCCTTTTGAAATACTTTTAAACCATACTAACAATTTTAAGTGTGGTATGACTGGTCAGGACAAGCAGATGTCGGTGGTGATTTGCACACTGTAAAATAAGGCTTTTGTGTTGCAGGTGCCAGCTGACATCAGTCTGATTAGCTGCTCCTGTATGCCTTTGCTAAAACTAGATAAGACATTAGTGATATCTCCATTCTGTTTGAAAGAAAGTGCATTTTATTATTGGTATATTAGCCAAGCAGTCTGGTTGTTTTTCTAAGTGAAATGCACCATCTAAAGGTGCAGTGATGTTGTTAAAAAGATGCGATTATACATTTTAAGAAATACATTAATGTCTTACAGTAATCGCGCTATAATTGAAACAATGACAGCTCTAAATCAGACCAATCTCAAATCAGGTTTTACCCAGTGATTCAGAGTACACGTCTTTCTCCTCCAGTACACTTATTCTTCAAGCTGGATAGATTTCAGCGTCTAATACAAGTTCCCAATAATTCTTGGTAGCTCGCCAAATCGGCTGTTGGAGCAGCTGAATGCCAAAACGCCCCCGTGTCTGATGGCCAGTATTTTAAGACTAGCAAGAAACGTAACACATCCTGCAGTAGTAAATACTAAAAAACTGTATTTCTCCTATCGCTCTATACATGAAACCGAGCTGGTATCACATTAACGGAGTGTCTGAAGGGGGGTGATGAGGGCAACTCTGAAGGAAATCAGTTTTGCTCATTAATATGCAGATTTATGCAGCAAGGCAATCCAAATCTAATCACATCATCTGCTTCTATAGAGGGAACCTGTAGTCTCAATTATTCTGAGTCACGAGAACATGTCTACAAACACAAACACCCCTGTGACAACATAATGCCCCTGCATAATGTCACACACACACACACTGACACAGGTGCTGTGGCGACAGCAGGTAAAAAAAGTTATTTTAAACCTCTCCGCCTCATCCTGCAGCATTTTCACTGATTATCTGAAGTATTTTCTGACACAAACTTTAACTTGTTTGTTTTCTTATCAGCGTGCTTACCTTGAGGAAAAACTCGGTGCCTTTCTCCATGATCTGCTGAATCTGCAGGAAGCCAGCAGTGTACATGAGCAGGAACTGGTCTCCCACGTTCATGCTGAGGCGCCCCGTATAGCAGAAGGCCAGGATCTGCTGGAAGCTCTGCGGCTGCACGGCCGGGGGGAGCTCCACCACTGAGCTCTTCCCCCCAGCGTTAAACAGGTCCCGGAAGTAGGAGCTGCTGGCTGCCAGCACGGCACGGTGGGCCTGAGGGGTAAACAGAGGTAAATGGTAAAGGTAAGACAGAAGCTGAGGGGTTTACAGAAATATATTGAGACTGATTCTCTAAATGGAATAACAGACGAAAACCTGGCATGCTTCCCGTCAGTGTTAAAAATCAAGAAAGGTGCGACACAGTGTGTTTTAAATTGTCTGCTTGAAATCACACAACCTGCAAAGTTAAAATGAACGACGCAATCAGAGGGTCTGGTGATGTTTTATGAAACGAAGCTGCATTTTTTTGTAGTTTGTTCAGAGTGATGTCAAGAAGAAGGTTAAAGTAATAATGTCTTTGTGTTTGTATGTCTTCTTTTAGCCTGTTCACTGATACAGTTGCTGGAACACATTTTTATTTCACAGAAAACAACAAACCACCACTAAATTTGCACCAATTAATCTGCGGGAAGCTGACAGAGCTTCGTCAGACTGTGTCAACGCTGTGTGAAGCACGACCATTATACCCACACCTCTTTAAAATGGTTTTCCTGCTATTTCAAGTATCTGCTGATGACAAGGTTTCCTTCTGAGCTCTTGTGGGGTGCCTCAGGGGTCAGTCCTTGGACCGGTTGTGTTTTCTTCTTATATGTTCCTTTTTCGCCACTTGATCTGTTGATTTGGTTAAGTATTTTGTAACAGTTGCCTCCACGATACTCAGCTCTACTTGTCCTTTAAACTTGGCGACTTCTCTAATCGAGCTACTCACCAAAAGACTCTTGCTGAAATTGGTAATCTCACAGTTCTCAAAATCACAACAGAGATGAACTGTAATTATTTTTGGCCCCAGATTAAACCTCCTTTTGAACCTTGGTTCATTGGTCACTAATACAAAACCTTTTGCCACCAACCATGGGGTCACCTTTGACTAGTGTGAAATTTGACAGGCACGTCATAGTAGTTATTCAGTCCTGCCACCTTCACCCAAAGAACACTGCCAAAATAAACCCTTTGTTTTCCCTCCATGCTTTTGTATCCTTTTGTTTAGACTACAGTCATACTCTTTTCTCATGTCAAAGTCAACATGCTATAAACCGGTTATGGTAAGTACAAAGACTACTCCCCAAGTCTCCTTATTACAGATCTGGAGTCACTACTTCTGTTTCAAATCTAAATCAGGATTCAGTTCAAGAGCTTCTTCTTTGTTTAAAGGCTTTGGATAGTCTTGCTCAGGACTATGTAATAACTAAAAATGAACTGATAATCTTAGGTCCTCTGAACAAGGACTGCTAGCTGTTCTGGCAAAAGCTTTTTCAGTCCACCAATTACTTGTGTGCATTTTTGGGGTTATGTCTCTGACAGTTAAACTTTTTCAAAAGCTTTGTTTTCATAATCTGAATAGAAAAAAGTTCAAATGTTCCGCACCTTGAAGGCGTGTCCCTTGACAACGACGGAGACATCACAGTAGAGGCCCTGCAACCGCTGCTCGTTCAGACACTCCAGGATGTTGTTGCCAAAGTTAGGGATCGCCATCTGCAGCGTCTGAGCCATAACGCTCTGCCCAGCACCACAGGGTCTGCAGGAAAAACAGAGAAGAAGAGGTTGGATAGGGGGTAACGGGAATGACATCACAGAAACGTCAAGCAGAGGAATTACTAAGGTGTACGATGGTAGAGCATTAAGAAAAGGTGGACGAGGGGTGAAGGGGATGCTTGAATGGAGAGATATCAGATATGAGAGGAGGAAAGGAGGGCAAGATAAAGAGGCCAAAGAGGAAGCAAGGAAACAGAAAATAAAAGTGGTGAGACAGAAATAATGAAGTCATGCAAACATGACAAAAATTAGGAGGCAGGAACTTCAAATAGAAGAAACAGGGTAAGTAAAATCTACGATGATTAATAAATTAAAAGTATTTGGTAAACAACTTCATAGTTCAAAAGTCTAACTTCCATATGAAAGAGAATATTGGGCCACCAGCGACAGTTATATAAGCCGTCTTTCTCTTTTTTCAACCTTGTTTCATTACATCTAATTCACAGTTAATAAACTATTTGGTGGTTTTTGGCCTACTTTGTTATTTTCTCATCTCTCTTTCTCAGTCAAAACACAGCCGCTTACATAACTCGTCTATTTCACTCATCTTCATCACATAGGAGTGTGTGATCAAACGTGGAGGGAAATGTCAAAAGTATGACGTCAATAAAACCATTTCTCGCGCAGGTTGAAAGCATCTCTTGTAAGTGGACATTTTATTTTTCGCTTATAAATGCACGGATGGATGCATGGAGGAACTGATAAGACAGTATGATACAGCAGAGGGGAACGAAGAGGCGAGTATCTCAATGATCTACAGAGCAAAAAACATTTAAAACGAGATCGTGACCTGCGAGTGATTGATGGTGTACAAGCTTAGAGGACACGCTAAATTATCGGGCCAGAAGCTGATTCTGAGTGGATGTTGCTGAGCTCTTAGCCTGGCTGCAACCCAAAACAAACCACTAATAGGAAACAATATGATAGTGATGATGAGCTTTGTTCCTCTGCTGGGAGGAAGACTCACAGGCGAGACCTAGTAACCTCACCAGCAGGCTGCTACATCACCTCGAGCTCATCTTGTGAACACAGTGAAGAACTTGCTGTGATGCAGGAGCCAAAGAGCTAAAGGTTACAGAGAGGGCAGGTTGACAGAAATCTCTTCATTCCTCTCCAAACTTTGATTCAACTGACACAGAAACTCAAGAGTTGTTGAGGTTCAACTGAACTGCAGCATCAAACACTTTTGTCGTGTGTTTGACTTCACAGATAAAGCTGCAAAAAAAATAATCAGTGGAGATTTCAGTTTATTCACAGCAGGGTTGTGACCTTTATCCTGATTGGTCATGACTTGGAAACACTGCTAATAGATGGTCATCTATTTCTTGATAGCGGACCTGTGCTATAAAGAACAGAACGCCACTATAAAGAACAGACTGTTGCTATGAAGAACAGACTGTTGCTATGAAGAACAGACTTGCCATGAAGAACAGACCGTTGCTATGAAGAACAGACTTGCTATGAGGAGCAGACTGGTACTATAAAGCTGCTGTAAAGAACACGGCATTTCTAAGAAAAGCAGACATTTGCTAGAAGGAACAGACTTTTTCTTTGAAGAGCAGACAGTTGCTATGAAGAGCAGACGGTTGCTATGAAGAGCAGACTGTTGCTATGAAGAGCAGACCGTTGCTATGAAGAACAGACCATTGCTATGAAGAACAGACTTTTGCTCTGAAGAGCAGACTGCAAGCATTTTTTATTGTAAATATACATTATGCGCTATTTTTTTATTATTAATTTACTGACACAGATGGTCTGTAATGATCACATGCAGCTTCTTGATAAGTCTGCTAGCTAGTAGAAGAACATCATTTCTATGAAGTTTTCATTGATCAATAAAGAACATAATGTAATCAACAACTCCCTCAAAAAGGGGACTTGTTGATTACATACTGTAAAATTCTTTATCTACTTTTAAAGACTATACTACTTTTTATTTAAGTGTTGGCCTTCATAAAGAGAGATTCTCAAAGTCTTGCGAGTTGTGCAGAGCAAAAAAAAGAGACAAATTCATCATTTCTAAGAACAAACTGCATTCAAATGTGCAGATATTTGGGAGATACCAGCAGTAACGACAGCTTGTTAACTTCAGGTAGTTTGTCAGAGGTATAACCATGCTCTTCACTTGTAGCCTAATCTGAATTATTTTACAAATGAAAATGAAATATACTCAGTAACTAATTTGAAGCTTTTACATCCACAAGTCCACAATATCATGTAAGATAAGTCAGACCCAAAAAAAAGAGTGCTGTGTCAGATGCTGGGTAAGTGGTCTTGGTCTGTTATATTTTAGAGTGTTTAGCCTTAAGCAAAGGGAGCGAAGCCGGATGATCAATGCTTGAGGCAGAAATGTATGCCCTCTTAGGAAATTATGTAGCAACTTGTAAGGAGAGCAATGAAAACAGCAAGGGCTCTTTCTAAAAAGCTGCGAGAGGCAGGGTGTTAATTTAGTTAAACCCTCCTGATTGGCTTTGGTAAATGTCACTCTGAGGAATTGAACAGCTTCTCACTGTGGGCCACATCGCCAGAGGCAGCCGTCCTCTACCCAGCTCTTACTCCAGACAGAACAGAAAATGGTGCTCTGTACCAACGAGGTTCAACATTAATGAGAGAAGCTTTCTAGAAATCCACCCAGATATACAGGCACCGTGATGTATAAAAACAAGGCAAAGGGATGATTGTGGCACTTTATTCTATATCAGTCTAAATATGATCATCCAGATATTGTTCTGGGGGTTTACTAACACCTGAAAATATGATTAATCAGCATATACTTGAACTGACAATCATGATTTTCTAAGGATGAACTCTTCATTAAATTAAGGATAATTAAAGCCAGAAAAATGCCCTAAAAAGCCATTTTCTATGGCGAGTCAGAAAGCAAATGTCTCATGCTCATGATTTAAGGTCAGACTCATGCTCTTGATCTTATTAGCATACTTTTTCATGTTTACTTTACTGACTGGTACATCCTAACTAACTTCCCTATTCAATAATTACAGGAGAGAATAACAGGTCACTTAAGACAGAGCACCTTTGTGAAGAGATTTAATCCACGTTTGCAATTCGACAAAGTCATGTCAAGTTGGAGAGTTATAAAACAAGAATGCTGACATGGATAATACTTTGAGAGCACTCCTTCTAAAGATGTTTTTGCCCAATTTAAAAGTTAATTTCACTTCCTAATAAGATTTCAAGTAATATCTTTGACATGGTAATTTAACCCTATTCTCAAGAAAGAAGAAGATAGAGTAAACTTGTCTGAAGTCTGAATCAGGCATTCAGAGTTCAATTTCCAACCTTGAGATTAAACAGTTTCATTCAGCATAACACACAATCAGAACTACATAAAGAATTTGGAAAACTATTTCTACAGGACTAACAAGTCTTTGTGTTTCCTTCGTCTGTTGCAGTGAGACACAAAGGACTCAAAGAAAAATGTTGAAAATGTTGTGTTGTCATACCCAGCCATCCAGCCAGCATTGAACAGCGACAGATCATGCTGCCATCCGTCTGGATAAGCAGATCCATCAAATATTGTCCTCCCCTCCAAAATCAAAAGCAGCAGAACACTTCACCATGAGTTCAAGGTTTAAAATCAGATTTTCTCCAATACCACTTTGGGGGCTGCGAGCTGAGCTGCCACTTATGATTACTCAAATTTTCTTCACTAAGCTTCCAGATGATTTGGCACCCATTTGCTTCATGGTTCAATTGCCCCCATGTCTATAGTCTATAGTGTTCAGATGCTATCGTCCGAGAAGGGAGTGGCCCAAACCCATACCCTCATGCCACACCTCATGCACCACCGGAAGTTTCCAACCCAAACTTCCCTCTTATCTCCAAATAAAGGCAATAAAAATATAAAAGGTTTGACTTCCAGATGTTGAATAACTACATCTGATCTTTATTTGGTCAAATGAGTGTGTTTAAAGACATCCAAGATTGAAGAACACTACAAATTAGGATAATGCTTCAGTTTGACTTCTGTATTTCATAAATTCTCATTTTTTGTGCAACATCAAATAAGCACAAACATTGGACACAACTTACTCTACAACTAGAAAGAATTTCTGCACAAAATTATCTCTAGGCGGTCACTCACATCCTCTAATAGCTACCACACCACACAGATATCAGTATTCAATCACCTAGTTTGGCGTTGGTGGCCAATATCATCTGTACACCCAGACATGACAAATGAATGTCTTGAGCTGAAAATCCATACTTTATAACCTCACAATCAGCTTTTATAGATCATAAATAACAACACAATTTGCTCTGGTGGCTGTTTAAAGTCCTTCTGGGTGGTTCAGAGCAGGCATGGTTTTAAGAGAGAAAGCTTAACAAGGACAAGTACAACTCCCCACAAAAGACACCCACTCCTGGCATTTACTCCCTTTTAAGAACAAAACACTTTAAGAGCTTCTGGAGGTGCATATTTCCTCCTTAGCAAACGTTTAAAGATAGTGGTGATGCTGTGGAGCTTCCAGGTGTGAATGTGAAGCAGGGGGCTGTGGTGTGCATGCTCAGCAAACCTCCCCTCGTTGATAAATAAAGGTGGAATGAAAAGCCAGCTTAAGCAGTCCTGAGCCCCAGAGTAACACCTACATAAGGGCACCGCTGAGAATTAAAGGGCCATCAGCATTTCATCATAATTAATTTTTAAGTTTATAGCAACTAATTAATTTTGATAGATAAGCCTGGAACAAGTAGGGCAGTGGGCTGAGAGCAGGAGTGAGCATGTCTATTCACAATCCTAGGGATGCACTTTACATGGAGGGGGTTTCCATTTTATTTTACAATATTTTAAGAAGAAAACATGGATCCGCTCGTACAAAGTTGTGGTTATGAGAAAGCTGGAAAGCAGCATGTCTAAGTGGGACTGAGACACTTAAAATGAGCCCTGAGCTTGTATCATTATGCATATCAATTGTGTAAACTGCCTCTACAATGTTATTAAGCTTAATTAATTGGGTGGCCAAAACAATTAGATTGCAGGCTGCTTATTGGATTGGGGAGCACTTTGTACAATTTGTTCTGAATAACATTCATCATCTCTAGACCAGATAGGGCTTTAGTGAGTGAATCAGCTCCAACTTATATTGTTAAAAATCAGTGTTTTGGCAAAACTAAGTTGCGATCTGCTGGCTGCTTTGCCTCATGGATTGTAGTGCATTAACAATGTGGATGCAAAGAAATCAATATGCATTAAATAAAAATGATCCTTATCCGGCTATAGTGTCTACAAGTGATATTTTCCCATGCCTTTTTGGATCTTTACCAGAGTTTGTTTACATAAATTACGCCCACTTGAATTAGCTTGCCATGGTCTGAACTATAATGTGGATTTGTATCCATCTTGTAAAAACAGGTTACAGTAACTGTACATGTGCAGACAGAGAAGGAGAATTAAGAGTTAAGTTTGTCTGTTTTAATCTTTGGACCACCTAAAAAAAAACCTCTTGAATACTGAAAAAACAAGATCAACACAGTCTCACGTCTGCACCTCCTGCGGCCTTGAGCTTGTATTTGAACAGGCTGGACTCTCGCTGAGCTTCTCTGCAACCTTAAGTGTGTTCATGTGGATGTTTCCGGGCGTAAATATGTGCAACCATAATAATAATAAGCAGGCGGATGAAAAGACGCCAGGAATTATTTCCCACAGTAACAAAAGACGAAAAAGGCAGTGAGCATCACAGAAAATGTAAAGCGCCAATATGACACCAGTAAGTGATAAGATTCAACACCAGTGAGTTACCACAAAGTATGAGTAGAGATATTACGAGATTTTTACTGATATCTGATATGCTGTTTCTGAGATCATTCATGATACTGATGCAAGTAATCATGTCAATTAAACTCCATCGATAGCTTGGAGATGCTATGTCTCCCACCATACTACAAGGCTGGTTATGAAGAGCAATGAAGACAGTGATTTTTTTTTTTCAGATAAGCTCTTTAACCTTTGGGTTATGACAGCTTTTGCCTGATGAGTTAAGTAGTGGTGGTTGTTGCTGGCACCAGCTTGGGATGGAGCAATTATCATAGCCAATATTCAGCAATCTGAAGGTTCCCCAATAAGATGTTTAAACTTTCAGTCATAGTTAAACATTTGCTGAAGGCACTGAGTTGGAACTTTTCCCATAAATGAATATATGCTCCAAATATCAATTGTTAGTCTAATGAACTATTTATCATTGTTGTCATCCTTGAAAAGCAAATATCAGTCGAACCCTGGCTCTCATGCTTTTTGTGTTTACTTTTATTTATTTCTGGTGCTTCAGGATATCTGCTCTTGAGTTGTACATTTAAACTGTTACAGTAAAAAGAGTGTTGTTTTGCTCCTCCTCCTCCCATCAGCTGTGCTTGAAAAGCAGTGCAAATACCTAATTTGCACAAGTTAAAGCTTGTTGAAGCATACACAAGCATGTGCAAAGTCGATGCATCAGATTATCAAGTGTGCATACTGGTGTAAATTCTCATATTAAAACCACTAATTATCTTCAGTTACTGATAATATTGTGCATCTCCAAAGAAGAGGCATTTGATGAGAGCTACCATGTAGAAGTGGGATTTTAACTTTCAGTATACATTTGTTGTATGAACGGCTGTAAATAACTCTAAAGCAAATAGTCTTCATCTGGATTAATCAAGCAGCCATCAAAGTGATGGAAAACACTAATTGTGGTGGTAACATAATAAAGCATCAGCTGGATAAATAATGAAAATAGCTGGCTTACATTAGCATGTGGACAAAGTGAAGTGGCAGAGTGTAGGAGAATCAGAAATTTTAGATGTTTTCAAAGCCAGTGGGCCTCATGAAATAGGACTGAAATACAAGAAATCCATCAAATTTAATAAAATGTGAACTGAAGAGTATGAGCTTAGGGTACAATTAATAAAGCTAAAGGATGAGCCAGGTTTGAGGAGTTTTCAGTGTCTAAAGCTGACCCTATTTAAACCAACCAAGTTCACAATCGTAACTTACATAACAAACCCAACAAGGTCAGGGGGAGTTTATGTTAAGATTTTTGGATTTAAGTATAAAAACTTGTTCTTTTCTCTAATTGTTCTCATAACAATTCGATATTTATGCAAGAGAAGGAAACTTGTAGCTAAGGAAAAAAGCCTTACAGTAACAGCACAAAGTTTATATATGTGTTTATAAAAGTTCGTCATGCAGGAAATCTGAGCCCCACTTTAGTTATATCTCCTGATTTCTCCCTTTAATCACACAGTAGAGTCAACACTTTAAATTTCACACAGCAGATAATTCAAATAGTAAAAGACTAATGAAGAATAAGCAGCTACAAACCACTGTGGTCACACATTTATCCATGGTTCAGATTTTCCTGCCAAATCCCTTTTATATGATATTAAAACTGTTAGTGTTAATCAGATATTTATAATTGTTTTTCTCAGTTAAGGAAATATTGAGATGATGGTAAAATCATGTTTATCCTATTCTAAGTTTTGGAGCTCTCTAAGGTTTCACAAAAGTCTTGTTGTATCACAGAGGAGGTCTAGCAGATGAACTTAATACCAGCACTGTTTTGGTTATCTTAGGTAAAGCCGTGTTGTTACCGAGTACAGAAGCGCTGCCTCTCCTGTGAGACTTAGGTGATTATTACTCCAGTGTAAAAAAAAAAATAAAAAAAAAAAGTCTTCCCTCACATGAGTAAAGGTCATGCCTCATTTGTGTTCGGCACGCTGTGGGGTATTGAGATGTCATTCAAGGGTATCCTATCTGCCACCTTTCAGTCTTTGCAGGTCAGAGGTCACAACAACTTCCAGGAAACATAAAAGGGGAGTTAATTCACACCACTTGACCCTTGCCCTGCAGGGCCCCATGTCCCCCATTATGGGCTCTGACTTCATGCTAAACTGCACGAGCCTCTCTCTTTTCTCTCCCTCTGTAAATGTCTGTGAGTGTGTATGTGCTGTAAAACTTTTAAAATCCATCTCCAGGACCACAAATTCTGATTTACTTTAGGTAGAGAAAACCCACATGCTCCTGTTAGCACCCAAATATCTACAGTAACTTGATCACTGCAGTCGGCTTGTAAGCCTAGAATCGATCAGAGCTGCTTCCTGCATCAATGCTAACCAAAACTTGTGGTATCAACTTTAATCACTTCCTAATCATTTTTCAGTTTCCTGGTTTGGGGAGGTTAAAGGTGGCCTGTTAGCAAGTAGCTAGCTAAAGCTAAGGCTAGCACTTACATAGTGAAAGACTTCAACCTACGCGCTGACATGCATTTTATAACATGTAATAAACTCCAGCCCTTTGTAAGTTTAGAGGGCATATAAAGGCTTTAAAAGAAATTGCACTTAGCGACACTCGTGGGCACGACATATTGGCTATGAGGGTAGCCTCCCCAGGAAGCTGAAACTTCAAAAGCGAAATGTTATTGAAACATATGAATTATACATCAATTAATCTCACATGAAAGTCAAGCAGAGCCGATGTCTCGCTGAAAGACGCCTCGAAAGAGAAGGAGCCCGCCAGCAGCGGGGCAAGCAGGGGCAGTCTACCGGGCAAAGCTTTCTGTGCCCCCGCCGTGTGCCAGCTTCGATGCCCGGTAGGATTTGGGAGTCCTCGGATGGCCCGGGCCGGTGTGTGCGTGCTCTCAGCGGAGGGAGGGAGGTGAGGAAAGGGAGCGGGGCGGGCAGCAACGAAAAAGGGACAAAAAAGACGCCCTCCTTCTTGGTTTCGTGTGCCAGACTCCCCCCTCCGACACGCACTCTCCTTTATCGTCCAAAGATGTGGAGGGGGACACGAAATTTGACTGCCACAAAAATAGTCCAGGGGATGAAATATTCAGCAGTTCTCCCCCCCGTCTCCTCTCTTTCCGTGCCAGCGCGGTGTGATGTCCGTTTACACCGAGTTCCCTCCTCTTCCAACGGCCGAATGGCAGCTACCGATACGGGACAGACACGCGTTGTTCCCCCCTTTCTCTCTCTAAAATGTCGCTTATGATATATCACAGCGAATTAATTATTTAATAAATCGTCACCTAACAAAAAAAATAAAAAACCCAGGAAGCCACACAGACGGCTCTCACTTGTCTAAAGTCCGCTTTAAATCTTTAAAGTGTTAATCTTTTTTCTACCACAGTGGAACGGAGGGCGATACTGGCCCTCCATCTTTACCCGACATCAACAGGTCATCCCGGGACACAAATGCGCTGCAACTGTGGGCGAGACAGACGGATGGATCCGGCATGGCGAGGCGAGAAGAGATAGAGAAGAGGAGGGGAAAAGAAAGTAGGGGGCTGGCTGTAAAATCTTAACCCATTTACCGACAGGACACCAGGATAATAGGGAATCAACGGGTGCTTGAGTTTCGTGGACGCAGCAGCTTAGTGAGTTTTTTTTGTTGTTGTTGAAAAGTTCAGGAATGCGGGAGAAAGAAGAAGAAGAAGCGGAGGACTTCACTCACCGGGGGAGAAGGGGGGCAGCAGCCCGCGGCGACGAGTGAGTGAAGCCGGTGAAGTGGTTAAAGTTTGGTCTGTCCCTATGAGCCCATCCCCCATAGTCGCTAGCACAACTTTACCTCCCCAGCCTCTTACAGAAAAACAATAAACAACAATAGGTAGAAATCCCCGCAGACCGCACACTACCCCTTTTTATCCGAATTTAGGAAGAAGGTGCCCCCCTCGCAACACTCACACACACACGCACAAATACACAGGGACAGTTCGGCTCGCGGACAACCAACCGACCCGTCTCAACGACCGAGCCCGAACCGTTGTCCTCGTTTACCCGCCGTGCTCAACTTACCCCCTCGGCTGTTATCCGCTGGAAAGTGATTTCAATGGAGGACCAGCGCAGAATAAGCGGTCTAGTGTCTCCCTCCGCCTCGCTACAGGCAGCCATTCATTGTGACTGACTGTATGTATGTATGTATGCTGTGTGTGTGTGTGTGTGTGTGTGTGTGTGTGTGTGTGTGTGTGTGTGTGTGTGTGTGTGTGTGTGTGTGTGTGTGTGTGTGTGTGTGCCAGCAGCCTGGGCACGCACACAATTCAAGCATACACGTACATACTTGCGTGTGCACGCACTCACACATTAAAGGGGGGGAAGAGATGAGCGCGGAGCTATCGAGGAGGGGGGGGACGCAGAGGAGCCAGAGCGGGGATTTTTTTTGTAACTCTCCCAGGGGTTGCAGACAGATCGCAGAGCTACCGATTGGCCGGACAGACAGACAGACAGACAGACAGACAGGTAGACAGGACGACAGACAGGTATGCATTGTCTCAGTGTAGTTCTAAAATTTACATTGCACCTTATGGACTGTAACTATGGACACCAATGCATGCATGCCAAATAAACTCTATTTGACTGCATAATCTAATCAGATTAAAGATTATAAGATTCATTTTGTTTAACTCATGCAATCATGTCTGCAAAAATACACTTGCAAGAGTAAAAACTGGCAGAATCTCAGTAAATTATTACCCATACTTTATTACCAAACCAAAGTTTAAGGTAGTTTATATGTGTGGCTATCATAATGAACCTCACTAAATCCTTCGGTGTGACTCACAGAGCTCTGAATGGCATCCCAAAGGATGAATTGCGCTCCAAGATCTTTTTTTTATTATAACTCAAGCATTTCTGAAAATGACCCCACTTAGACATAAGTGATGCAGAAAAGTTTACTTTTGAGTCAAAAGTGGAAATAATCAGATTTTTATCTACTCTAAATATATTAGATAGCCTAAATAGTAGAACCATATAAGTGATTTTGTTGATTTTATATTAATGTCATATTAATGATCTTTCATATTCATAATCGTCTGTTTTGATTATTTTTGTTTCATTATCATTTTTTTTTTAAATGCCAGAAATTTTATCATTTGCTGAAAGATTTTCCACTGATTGACGTATGAAAACAGGTTATTAGACCGAAAGTAATCCGATTACATTTCAAGATATGACGGGATTACTGTTTGATTGAGCCCACGCGCCCCTGCAGGCAGGTAGACAGTCCGCGCGTCCCCAGCCGACCCGACTGTCTGAGCCCCACCCACCAGTCCACCCACTCGACCCACTCTCTACTCACCGGAGTGTCTTCTCCCTTGGGTGGTGGGACCGACCTTCTCCTGAGTGACACCCTCCCGGACTGTAAAGCTGGTTCGATTCCGCTGTCTGATGCGCGTGAGAGTGCGTCTAGACTCCGGGCAGGTGAGCCCTCCGGGGCCTCTAGGCGCTGCGCACAGTGAATACTAAACAGGATGAGACTGCATTCAGGCACGGCACTGCGCTCCCCGCTCTCTCTCCCTGTCATGCCAAATACTATTAACTCTATAATTCTCCTGTGTCAGATGTATAGCGCCACGCTCTCTGGGCATTTATTGTCACAGCGCCCCCATCCAGATGTTCAGGCGTGTGAGCATACAGTCAGGCTGCAGGCAGATTCTTCCTCCCCGTGTCCTTTTATAGGTCTGAACCACTGAATAAAACAGTGTGATGGTGCAGGATTTGACAGGGGGGTGAAATAATGTATATTGCGTTTCAAAGTAGGTCAGGCATTTAAGAAAGATGTATTATTTGTGAGGCAGTGACAGAAGCAGATTTCAGCTCATATAAAGAAGCAATATACCACCTTGTAAAAGTGCTCTCAAGAAAGACTGCAGCTAGGGTTTCAAAAATAAAGGGTCCTTCATCCAGACTTCAACAACTACTGGCCTTGTAGTGACTTATTTTGTCTTTATTTGGAATTTTCCCTTTTTTTGGCATCCAATTATTCAAAAAGTGTCAGCATGTAGAAGTTAGATATGCCCCATTTTCCGTACAAAAAAAAAATGCCTGAAATGACCAGTTTTAATACACAACTAAGAAGTAGTTTATCATTTATCTCATGACGCATATTTATCATTTATAATGAAGGGGGACATGCCCAAAAAAAGTAAGTCCTTAAAATTGGGACAAATTGAAGTGCTTTACATAGTTAAAAACAGAACATTCAGAACATGTAGAGTACGGACATTAATGTGGCATCAGAAAAAATTAGACACTTAAACATAAAGTACATGTAAGACATAAAAAAGAGAAACATTTAGCCAAAAGGACCTCATACTGTTTTTTTATTTCAGTCATGATGACACGAATGGTTCAATTCCTCTCTGTGCTTCAGCTTAAGTCTCCTTTTTCTGTTTCATCTTAGCACATAAACATTTTGATAATATCTCAGTTTAAATTATCTTTATAATTCCCAGAACTTTGTCTTTATGAGTCCCAGACACTGGGTTTTCACAATTATTTGACTTTGCCATTGTTCTTTTTGATTGTATTTTATTTCTAGTTCCGACAGAACAACCGTCATATTCTTAAGTTTCAACATTTAAACGGACTCTCCCAATAGACCCCAGTGTAAAATTAAGCAGTAGGACCTACACAATCCCCCCTTTTTGGCCATTCTCTGTGCAGTGTGTACAGGTGTAATATTTGCTTAAACCAGTGGTTCTCAAGTCCAGTCCTCAAGGCCCACTGTCCTGCATGTTTTGGATGTGTCCCTGCTCCAACACACCTGATTCAAATGATCAGCTCGTTATCAAGCTCTGTAATGGCTTAATAACGAGCTGATCATTTGAATCAGGTGTGTTGGAGCAGGGAAACATCCAAAACATGCAGGACAGTGGGCCTCAAGGACTGGACTTGAGAACCACTGGCTTAAACTGAATCACTGTGTGGTAAACTGGTTAAAAAGATAGGTATGAAAATGTAAGGTGTGTGCACAAACCTGAAAAATGTAAGATTTTACAGTATGGGTTTTCAGCTAAATGACCCCTCTTTCGGGAACCCCAAGTTTGCACAATACTTGACATTACAGAATTTCTTGCATTGTTTGTCACATGACAGTGGATAAAAAAAAAAAATCAGTTTATTAATATTCAAATATAAAACTGTGAGTTGTACACTATGTATTGAATACTGTTGCTGTCATACAGCTGATAGAATTTTTATCAATCAATCAATCAACTCTATTTCTATAGCACATTTTAAAGAACCACGGCGGTAGCCAAAGTGCTGTACACTGAGACATAAAAACAAATAAAACAAGTAAAGAACAAGATTAAACAAGCAAGACTACATAAATGCAATAAATAAATAAATATATAAATAAGCAGGCTCACGGCAAGTGCTATGGTGATAAAAAACAAAATAACACTATAATGTGTTAAAAGCCAAGATGTAAAAGTGCATTTTTAAAAGGGATATAAAAACAGGAAACATTGTATATGTATATCTATGTAAATTGTGAATCAGTGAGACTAAAGAAAAATTCCCTGCCTAGACTTGATGCAGTGAAGGGTTAAACTGGTCCCCTCCCTAAATCTAATTGACCACCCAGGTAGTACACAAAAATCATATAATATAATTCAGGGGACTCAAATCACTGGTCAGAGGGTCATTTCCAGCTCCCTTCAACCATCCTCAGGTCCACCCCTGGTGTCAACAATGTAACATTATCTATTTTCACGTATTTTAATTATCTTATGTCCATTAAAATTAAAAGAGAAACACAATCTCATGAAAACACAACAAAAAGGATGGGGAAGGTCAAAGGCCACAAAAAAAAACAGCATGCTAAGATCAGCTCCAGGGTCAGCTTCTGTGGAGTCCCACCCCCCCCCCCCCCCCCCCCCCACACACACACACACACACACACACACACACACACACTTAATTTGTGAGGTAAGGACCTTGTTCCAAAGTATTATAATCTCAAGCATCATTATGTGACTTAACATTGACAACAGTGAGATAAAGTCCTAAGGTCCTAAGGTTTTGTTGTTTGATAACAATTAATAATTTAATACGTGTTTAAAAGTTTGTGTTTTTGACAAAGTATGACAGAAAAAAAGCAGTTAATAAAAAGTGCACTTTAAGAAATATAGTGCACTTCATAAATGTGATTAGTTTTTGTATTTGTAGCCATATCCCCTGGCCACCCCATCCATGTAACTCAGGCCACCCAAAAGTCTGGACACACCCCTGGTCACAGCTGGACATGATAAAGTTAATTGTTTTCAATTATTGTAGATTATTTACAAACGAAAATTGAATATTTATCGGGCTGATTTATTTTGATTCTGTCTGAGTCGATTTCCATTGCATTTTTCCAGCAGCTGAACTCTTGTGTTCTTTAAAAATCAGTGCTGAAAATGAAACTAAACAACACGTGCATCCTCTTTTATTTATTGTCTTGGATTCACATGCTCCCCGGTGGCCTGAATTCACTTTATTTCCCCTTAAACTGCTCAGCTGTGACCTGCATTGACCTCATTTTCTCCAAGGCATTTTCTCTTCGCACATTATGGTCCGGGGTATTTTGGTTAATCCATAGGCTATGTTTAGCCTTTTCATCAGAATGCATCACAGACTCGGGGCACGGTGAGATTAAATTAGATTATTCACGAAAGCATACTGATGTGTTTTCCAGTCTCCTCACATGTTAACTGAGGGGAAAAGTAGGCCAGCAGCGGCTGACTGATCGACCCTCTCCCTCTTGTCCTTACATTACACCGTTTCCCTGACAGTACACAGATCTGCCGAAAGGGCGGCGGGGAGCGCACGTACTTAATTTGACCTGCGCAGGCTTCCGTAAAGACGCTCCGAAACATGGCGGCTTCCATGTGTTAACGTGAAAGTTGACTGGAAACAGATCCAGTGCTCTGAGGAGACATCAATCACACGGATAATCGTAGCGTTTGTACGATAAAACCTCTGATTTTGAAGGAAACCGGTGTCCGCCTGCTGCTGTTGTCACAGGTAATGTGTTTGTGGTGGCTAGCAAAACGGCTAACAGTTTTACGATTGAAGAAGAAATCACATTTAAACATTATCTTAGCTTATACGCTTTCCATTTCAGCCAAAATAACAACCTTATTTACTCTGCTGAACAGGCAACTTTGTTGACAACACAACATATTGTTGTTATATTGAAAAATACGAAGCTTAAATTACTTAAAATAAAGTTACAGGTCCAAAATCATGGGATAAAAACACTGCTACATGACTTTGTATGTTTCCACTGCTTCACTTATAAAACAGATACAGTCTTGGTTGTCTTCATTTGATAATTGAATTGCCAAAAGTATCTTTAAAAATGTAGAACCTTCTAGGTTATCAATGAAACAGGGGTAACGGGTCAGTGTCTCTTTTGGTAATTGGATATAACATTTGGAAACAGATATTTTCATACAGCCGACAGATGCTGCAGTATTCTATTTTCTTTTTAGAAATAAAAACTGAAAATCAAACCGTTATGTGACTTTTCCTTACTTGTTCCAGACAACATAAAAAGAAAATCAAGCTGTATTTCAATTTTGTTTATTTCTATTTTAACACAAAGATCACATAACCAGTTGTTGTCCTATTTTTGATATCTGTTTCCAAACGTTATATCCAATTACCAAAAGAGACACTGACCTTAATAGCTGGTTGTCCAAAAGAAGCTGTTTGAAGAAAACAACGAGATCTGGAAATGTCTTTTATGTATTATTTTTGGTCGCAGCTTCAACGAAGATTGGCGTTTTGTGTTTTGATTCAACCTTAAATTTTACTGGAAACTCCTTATTATTGAATTTCCATTCGGGGATCAATAAAGTTTTTGTATTGATATCTTCAGAAGAGCACATTTTTACGACAGATTGTCAAATTTAAAGCAGCTACTGACTTTTATCGTGTACATTACCTTTATCAAGGGTTTTGTAATCTTCACATGATCAGATATGATGATGTGAAGATTATGATTCTCTTGCAGTTTATCAATCACTGTATCCTGTTCTTTCTTAATCCCTGAATCCTGACAGTGTTGTGATTGTGGACATGTTATAATATTGTATCGTAGCAGCATTTGGTATTTTATTTGATTATGATTTTCTTTTTAACGATTTCTTAAGAATAATAGCAGCTAAATAATATGATGCAAATGCTGACAAATTTCATTGTGCAAATAAACTGATTACAACAGATTTCCTGACAGTTATGAACAAGAATTTTGCACTTAAACAGACTTTCACTCAGTTTTGAGTGAATTGTAATTCTAAGTGATTTATTGATTCCTTTATTGATCTCCACAGTGCAGATAAATGTGAGTGATACTTTTGGTATCTTTGATAGTATTGGACCCTGATGTTTGTCTTTTCCAAACAGTGAATGTTTATGGTGGTGAGGACAGCTAGCCGGCTCCCTCTCATCACCTCCCATCAGCTCCATCCTTCCTGCATTCATCCAGCCACACGGACGGTTTGTGGCCATTTAAGCAGAACTGTTGCTGCCAGAAGGGGACTGACATCCATGGAGTCCCTGAAAACTGCCCAGGTCTCTGAGATCCAAACTACCAAACCTCCCCCCTCTCCCTCTTCCACTGAGTCTACAGCTGAGGATAAAAGTGCTGTAGCCACCAGTACAGAAGCTGGAACAGAGAAGACACTTCCTGATGGGCTGTTACCCGGAGAGACGGTGGTAAAGGAGGGCAAGGCGTCCATCTTGTTTCCTAGTGCCAATGAGGTGTTTTACAACCCGGTGCAGGAATTTAACAGAGATTTGACGTAAGAATCATCACTGGTCATTTTAAAACAGTAGGAATTAAAGGTGAAATAGCTTTGAGCCTCAGATTTATGACCATCCCTCGGCCACATGGTGGCGCCTTATTGACTATAAAACAGTTATGGCCTCTGTAAAAATAGTCTTCTACATTTCAGTGATAAGTGCTGAAGATCTGACCTCATCTTACACTTTGAGGGGAAGTCTTATTCAGTCAGTTTTAAGAAGGCAGAATTTTGTTTTTGCAGCTGGATTTTACTTCACTGGCACATCCTCCCCTGATTTAAATTGCAGGATCACAGTTTTGTTTCCCACCATCTCTCCAGCTCTTTTTTTCAGATTAAAACAAAGTTAATCTACATTTTTAACACAATAAACTGCATGTGTTCATGTGAAAGTAAATGAATGGGGAGCTCTGTTGTTTATCCTGTAATGAAATATGATACCCAGCACTTGCTCAGCTATCATCTCTCATTCCCAGATGTGCTGTGATCACAGAGTTTGCCAGAGAGATGCTGGCTCAGTGGGGGGTGAAGGTGGTGGTGCCTGGAGAGAAGGAGAGGGTGGTGGTCTCCTTGTCGGAGGAGACTAAAAAGGAACAGAAAAACGGGTCTGGGGAGCTCAAAGTAACTGCAACAGTGGGGGAGAAATGCGAGGTGAGTGAATGTAATTTTACAGTGTGATTTCTGGTTAATTGTACTCAACTTTTTTTAATTTACCTCTACTTGACCCCTTGAGATCAACACCTCTGTCATAAGGGTCACCTGGCCAAGAGGTCAGCAACACATGTCATGATAAACTGATTGAAAACTAGAAAATGAACACAACCAGTCAAACTGAGACAGGGGTGGAGCAGCACACAACTTAATAACTTTATTAATAAACAAAATTGATAATATCAGCTACCTTCAGCAGTTTAAAAGTTACTAAACTGACCAAAAGCAGTCAAAATACCGGTGTGTGGTGTCAGCTCTATACAACACGGTGCTGGAGTTGTATCCTCCAGGTGTGGATACTGAGATTAGAAATGCTGCTGAGAGACTCGGCAAGGATCTGAAGGATCTAAAACTGTGAGTGTGATTCTGTGGCTGTCAGAGTCGGTGCTTTTGTCCCACTGTGGTTTCCTGTTCTAAAAATACACTCTGATACCAGTGTAATTCAGTTTGTACGAGGCCTCCATCAAATGACTTATGTTAATGTTGCAGCATTTTAATTTCACACTTGGCTGGCCTGAGGTTTAAGAGAGTAGATCAGTTTTGAAACTCTGGAGGATTTCATTGGGTTTGAATAATCCTTTTAGATGATGGTAGAAGACTAGGTAAGACAGGTGAAATATGTTAAACCAGTGCTGTTGATTGATAAAAGATCAGATTAGTTATTTTCAGACAATTGAAAATAATGGCCAGTGTCAGTGGTGAGGTTTGAAAAAGCCTTTCTTCTGAGAATATCTGCACAGGTATGGAGATTTTTTGCCTTTACTGTCCACCAAAATCATCTCTCACTTTTCCCCCTAGCGTTGTTTTTATTGAGCTTAAACGGTTGGTAGAGGATCCATCAGCTTCACCGCTAAATCATCTTGTGGTCTCAACTACCCAGAGAAAGCTGGGTGGATCTTTCATGCCTAACAAGCGTGGGATGAGCTTTAAGGCAGGCTTACTTTCGTGGTATCTCACCCCTTCTTGACCTACGAAAATATGTTCTGGAACAGGATCTTCTTTTTCAATCAGTTTGTTTTTACCCGGATATTTGCGTCTTGTGTCAGTTTCATAAATCAGGATAAATAGTGGCTGTTGGCAAATTTAAAACCAGTCTGGCATCAAAGCCAGCTGACAGCTTTTACATGTTTTTGCACCAGATAGACAGGGTGCAAATAGCAGAAAGTCGTGTATTAATGTTAAAAGAAAAAAGAAAACAAAAGAGAGAGCTCTTTCGTTGATTAAGTAGCTCATATCAGCAAGGACTCTTTTAAACCAGCCTGCCATCTGCTTTTACCTTTAGTGTACCTTTAGTATTTTTACCCAGAGAGTTGGTTGTATCCAAAACAGAGGTGTGAAATTTAACCTGAATACATCAAGGTCACAGTTTTTGCGGGTCTACTGGTCATGGAAGTCAGCAACTTTCCTTTGATTTTCTGTTCTAGCCTGGTCTTCGTGTGCTGGAGGGTCTGGCTGCATCCGGTTTGCGCTCGGTGCGTTTTGCTCTCGAAGTTCCAGGCCTGCGAAGCATCACCGCCAATGACTTCTCCAAAAAGGCTGCGGCGCTGATCGCCAGAAACGCAGAGTACAACAAAGTTAGCCACCTAGTGCAGGCTAGCTGCAACGATGCCAGGTACTTACGCTCGTCCTGTTTAGGGGTGTTTTGCTGCTGCTCTGCCTTGTTCACTTTTATTTATCTGCCTCACTGGTCTGCTGTCTGTTTGCTCCTCTTATTCCACTTGATTCGCTCATCCTCATTCCTCTCATGTCTTCACCTTTCACCTCTTGTTCTTTTCATCCTCTGGCTTCTGTTCTCATCTCCGCTCCTGTCTCTTTGCTTTTCTCCTTCCATGAACTCTTATGGCCCCTTTTCTATTTGTCCATCATGTCTTCATGTTTCCTTTTTCTGTCCTCTTCAGTCTTTTCTTTTCTTCCCTCTCTTCTTATCTCAGTTGGCCTGGATTTATCCGGTTTCTGCTCCCCTCTTTTCCCCATCCTCCTGTGCTCCATTTTCAGATTATTGTCTTTCTTGGCACTGCTGTTGTTTCTTTCTGCGCTCATACGCATGAATTTGTCGAACATTCTCTCTCTCTTTTGTGTTTTTCTGCAGTATGCTGATGTACGAGATGCGAAGGAAGAAGGAGCGTTATGATGTGATTGATCTGGATCCCTATGGAAGTCCCTCAGCTTTCTTGGATTCAGCTGTACAGGCCGTCAGCGAAGGAGGTGGGTCGTTCGGTCAGCTCATCATTAAACCATTCGATCTCTACTTTTAATTCTATCAGTGTTGCTTTTGGGTTTGCTACAGTTAAAGAATTCTTTACCCATTTGCTGTGTTTTCGTTGGGCTTTAAAGAGTGATTTCAAATCACACGTTATTTCCGAAACAGTAAGTTAGGGACATGCAGGTTTTTAAAACAGATTTGAACCATGATGGGAGTTTATAGCCTCCTGGTGTGAAGCTGTGGGATCTTTTAGGAATATTTTAGGTCACTGCTGGGATGTTGCATCAGCTAGTGTCCTGTCATGTGGTGTCCCTCAGGGTTCTGTCCTGGGTCCTCTTTTGTTTTTCTTAGTATCTGCTTTACAGTTGGACAAGGAGCAGTTCAAATCTACAGTACTTAGTTTGCTTCTTAGTTCAGTCTGAGGAAGAGTTTGTTTTGTAAGACACTGTCATGATTATGTTTTTACTTTAAGGACTGTCCTGGTTTAAAAATCCCGACAATGTTGAATAACAGAATAAAACGAACATCTTTTTACAATATGGTGAAGCCCAGTATGGGAAGGCTGTGATTTATGTCTTCTGCCTTTTTTTTTTCACCATCTGCGACTCTCTCTCTCTCTCTCTCTCTATCTCTCTCTATTCTTCCCTCCCTCTCAGGTCTGTTGTGTATAACATGCACAGACATGGCCGTGATGGCAGGAAACAGCGGAGAGACCTGCTACAGCAAATATGGTTCAGTCTCCATCAAAGCCAAATACTGCCATGAGATGGTGAGCACACACACACACACACACACACACACACACACACACACACACACACACACACACACACACACACACACACACACACACTCTCTCACTGAATAAACATGACACACATGCACAGTCATGTCACTAGCGTTCATGGGGTGAGTCTTGGTGAGTAAATGTGTGTATGATTCGTGTGTGGGCGTGACATAAATAAAACAGTAAATGTCAGGGGCTCTGGCCTGAGGCGAACACTTGTTTTTTTTTTTTTATGTGTGTTTGTGTGCCTCTATTTTTACCCTTACTTTGGATTTTTTTTCTTTTTTAATCTAAATAAAGAGACGTATAAAGAAAAAAACGGAGGACATCTTGCTGCTTTTGGCTTCTCAGGTGTTTTTATTCTTCTTCAACACCACTTGGAATGACTGAAGCTATGGTTTATCACTGCAATACAAGAATTCTTTAGGCAACTAACACTCCTGTTCAAAACTTTGAGTTAAAACACAACTACACTAACAGCTTCTTACTATAGGTACAACAATTTAACTCTTTCTTTGTTTGTGAAAAATGAAGCCAGGGCGGGTGTGCTACAAACTGCAGTTCCTAGAATGTCCACTTGGGACTTTCTACAAAAGCTCAGAAAGTTCTTTACCTCCTGTCTTAAAATGCAACCCAAAATGGATGAAATCAATCTTTATTCATAAAGGTTGATTTAGTAAGTTTTAGGAAACTCCTTCGCACTTTTCAAAGCCGATTCTTTTAGAATATGTTGCTTAAAGATCTACTTGGTCAGTATCCAGGAAGTCAGGACTGATCAAACATCAGCAGGTTGTTTATCTCCGAATTGATCCACCTGAGATGGACACATCACTCTTACCACCTGAGAAACACAGGATACATAAATCGCAGGACCAGTTGTTTTTGTCTGTGTCGGTAAGCTCTGACCTAATCAAGGACAACTCCACACAGAAACAGTGTCGTCGGATCGTTTGATGACAAACCTTTGACTTTGACCTTTGTATAAACCCTGGCCCTACTCACCTCTCTCTCCGGCTACGAATGTTGTGCCCATCTGAGGCAGAAGTTAGTAGAACAAGATTATCATTCTTTATAAAATCCAGGTTGTGGAGAAGCAAATAGATTGTTGTTCTTTTTGGATCTGTACAGCCGAACCCTGTGTGTTCTCGGGAGATGTGCTCCTCTGTCCTCTGCTCTGCTCTGGCTGGTGCTGGTGTGACTGCTGCCTCAGCCACTGATTCTACAGAGGACCAGTGGATCCAAATAGGCGCTAAATTGAAAATCCCTGTTAGCTCCACTCCACTCCACCCCATGCCGAACCCTGGAGGGTGGTTGGTTCTGGCAGGAGTCGCTGGAGAGAGGTTGGGAATTTCTGCTGTCCTTTCTTTGCTAATATCCCGCTGGGAAATGGAATTAGCATCCTCAATCCCCACAAGTTTCCTCCTCTGCCTGCAGAACCCAGACCTCTGTCCCCTCCAGCGTGTGTGTGCTCATCTTCTACATTGCCGCCAGATCATAACTCAGCCAAACCGGGAAAACCTCACCATTCCACTCTAATCCCATCTTCAACCAAAAGAGTGAAGCACATTGCAGCATTTATCAAGTTACAGTGGAGAGAAAAAACCTCCTTTATCAGACAGAAACCTGGAGCAGAACCAGACTGATGTTAGACAGTCACCTGCTGAGACTGAGCTGGGTTTAGAGAGAGGGCAGAGAGAGATAGAGAAAGAGAGAGAGATGGACAGAAGAGAGACTAATGCAGCAGGAAAACAGGCAGGACTTTGGCAGGAAAACGTCTGCTGCAGCGATCCAGAGGAACCTACGGCATGATGGAGCTCAGGGACTCCAAGGAAAGACTGTATTAGTGGTTTGTGGAAATGTACTGCTATTGTATTGGATACAATGTGGGCAGACACTCATGGGCCAGATTTGAAGTGCCTCAAACAAGGACATAATTTAAGACATGATTACTCGATATGATAACCTGATCAGGCTGGTTTGACCCAAACCCAAAGAACAGACATTAATGTCAAAAATTGACACTAAACGGAGTACAATGAAGTCTTCCCTCACGTTAACATGTCGGCTCGAGCCAAATTCAGCCCGGCAAGTGCAGAAAAATAAGTAATTCTCCTATACTAGTCCTAAAGAAAGTGTGTATACGTCTTTGTGTTTTCGCTGCAGGCTCTCCGTATCATCCTGCACAGCCTGGATCAGAGAGCAGCCGTTTACCAGCGATACATCCAACCCCTGCTGTCAGTCAGCGTGGACTTCTACATCCGAATCTTTGTGCGAGTCTTCACAGGACAGGCCAAAGTGAAAAATTCAGCCAGGTGCCTCCCCCATGCACACAAACACAGACACACACACACACATACATATTGACTGTATTGTTTTTTTTGAACAAAGGCTGTTATATGATGAAAGTTGAATGAAGTGAAACTGGGTCACTGCAGCAACAAATGCTAAAAATAATGACAGCAGCAGACAGTCGGGAGATAAAGAAAAGCAGGAGCATATTTAAATATATAAATGTATGAAAAGTTAATTGATTGTTTGGGTGTATTGTGAGGAAAGTAGGAATAGAAAGCTGAACAAAAAGCTTTTGCAGCCTCATGCAAATAAACCAGCACACATATTTCCATATGCAGTCTGACAAAAATGCTCCGTAATTAAGCTAAAAACACAACTCTCATTGCAAATCTGGAGCTGATTTTATACATTTTTCACACTCCACGTCTTGTGTTGCAGCAAACAGGCTCTGGTGTACAACTGTGTCGGCTGTGGGTCTTTTCACCTACAGAGGATGGGCCGGAGGACAGTCAACGGAAATCAGTAAGAGTCTGTGCTTCGTATATCTCATCCTGGTATTAATGTGTAGAGGAAAGACAGTGTCAAATGAGCTTTATACACCTTTAAACTGCAATAAGTATCACAGGCTTGTTTCACTGTAAAGTCACCCTTGCTCTCATTCAGGACCTATGATAACAAGAGACCGATTTTTTTTTTAATCACTTTTTAAATAGAAGTTTTGCGATCTTGGCAGCATTTCCACCTCTATCAGGTCCACGTCACAAACATCAATCCCAAATTTGACCACGTAATTAAAACACAAACGTTTATTGGACAGGACAGCTGAAGAGAGACAGAAAATATGGGGAGTTGAAAGTCAGGGAAGACATGCAGCAAAGGGTCCGCTGTGACAAAAACTGCAGCCTCTACACATGAGACAGCTCGCCCACTGGTGCCCATTGTTAGCAATCTTTTTCCAAAAAAGTTTGTTTATTAATATTTTAGTGTTTTTTTTACACATGTCCAGACTTTTTTTTATAGAGAGCTGCTGGAAATAACTTAAAAAATACATTTAACGTTCTTGAAATGTGTTCGATTTGTTGCTTTTTGTATGATCTTTAGTTAAATATGTGATTTAAAGAATTTGCAAACCACCTGAATTTACTTAAATGTCAGTTTTACACAGTTTTCCAGCTTTCCAGCCCTTTTAGAGCTGGTGTTGAAGTTTAGCTGTAAAAAAACAGAATATTGACACCTGTCGAGTCTTCCGCCTGTCAGTGAAGTTCGAGCAGATTCATCGGACTTCTTGGTTTTGTCTTTGGTCAGCGGGGGTTTGTGTACTAAAGATGGACTCTCTGGTTTCAGTACAAAGTATTCTCCCAGTGTTGGACCTCCAGTTGGACCAGAGTGTGAGCACTGTGGACAGAGACACCAGGTGGGACTCATTCAGTACACACACACGCACACACGTACATACACACACACACACACACACACACACACACACACACACACACACACACACACACACACACAGAGCATAATTGCAGCTCAAATTAGGATTATTTCACTCCAGGTGTTTCTTTATCACCTCATCTACACAAACACATTAAACACGCCCGCTGAAGCCTGCGTCTGCTCCTCCTGTAGCTCGGCGGTCCCATGTGGGCGGAGCCTATCCATGACTTGGAGTTCGTCCAGAGGGTTTTGTCCGCTGTGTCAGCGAACCCGTCCAGATTTGGGACGTCTAAACGAATCCAGGGCGTACTCAGTATGGTAACTGAGGTATCCATGTCTTTTTTTTTTTTAATACTCCCTCTGAGCACAGAGCTGGTTCTCATCCTTTGATATTGTCTTGTGGGTGCGGTTAGCTGCATCAGATAACCTCACACATGAGAAAAACACACCGAGGTTTATTTCCTCTTAGACTGACGGATTATGAGGCTTTGATGCTTTGTTTGTTTCAGGAGCTGGAGGATGTACCTCTTTATTACACCGTGGACAGTATGAGCAGCACGATACACACCAATACCCCACCTCTGCTGCAGTTCAGGTAAACACACACACACACACACACACACACACAAACAAAAACTACAGTTTTTAAGAAACCAGAGTTGTTTTAGGTGGTTATAGCAGCTCATGCCATCTTATAGTTTTAATGATACAATAACGCCTTTAAAACACTGACACTCAGGTGTCAGCGGGCAGGTCTAACAGGAAGTAGAGAAATCTAACAGAAACTTAAGAAAGTAGACGTGCAGAGATTAACAAATATGGATGCAAATGACAAGAATCCAAGTCAAAAATCAGGCGGATCAACCACAAAAGCAAAATTACAATAACAACTATAAGAAGAAGACAATTAAAGGGATGAGAGAAAAAAAAACACTGAACGAAGGATCTGAAGATCAGTAAAGGGCAAAAACAAAAGCATCAAGCATCAAACAAAAGCACCATATTCAATATCTCAAAGTAGCAAAAGAAAAAGGGAAGAAGAAGGTTAAAAATGCACTGAAAAGGTGACATGACATTAAAGGGATATTCCAGCGTAAATTTAAGTTATGGTCAAACACATCATAACACTGAGTTAGACACTCCCTCCATAGATGAATGTTGCCGACTGCTTACTTCTCTAGTTATACCAACTTTAGTGACAACGGCACAATAGCAATACAGTGGTCTACGTCTCCACGTGCAAACCTCAACCAAAACACAACTCTTTACCCACAAATAATGCTCAGAACAGCACCTAACTTCATCAACAGTACATAAAGGGTCCCAGCCATAGTACTAGCCACCAAACATCTTTTTAGCTTTGCCTGGTTTCTTTAGCAAAGAGACTAAACACAACTCATCCACTCTCTTCCAGCAGCCGCTTGTTTGTATGGAGAGCTCGGACAAGTCCATCACCGACTGCAGTGGGGTGACACAGCTCAAGGAAGAACATTTATGACTAAGCTAAAAAGATATTTGGTGGCTAGTACTATGGCTGGAACCCTGTATGTACTGTTGATGAAGTTAGGTGAATACTCGGTGTTACGGTGTGTTTGACCATAACTTAAATTTACGCCGGAATATCCCTTTAAAACTGGGTATGTAAAGTGATTCAAAAGATGTTACTGATTCTGCACAACTTACCCTCTGAGGCAGGTTGTCCCAAAGTCGAGGGATCCTGATCAAAACTAAGTGTATTTAGCATCACGAGAATAACACCCTAGGTTAGATTAAGATTATGAGACTTTGTATCATCAGTTAAATTGGGACAAAACAAGGACAACCAAGTATGAAATATGGTCGGAAAGTGCATGCAGAGTGGGGAAATTGGACCTGTGTCTATTTTTCACAAACTTATGTTGAAAAAAGTTAAGCAGACTTTAAGACTTTGTCCTCTTTCTTCCTGCAGGTCTGCTCTCCTCCATGCTGGTCACAGGGTTTCACTGTCTCACGCCTGTAAGAGTGCCATCAAGACTGACGCTCCACCTGCAGTCCTCTGGGACATCATGAGATGCTGGGTACACAAAACGGATCAACAAGATCCACACATTAAGCAGAGGCTCAGGCTTTTGATGTTAATGCTGAACTTGAGTGTAATAATGTGTAATAATGTGTAATAAGGATTCACTGCTTTAAACTTTAGGAGAAGGCAAACCCAGTTAAGAGGGAGAAACTGTCAGAGACAAGCCCCGCCTTCAAAATCCTTTCCACCGAGCCCAGGTGAGACTGTTTACCAGGAGGGGACTTGGCCTCAGGTATGAAACATGATCTCACACATTAACCTTAAACTGGTCTGCGTGTGTGTGTGTGTGTGTGTTTCTGTGTGTGTGTAGCCTAGAGGCTTGTTTCACCGTGAGGGAGGACGCCAACCCTCAGTCCCGTAAACGCCACCTGACCCGGTTCCAGGAGAATCCTCAGGCCTTCTGGGGACCCAAAGCTCGTGCCAAAGCTTGGTAACTAGCACACCTGTATTCTCCTGAGAGACACGCACGCACACACACAGGTTGCAGCAACATGAACTAGTTGTCACTGGTTTTAAAGGAAACATGATTTATTCCAAAAAGGGCAGAGTTTTATGCAAAAGAAGGTAAATCAACCCAAAGATGGCCAGTGAGAGTTGTTCAAATCAGGAAATGAGGAAAACAAAAACTGGACTCCGGTAGACTAGGGTCTTTTAAGGTCTTGCAAAGGTAGAAATACAAAAGGCTTGCATCCTGTTAGATGCGCAGAATGATTTTTGATCCCTGCCCTCTCTGGGTCCAAATCTTGTAGATGTGCATACCTTCTCTGACTTTGTCCATCATAGTGAAATCTGACTTGACTTTACCTAAACCTGGTGGTCTGGCAGCTAAATCTGTTCGGGTAAAATTTAAAACAAAGTTAGACAGAAATCTGCCCATGAAACAGGCAAAAAATGCCCAGCGAACAGAAACCCACAACGAGAGAAGGGGGCTACGGTCTTGACTCACCCCAACAGACTTACACAAAGACTTGTTTTTAGGTTAGTTTATGGAAAAACACAGTTTTGGATGCATTAGACTTAAGAGTGCTTAAAAACTCTGATTTTGAACAACACTTCTTTATATTTTTACCGTAAAGCTCCTAAGAAACGATAAACAAAAGCCAATTGATCGACAAAGTGAGTCTGAAAATGGGTTGTAAGTTCAGAGTTGACGGTAAAAAGCTGATTTCATCTTCACAAACTGGCAACACAAAACATCACATCTGTTATAGGGCTGCAGAAATTGCGGCTTCATTATGACTTTTATGCATGACTACTTGATACAGCACAGTATCACAATATTTTGTCTGGGGATATATCGTATCATCTCATTTACCAAGTATCGATTTTTCACATTATTTGTTAATATGAAGTCAAATCTGTGATAACGGAAAAATAAAATCAACTGTTTGTCCAGTGAGGTTCACATCATAGAGCTGGAGAAAGTTAGTGCAACAAATATAGATAAGGTTTGTAAAATAAAATACAGCGTAAATAAGACAAACATGAAAGAAAGACATATGCTAAATTAGCTAAACAGTTGAAAAAACTGTATTAATCGTAATATATGCTATCACAATAATCACTGTATTGCAAAATGTTAAAAATCACAATATTATTGTATCATGAGGCCACTGGAGGTTCTCGCCCCTAATGATTACTCATAACAGACACATATTATGGCTCGACAATAGGGCCTTTGAGAGCTTGTTTAAAATTATAACTCTTGACTTTAAACAACAACTGAAATTTTGGAGATTAAAGCTGAGTTAAGATAGAAACTAAAAGGGAGAGGCTCCTACAGATAGAAGGAGAAGGACCTGTGTTTTTTTTTTACTCATCTCCTCTCTCCCTCCCCCTTCCTCCTCCTCCTCCTCCTCATCTATCTTCTCTTATCCATCTCTAACCTTTCTCTCCCCTCTCTCTCTCCTGCAGCGGTGGCATCTCTTCTGACCTGCAGGACAAGAGGAAGAAGTGCCAGAACAAGAGAAAGAACCAGATCACAGACTCGTCCCAGCTAAAAGATTTCCCCTGCAAAAGGTTCAAGCAGGTCAGTTCACCTGCAGAGCTCAGACATCCACTCAGGTTTATTTCAGACTCAGTCAAAACAGGGGGAAGTGTACTCAGCCTCTTACAAACAGGACATGTGAGATGTATTTATAGCTCTAAACCTTCTCTGTCTGACTCCCTGTACATTTACCTGTCAGTCAGACTGGACTTGACTTCTCTCTGATGTCTTTCTCCTTCGCTTTACTCCTGATGAAGGGCCATTAAGTTTGGTTTTTAATAAAAGCTACTGTTTTTTTTTTTTTACAACAATTTTCCAAGAAGAAACCCTCTGGTCTTGTCACTTCTGAGAAACCTGACTCATTTGTTTTTCTGAGAAGAGCGGCAGAGACAGATGAACACTGTGTCTGTCGTTTACACCTGCACTGATTTCAATCACTTTAATGAAGATTAAACCATCCTGACTCCACCGTATTCAGACACACACTCTAATGAAGACAATTTTCATTAATTAGTCCTGAATTATTTTCATTAAAAACCATGAGTCCTGGTCTGTTGGTAGACGGCTTAGATGCAGGGTGAAAGGAGAGAGTAAAAAAGCAGATTGTTTTTTAAAGTGTAAACTCTTTTTTTTAATATATTTTAACTGTTTTTATCAAAACAGTCATAATCACTTTTTAAAGTTTTACAGTATGAAGTGTGAGCATTACTTTATGCACCAAATTGCACCATTCCTACATTTCATCCTGCAAAAAGACACAAAGCTTTAGAGGAGTTTAAACAACCATTATTTAGAAAGGCAGTATTTTCTAAAGGGTCATTCCACTTATTCCACTTTTTTTTTCAACCACAAATCTTATTCCTTAAAAATTGGCTTTGCACAAACAAAAAACAACTGTGCACAACTTTAAACTTGAATGAGGTTGCCATCTGTGCAGCTGTTAACAGAGTAAGACCCCGTTTATATGTACCCGGTTATTTTTAAAAACTGAGACATTAAAGGGATATTCCGGCGTAAAATTAATTTAGGGTTAAACACACCGTAACATCGAGTAAGAATGTTGAATGAATGAATGATGAATGAATGATGAATGTTGCTGACCACTTGCTTCTCTAGTTTTACCAATTTAAGTAACGGCCACACGATAGCAATACACAGAGGTCTATGTCTCCATACACAAACCTTAACCAAAAAGCCACTCTATAGCCACAAATAATGCTCAGAACAGCACCTAACTTCATCAACAGTACATATAGGGTCCCAGCCATAGTACTAGCCACCAAACATCTTTTTAGCTTTGCCCGATTTCTTTAGCAAAGAGACTAAACACAACTCACCTACTCTCTTCCAGCAGCCACTTGTTTGTAGCGAGATCATTACTTTTTCATTTCCTTGAAGTAATAATCACCATATTAATCATTTTGCACTGCAGACACGGTAGTTCTTCTGCCTTTGCATCTCAGCCTGATTGCATTTCCATGAGGAAATGATCACTAATGTTCTTCCTTGAGCTGCGTCCCCCTGCTGAAGTCCATAATGGACTGGTCGAGGTCTTGCTACAAACAGTCAGCTGCTGGCGGAAAGTAGGTGAGTTGTGTTTAGTGTCTTTGACAAAGAAATTAGGCAAAGCTAAAAAGAGGGTGGCTCTTGAGACCACTGTGTATTGCTATCGTGCAGTCGTGACTAATGGTGGTATAACTAGAGAAGCAAGCAGTCTGCAACATTCATCTCTCGACGAGGTGTCCAACTCAGTGTTACAATGCATTTGACCCTAAATCAATTTTATGCAGGAATATCCCTTTAACCATCATTTGCACCCTTTGTTTAGACACAAACAGAGAATTCGCCCCTGAAAACGATTCTTTTTTAAAAAACTCCAGCCAGAGTGGAGATTTTGGAAAACTCTGTTTGCCCATGTAAACGGAGAAAAACAGAGATTTTGGTTGCCGACGGCAGATTGTGCACAGGAAAGAAGGAAGGGACGTTGTTGTTGTTGCTGCTATGTGGGATTCTGATTGGCTAACGTGGGCTTGAGCTTCTCGCTACACTGCTACCCACATGTTTGATATGCTCTTGACGGCATATATACACGGGTTAGTGTAAATGAAAACTTGGTAGTGTGCACGCAGTTTTTTTTTTTGTAAATGGAGAGGGTTAAATGTCTGTTTATGAAATTAGCCGGGCATGTGTAAACGTAGTCTCAGAGCATTAATATTTAACCTGCAAGTTCCTATCAGTCTGAATTAACTGCAAAGAAACGTAAAATCCTGAATAGGAATGCACCGTTTTTTCTGTAGCCGTGCAGCTTTTATGCACCATCTGCTTTCTCCATCCTGCCAGCCACACATAAGGTAGTTTGGATGATACATGCAGAACTCCTGCCAGTGGCTACCCCTCCTCTGCTGGTTACTTGTTGTCTTGTGTTACAGTCTTATCGATCCATCAAACGCTTCAACAAGTTTTTCACAGGATTATAGAAAATTTAGGGTCACAAAATATCTCAGCTCTGGTTTTCTTGTATTTGTGAGAGGATTTATATGATCATGATACAACAGAGGATGCAAAAGCAACCCTCAGCGTCCTTATTTGTATGATTTCTTTCTTTTTCAGGGAACGTGCACCCACGGAGACAAATGCTGCTACTCTCATGAGCTGGAGAAGATAAAGGATGTGGAAATGAAATAATTCCGTCCTCTCAGAAGTTAGTTTTCTTTGTTTTAAATGGTTTTATTTCTGCAGTTTGAGCAACTTTATGCAGCCCAGGTTAAGCGAGCACGATGTTCAATAAGCAAAGGTGAAAAAATCTCAGAGTTGTTATTCCCCTGAATGCTTTGACTCACTTAATGGCCGTTTTTCTAATTCCTCGTCATTGTTTTTTTTATTTTATTCCTTGTCTGGCTGTTGTTGCAGTTCAATAAAGTCACTCTGCTGACTTCAAATGAGGTCTTAAAGATGGAAAAGGTTTGTAAACTTTGACTGCTGACTCTATGAACACAAAAACAGCTATGAGTGTGAGTGGATGTATAGCTGTAAAAATCACAGAAAAACAAACACCAGAGTTAAGAATCATAGACTTTATTAGCAGCTGCTTGGTAATCAGTATAAAATTGCTTTAAAATATTTACACATAGTGGCGATTACCGTAATTACACATGAAGCAGTCGGTAAAATTGGCTTTAGTTTCACTTCTAGTGTGATTGAAAATGCATGTGCTGATAAAAAGTATCCCTTTTAAAAGCTGTAAAAATGGTCCAGGGTCAGTTCTGATGGCTCTGGTGTTGTCGGTGTTTCTCAGTACAAAAAGGCAGCTTCAACAAATGTACAAAAAGAACAGACTAGTGCAAAACTCGTGCAGATGTTCTGTCTCAGTTGGTTTTCTCTTTTGTTCATGAGTCTAATGATCAAGTAGCGGGTTTCCACAGACATTCCACCTTGACCTCCAGATGTCTGTGGAAATCTCGGGGTCGGTCAGCTCTGGGGTTTTCTGCGGTCAAAGACAGGCTGTGTAAAGCCTGCCTCTTATTTTAAAAGTCTGTGCTCTTGGAGCTCCAGGAACAAGAACTTGTGCTGCTCAGAAATGTGTTACTGATTTGGCTCAAAAATCCTGGACCGGTGAAGAAAAGAAGAAACATGATTGGCTATCAGTTGCTCATTGTGATAATGAAGGTTCGGATCTGCATTGGTGTAAAGGCCACCTCCCATGGGGAGGGGTCTTCAAATGTCTTCAGCAGGGGCCTTTTACCTATAAAACAGGTCAAAACAACAAGAGCAACACATTATTTCAAGAACAATACTAATATTGTTTTTGGTCTAAAATGGCTTTAAAGACCCACTCTGATGTTTTTTTATATGTTGGCATTTTTCTGATGCTACAGGACATAACATAAGAAAACTAAATACGAAATTCCTTTTCTGAGTATTTTTGCATTCAAATCGCTGTGAATCTCTGGCAGACTCAAACAGCAGGTTCAGAAACAGTGAGAGTTCATATGTAACCAATCCAAGCTCCGCCCCCAGAGCCCTGCTGTGCAGGCCACACTCTGCATATAGAGGAGAAATACAGAGGACGATCACGGCACAAGCATGTGCGTTAGCGGGTTGCAATGCTTGTAAGAAAGCTAATTCTGATGTTAGCTTTCATTGTGTCCCTAAAGATCTAAGTGTTCGAGAGCTGAATAGCTCCTATGTTACCTGCCACTTCTACTACACCGGCAATGTTAGGCTGCAAGCTAGCGTGACGAGGAGTGTGCAGAGCTGCAGTGTCTCCGCCCACGACTCAGAGGTGAATTGCTAATAATCTACTGGAGCTCTGCAGAAGAAAAGCCCTTAAAAACAACACAGGTAACACAATTTAAAGACCACTGAGAACACTGAGTAGTAAAAAAAAAAATGCTCGGAGTGGGACTTTAATAGCATCCCTACATGTTGGATCAAAGCACCTTTGTATAAAGTGTAAACTACACCAGGCTCTGAGTGTCATTTTACAACACAGAAAAGCAGACTGTTCAAGTTATTTCCAAATCAAATCCGGACTAAACCTGGAGACACTCTGAAACTGTATAAAGAAAAATCCTTCGACAAACGCTTATGTCCACCAGTTTCCACTCAGCTCAGTCTCTAACAGGACACAGTTTGACTGTCCTGATGAAGATAAAAGTCCAACATTTAAAAAAAAACAATTTTCTAACTACTTTTTTTCACAAATAGTCATGCTTTATGAGGATAGCTATTGTAAAAGTTTACATAAATCCAATAATTATAAAGCAACACCAGCCCATTTCTAAAGCCTCATAAATTCATGTTTAGCTTTTATAACACTCTTTATGAGTGATAACAACTTATGCTAGCACTTTATTTGACGCCTCTTTCTAAAAAGCATTATAAATATTTATAATGCATATAATCACGTAATAGCACCGACAACAAGAGTTATAAATGCTCATAAATGATCATAATGCTTTATAGCAATAATCATAACATATTATAAAGCATTTTATCATGACTTACAAGGTTAGGTATTATAATGTGTTATAACTGTTAACAACTGTTGCATTGCATTATCTATGTAGACACTGTCAGTAAGTTAACAGTTATAACACATTATAATACCTGACCCAGTAAATCAGTGTTATGATTAGTGGAGTAAAGCATTATGATCATTTATGAGTGTTTATAACTAAAGTTACAGAGTGCTATAATGTGATTTTAACACATTATAAATATATTTATAATGTGTTATGGAGATAGGCGTCAAATAAAGTGATAGCTAACTTGTAGCTATGTTAAAGTAGTGTTAAAAGCAGTGACCATAACGCCTCAGGAAGGTATGATTTATAATGTATTATACAGCAACACTCCAAAGATTGTTATAAGGTCTAATAAATGCATGTATAAGGCTTTATAAATGTACTTATGCTTCATTGTGTTACCAGAGTTAGTAATTTTTTGCAGCTGTTTACAGCAAAACTGGAATCAAACCAAGTATCAGTTTAGAGCCATTTGAAACTGACAGGTGAAATCTTAATGAGCCGATGCAGTGGTTTAAATCCCTTCATATATCATGCCCAGATTTGAAAATGACAAGAGCTCATCTCTATAAAGTCAGATCAGTAAATGGATCAAATCCTGTTAGTGGATCAGCTGTCGTAACAAGCCTGTAAAAAAAGAGTCCCGATGAGCCATAAAACACCCCTCAGTTTACTATTAAAGCTACGAGCCATAAAGCTGTATTTATGACTCATTATATTCCACTGCCTGCTTGATTAGTCCCTGCAGGGAAATAGTCTTTAAAGTTAAGTTGTCTGTAATGGAGCGCTGATTAGCGTGCTGCTGAAATTAAAAAAAGCATCTGTGGATTTCTGGATTCATCCTTGTCTTTTCAATCAAATCGTCAAACTATGCCAGGACCACCGGCCAAGAGCTTCATTAGTGAGTGGATGCTCACCAGCAGCCCACACATCAGACGATTGAACCACATCTGGCTATTTGGGGTTCAGGTTTGGTTTCAGAGCATAAACTCTGATGGGTTTTTTTTATCTTCTGCTCAGAGGAGGATCAAGTAAAGGGTTAAATCCTGTTCCTGTGAGACTCTGATGAGCAGGATAGTCAACAGTGTTTACAGTCAACATTTATGATCTCCAGGAGAGGAATTCTAGTCCTCAGTGAATAAATGTAAACAAATGATTAAAAATTACCTCTTAAACAAAGTTTTAAAGACATCTTGATCTTTTCATCTCATTGAGAGATATTTGAATTCTCTGATCCTTTTTTTTCCTGTGAAGGTCATTTTCAGCTGATGCAGGTTTGTGCAGACTCAAATCACTCATTTATTGCGCTCTTTTACACTTAAGTATCATGTGGTGTGAAGTTTGCCGCAGCTGCAATCATAACTTTAGTCTTGACTGAGTGTTTAAGATATTATACTGGTGTTTTTTCATGTAGCTCAGGGTTTTGGTTGACATTTCACTAACACTTTACTTACATGCCTATCTCTGTAATGCATTATAAATATATATAATGCGTTATTATCACGTTATAGCACTGTATAACTATAGTCATAAACACTCATAAATGGTTATAATGCTTTATAGCAATCATCATAACACATAATAAAGCATTTTATCATGACTTACAAGGTCAGGTATTATCATGTGTTATAACTGTTAACAACTCACTGATAATGCCCACATAGATAATGCATTATACATATATTTATGATGTGTTATAATTTGCTTATAAACTTGTATAACTATCATTATAAACACTCAATAATTATCATAAGGCTTTATAACAATAAGCATAACACATTATAATACCTGACCTTGTAAGTCATGATAAAATGCTTTATAACATGTTATGGTTATTGCTATAAAGCATTATGATCATTTATGAGTGTTTATGACTATAGTTATACAGTGCTACAGTGTGATTATAATGTATTATACATATATTTATAATGTGTTACAGAGATAGCCATCAAGTAAAGTGTTACTGAAATTTCTTTATCAGGTATTTACAAATCTCTCAACAACAACTGAGTTTGAAAGAGAGACATAGTGTCTTTTTAATTTCTTTTTAAAGTGTAATCAGCTAAATCAGATCTGGATTCATGCTTGTGAACTTGTCCGTTGTAGTTCAAGAACACTTGACTTCTTCATCTGTATCTGTGCTTGTTACATGTTCGTCTAGCCCTGGCTCACTGTCAGGATTTAAGAAGCTACTGAAGTCATAAGTTTCTTCACGTACCTGACTCTGGAGTCCACTGGAGACGCTTCATCTCATCTATCCACTGATTGGCCGAGAGGTTCAATTCGGACACGCCCAAAACTTTAAGAGTGGAAAACAGTTTCTACAGAGACAAAAGGAAAAAGTTGTTAATGACTTCAAATCTGAAGAAAGATGTTAATGAGATTGTTATTGGTCAACAGTTTTTTGCATTTTTGAACAGAAAAGTGTTGCCAGGGGCAACCTGACATTACAAATCAAGTCCTAGAAATCTGCAAAAAGGAGAGCCGCACATTTCCTCTCTGGACTGTTGACACTGTGGCAAAATTAATGGTCATAGATAGCTTTTTAGATCGTTAATTAACATGGAGGATATTTCGTATGATACAGTCAATGTATTTGGAGAGCATGTGACTCTAAACTTGTGGTTGGTGGCCAAAAACTCACTAGTAAAGGAGAAGACAAGAAAAAAATGAGGCAAAACAGCATCACACAGGGAGCGGAGTAAAAACAACATTGACCAACTTGGGGAAAAAAAAGGCATGAAGCAATGGTGTGGACTAATGCTCGATTTAAAATGATTGATCACAGAAAAGCTCATTCATGGTCTTTATTTAGAGTCTGAAAAAGTACAAGTATAAAGCTTATAGGTACGACAAGTTGGCTGATGAGAACTTGTTGTTGCCATAGGAGCATGGACTCTGAGGGCCTTATTTTTCAGCCCTGTAAATAAATAATTTTAAATCACTAATATCAACCTAAAGTCAACATTTTGTGTCTTTTTAGCCGGCAGCCAGGAAATACAGAGTATGTGGTGTAGTGAGCTGGATGTTAAATTTGAACTTTACTCACTGTACTTACTTTAAACTGATCAAAAAATATGTTTCACATTCTGGGAACCGAGGTTTCCTTCACTATTTTAAACTTAGTGCTCCAGTTTTCAGCTTCACTGTGATTTAATGATATAAAGGTGTATGGTGCGTGTTTGAAACACTGACCTGCAGGTTGACGGTGACTGGCCGGGAGTGCGTTTTGCTCTCCCAGCTCTGGAACTGATGCTCCAGTCTCAGCAGCACAGAGTTGTCGTCCCACTGGGTCAGTGTGAGCAGGTGAACAGCAGGGGGCAGCGAAGCCTGCAGCCCTGAGAACTACACACAGATGCACAATGGAAGATCATCAGCCTGCTGTTAAAAAACATCTGAGGAGTGTGACATGAATTAGAGGGTGACATTTCTCTGTAATTACTGCAACGACTTGAAGACAACAGTTTGTGTCACTAATTATGACTCCCTCTGAAAACATGTCAGTAAAAGCAGAGCCAAAATCAACAACAGCTCCGGCTGCTCTCCTGAGGTTTGGTAAACGAGGACAACTTGTGAAAATGCAAATATGTTCAAAACTGAACTGGAGTAAACTCTGGAGACTAAAAGATACAAACAGGCAGGAGATGGAGCTACTGTATAAATGTAAGAAAACAAACAAAAAAGCAAAAAAGAAAACCCAGCACACACAAGCAAATTTTTCACTCAAACTGAACAAAGTGGTCAAGCAACTAAACAACCGAGACAACTCCAAATGAAGGCTGCAAAATGTGGCGATAAACTTCACATTTCTCTAGGGAAAAACAGGTGAAAATACAATATCCAGCAAGTGGACAAAGGGCCTGATGGAAGTGTCTGTGGGTAGAATTATCTGAATAACCCCGAATTTCCATCGTATCCGGAACAGCTCCGATCCGTAGAGGTAGTGATTTTCACCATCCACAAATTCCTACCAGCTCCGTTTGTGAGGCGAAATTTCGTGGCAAATTACGGGCAGCGAGAATCTCGAGAACTAACAAGAACCTGCAGATTCATATGCAATCGTGCGATAAGGAGTTGTCTCTATAAAGACAGCCACAGAGGCTAACAATATAAGCAGTAGATTGTGTCCTTCCGGATGGGGAAATCTACTTCTCCACTTTTAGAATCAGCATCCTCTAAATCATGGTGTCATCAGTGTGAAATGCTGTCTATAAACTTTTCGCTTGTTGCATGGTGTGAAATATGATCCGCCTGAAACACAGAGTGTTTTATTTTGAAAAGAAGCCGGATGTTTTATTTTGTGTCTGTACCCGACTTCCTTTTCAGCATGGGAAAGATAGAACTCTTGTGATCAGCTGCAGAGTCTGGCGATCCGCAGCAGAATGAAAAAAAGCTGGTGGAAATTGACACATTAACTTGAATGATTACGATCAGCTGTGATCGGCAGGTACAGCCTTTTCGTAGCCGTTTTGGATGCGGTGGAAATTTGGGGTAAGGTTGCAGTTTGGCTGAAAAGTTGCCACAAAAGGAGCCACAAAACTCTCAAAATCTGTCAGAGTCCTCAAGTGTAGAAATTGAGGCGCCTCCTCACTCACCTCCAGTTTAGCGTTTGGGTGCAGTTCTCCATTAGTGAATGTCAGCAGAGGCTGCAGTACCATCTCCTGAGCTAGGGGGCGGTGTGAGTCAGCTGCAGTGAGCGGGCGGTCCAGTAAGAGCATAAGACGGCCTCTGACCACCAGTCCCTCCGGAAAGATGTCTGATGTCTCGTTTAGAGGCTCACCCACACCTCGGACGTCGTCGTACAGCAGGCGGCGGTGGAGCTGAAGCAGAGGAAGAGGAAAAAATATGTTCACTCTTTAACTCAAACAACAATCTGAGTCTGTCAGAGGTCAAAAGAAAAGCTTTTTGCTCCTTAACCTTCTTCAAGTTTAGGACTGAAGCATGTCTGTTGTATCTATTTGTCATTTATATCCAAGAATATGTTGAAAAAGGTCTAGAAATGATCATTTACAAATGATTAGTCTTGATTGAGTGTCTATTTCTCACCATGATCTCCAGAGAGCCGTTTCTGATGCTTCCTGCTCCTTGAGAGCGATCTGTGACCACAGTGAGCTGGTCCGTTTCATCCTAAACGTGGTTCAAGTGCGATAAAAGTGGAAAATATGGACTGAGAAAAAAGCTGAAACTGAATATCATCTTTCACTGATATGTGATCATGTGGAAAAAAAAAAAAGCTTTCAAACAAACCTTGATAAAGGCTCTGGAGTTGATGGGGAAGTAGTTTCCAGCGATGGGCTCAGACTGCCTTAGATTCCAAGTAGGTCGGAAATCTTTCCTGTAGGACAAAACAAAAAACCACGGGTATGTGAGGGGCCTTCAGAGGAAGAAGTAGGCTCTTGAATGTGAAGTTGAACTTACTTTCTCTGCAACACCTCTCTGCCGTTAGAGTCAGTGTAGAAATATTCATTAGTATCAATACTGGTGTCCAATCGAGTGATCACCTCCTTCCCCAGGTCATCACTGAAGGACAGAAACAACAGTGAAATAAACATGTAACTTTCTCATCATTTAGAAATTAAAGCTTTCAAATACAGACTTACTCGATGGGGAGCGGTCCGACGGTCCACTCCAGCTCCAGAGCTCTGCTATCGCTGTAGAGACGGACCACCTGAGACACCCAGGGAGAGAACCACTGCCTCACCTCCTGCACCACAGACGTCTGAGAGGAAAAGAGGACATAAATGTAAACAATTTGAGCATAAATCTGAGACTAAACAGAGCAAGAACTACAACACTGACTAAAATTGAGCCAAACGACTGAGAAGAACTGGAGGTCATCTTCAGCTGTGACTGCTACCTGTATAGTCTGCGTCTTGGCCGTCTTGCTGATAACAAAAGGTGTGGAGGTATTTGGTCTGAAGATGTAAGCACCTGACGGCTGGTTGCTTTCAGAGTTGTTACCATCACTTGCGTTGTACCTGAAACACACAAACACACGCCCAATAAGCCCAAGGGGAAACAAAGTTGAATCAAACCGATGATCTGCAGGTTAGGTTCTGTGGGTAGTTCCACCACAGAGATGCTAACCAGTAGAAATTCTGCGTCAGCTTGATACTCTGTCCGGTTTCCAGGTTGCTAAGACCGCTCAAGAGGCCGGTGCTGGGGTCAAAGGTCACCTGTAGGAACTGGAGTACACAGAAACACAAAAACAAAGTCAGGAGAAGAACTTAGATGTGATTTTTCAGGAAAATATACTTCTATGGTAATATTTAAAATGTACAAACTACACAGGATAAGCCCTTTAGTTAGCACTTTTTCTTGTTGTGTTTTTGAATGATCATGGATCTTATAAGTCTTTTTAAAAGTGCTGCTTATTTGTCTAGAAAACTGGGATATTAAATGTAGAACAGCTTCCCTCTGTTATTTTGTCTGAATTCCTTAACTATTTCAAAATAAAATTGTTTTAATCCAAGAAAAAGAATCTCACAGGGATACACTCAGATTTGGTTTTGTACATTAAGATGAAAAAAGCTGCATTTAGCATAACAGGATTAGGTTTAAACTCACTATAATAATCCTTTGGAGGTTTGTTTGAGGCTTTTGTTTTGCAACCCTAGCAAAACTGGCTTTAACTAAGAGTGCACACAAAAACGATTATGAGGTAGATACCTTGTTCTGGATGGCTGTGGGTGCGTAGTGCTTTGTGGAGGCCGGTGGAGGTCCATCCTTGAGCAGCGACACGGAGTAGGTGGTGAAGCCGAGAGGAGGGACCAGAACCTGGAACACCAGCTCGTTGACAGCGTAGCCTCGGCCTTTCCTTACTCTACTCGTGGTTGATGATACCGGAACCACCTGGAGCGCAGATACAGAGAGGTCAGAGGACGTCTTGATGTGAATTTTATGTTTCACTTTCTCCGCAGTAAAAATTAGTCAGAAAATACTCTAAAATACTCTGGAAATAAAAGAAAAAGTAACAATTTTCTGAAAGTAAGAGAACTCTGAGAATGGTCAGACATACAAAAATATCAGAGTTATAAATGAGTATTCAATTTCTGAAAAAAAAAACTCTAAAAAATAACCCAGAATTCTGAGAAAATCAACAGGGACTGAAAAAAAAGTCAAAATTTATGGAAAAAAAGGAAGGGATTCCAAAACAAAAATGATCATTTGTAGGAAAAAATTCAAAATACTGTAAACAAAAAAAGGGAAGAAAATTTTTTTTAACTCAGAATTCAGAGAAAAAAGACAGAATTTTAACCATGATCTCAGGTTTCTAGTTTCAGAGGAACATTATACCAAAAGACTGTAAATGGTAGATCTGTCTGTTATATTTATTATTTTCCTGAATCAGTACGTCATCTGGGTATTCATCTCATTTTTGTTCGCACACTGCAACCCATGATTTGGGCAAACCAGTACGCACTTTTTGTATAGTGCAGTGGTTCTCAAGTCCAGTCCTCGAGGCCCACTGTCCTGCATGTTTTGGATGTTTCCCTGCTCCAACACACCTGATTCAAATGATCAGCTCGTTATCAAGCTCTGTAATTGCTTGATAACGAGCTGATCATTTGAACTTGAGAACCACTGGTATAGTGGATGGTTTTGAAAACAACCGTTATGAAAGCTTTAATTCAATTATGAAGAGGAGTTAACAGTGTAGAGCACCCTCTTGTGGACAAAATGAGGATTGCAAAAGTAAATGACAAAACTACAGTATATGGATTATTTTTTTTTTTTTAGTAATTTGGCATTTAATGAGCAAAATAATAATAGATGTAACACTTTACTACCTCTGTTTAAGTCATAAAGATGTGAGTTTTGATCAGTTCACAAAAACAGTCTCAGATACTCTCACTTTCCTTTGAGGTCTCTTAAGTCTTAACTTTAAAATAAATGGAGATATGTGAATACTCAAACACTTCTGTAAAAGATGAATACTCCATCTAATTACAAAGGGTGGGATCTGTAAAATAATGCCTGCATCATGTTTCTGATCTGTCTCATACACACACACTGACCTGGCAGTCCACAGATCTGCCGCTGGGATCTGAGACGGTGTAGGCCGTCCCGTTCACTGGCAGCCTCACCGGCCAGGTGACGGTGCGACCTAAAGGGTTATAAACATTCACCGCGAACTGAGAGGGAGACAAAAAGAGAGACAAGAGACTCAGTATAACATAAAGCTAATGTTTGAAGAAGTTACAAATGTCATTCATATAAATAATGACGCTAAACGCTGAAATTAAGACGGTTTATGTACAGATAAAAAACAGTCAAGCAGAGGTAAATGAGACCAATTTCTGCGGATTGATTTGACTTGATGTAGTGAATCTGCTCTTCATCTTAGCTCCTGATACACAGAGATAATAACTGCTGTCAAAAAGTCAAAAATTGGTAGAAAGAGGAGAAAATCAGAAGTCATCAAATCAGTTCAGGAGAAGAAATAGTTCAGACACACTCCAAGTCTACTTGTTGATGCTGAGATAAAGATGTTACTTCCCGTCAGCATTCTGTTTGAAGGCTAAACAGATGGGAATTTCAATAACTGATATTATTGGCAATCTGCCCAAGGATAGCAGTGCTAGAGAGTGGATTTTGGGAAGGTAACCAACAGCAACAGAAAAAAAAAAACCCTGAAAGGTATAGGTTAAACCAACTGCAGAAAAGTTCTGACTTTTTCCTCATTTACTTTTAGATGGAAAAAGTAAAGAGGGGCAAAGGATGTCCTGTTCATTGTCTGTGGATATATCCACTCAAATGATTACTTTATTAGTATGTTAATGTTTCAATAATCAATCAAGGAGGATTAAGAACCGTCGCTATCATAGTGCTTCCAACTCTGGAATCATGAAGACGTTTTCGTATATTTCTAAATCTGTAAAATCATTTCCAGAAAAACATTTAGTGTCAATATGTCCTTGACTTAAGTGGTAGCCAGCTAATAAACGGGTTAACGCATGGTTATGGGGCGGTTATGCAAATTAGAATCACTTCAGGGTGAGCGCAGACCCCCTCCACCTTGCATTAGTGACTACCTGTTCACCATGCATCATCCCATCGACATAAAGGAGTGTGTGTGTGTGTGTGTGTGTGTGTGTGTGTGGAGTCACCTTGGTGCTGGACTCTGTTAGAGGACACACGCTAATGTTGAGGTTGTCGCAGTAAACTCGCTCAACAGAAGAGCTGCTTAGAGAAGCCAGACTGTTACTGACCAACACCTGAGAGAGAAGCAGACAGGTAAGTTATGACCTGCATAATCAAAGACACAAAAACACAAAGACACGTGAACTATAGATAAAAACGTGTCTGTTTGAGCAGTTTTGAATGATTAAAAAACATTTTTTTTAGGTAGGCTTCAAAAGTTTGAAAGACAGCAAATCCTGTGACCGCTAAGGTTTAAAATATAGGACAACAGCGAGGGAGTTAACGGTGTTTGGAATAGAAAGTACCTGACAGTGCTTCCAGCCGTTGGCCAGCCTCCTGGCGTAGTCGTTCGCTACGTGTTGTTTCTCCGTGCCTGACACGGCGTCATGGTGCTGAGCCACCGCCATGGCTTCCTCTGACAGTGACACATAAACACGTTACCTTTCTCTGTAACTAAAACTCAGCAGTTCCAGAATGTGTTAAGTTATTAGGACAAACAAAAGAAGTGTAAGCTGCAGTCTGAACCCATATGATCGGTTTATCCCTAATAAACACATTTGTAGTTTTCCTCGAGCTTCTATCTTTTCTAAGAAGTTGTTAATACCAACTGGAATAAACTAAAACAACCAGCGTTACTTCCACCACTACCAGGAAATAATCATAAAACCCAAATCTCACTCATGGTCTGGCTGTCTCCATTGCCAAAAGGTCCATCCCTTGAAATTGGACCGCCGAGTACCTCCAGCTGGTTACACGTCTGAGGACCAAAAGGAACAAAAACCCACACAGCTCAGAGAGCAGAAAGCAGTTTTCTCAGAGGAATCACAGTCATATGACACTTGAAGCAGATATGTGCTGTCTCATAGGTTGAAGTACTGACTTGTGTTAAAATCAGCCACGCCGATTTGAATTGTGCATGTACATTAGTAAACCGAGAGTCTAGATTCACAAAGTGGCAGTGTGTGCCTCTAGAGTACCTGTAGGTTGCTGTTGCTGACCCTCTCGTAACGTTTCAGCGCTGGTCGGCTGGTGAAGTAGCCGGTCCAGAAATCGTGAGCGTCGTCTGCGTAGGGAAAGAAATCATCTGTCTTCAGAGGCCTGTGTCGAAAGAGTGAAAACATTTCATCATTAAGAGTATAAATCTCAAACGAGCTCATCCTCTCGCTTATTTAAAGCTCTCAGTACCAGCTGAGGTTCGATCTGTGCAGCTCCTGCAGGTAGCAGGACGGGGTGGAGTAGAGGAGGTTGACTTTGATGCCATTGGCCTGCTCGGCGTTCACGTAGTGGATGAGCTTGTCCAGGTTCTTGTACCACAAGTTGGCGTTCTCGTACTGGAAGTCTGAGCCCATGGTCATGATGATGTGATTGGTCTTATACACCAAGGACTGAGAAGGCAAAAAGAGATGATTAATGACATGCAGTTAAGGCCAGTTTCTCCTCTCTCAAAAATTCAGCAGGAAAATGTTTTCCTGCAGCTAAGACCCTGCTGTTTCCTCTGTGCCGCTCTGCAGGGGCGTTTCTGGACTTTCTGACTGGGGTGACACAACTGTAGTACTGACACAGGTAGAGGTGTCAGGTAAGATTACCCCAACCACAAAAGAGAAATCTGCATTGCTACAGCAGCAACTCTGGTGTCTCAGAGTCCAATCTTGACCCAGACTGTGTGACTCGGTACGTGTCTAACCTGACTGCCTGCGATGGCGAGAAATCGACTAACGACATCATCGACGTTGTAGTCCTCCAGGTCGGGGTCATCTCTGATTGGTGCGTCACTACAAGACTGATCCCAGCAGAAGCCTTCAGGGGGATTGTACCCGTTGGGGAGGATCCCTTCAATACAAGAAAGAAACAGTCTGTGGATTTTCAAGGTTTTCTGAGTGCAAAGAAATTGACCTCTGTGGGACTTTATTTACCAGTGAAGAGGTCCGCCACTGGGGGAGGGAGGCTGTCAGAGGCCCTCCACAAGAGCTCCTGCTCCTTGTTTGTCATCCTGCGATGCCGGTCCTGGTAGTCCAGACGGCCGAAGAAGAAGCCATCATACCCCATCTAGAAGAAAACAGAAAACACTCGGTATAAACTGTTTTGTCTGTAACGAGCTACATCAGCAGTCAAAAGCAGAGGCAAAGAGAAACAGCTTGCCCGGCTTTGTCACAAGGCAACAAAATCCTCCTTCCAGCACCTTTAAGGCTCCCTCATTAGAGCTTTCTGCTTTGATTGAATGAGAGAGGATTAGCTGTGAGTATTTGAACCCCTTAATCAGGAAAAATAACTAAAAGAAATGAAAAAAGGAAAAGCCCTCCTCTCTTTGCTTCTGTTTTGTTTAAATTTTCTGCTTCCTTTTCTCCTGTCAGGGCGATATCAGGGGCTTTGAGAAACGCCGGCTGCGGTTTTCCACATCATTTCGGTCAACGTGACAACTTTTTGAATTCTGAAAACGTGGCTCTACACCTCTGAGCTACCTGTGCAAACATGGAGGCATGCTCTCGTGCGTGTCCAAAGGGATCGATGTGCCAGGCGACACGAGGGCGACCACACGGCCCGAACGTGTCGTTGAGGAACCTCAGGCCCAGAGTCATCTGGTCAATGACGGCGCTGTAGTGGGTGGTAGCCTCGTCACTCATGCACCAGCCGCCGTTTACAAACTCCAGACGCCCTGGAGGGCAGAAGGACGGGGAAACACAGTTTTAAACAAAGTTACTGGGAGAACAGCCGATCTAGTGTGGATAAAGTGTGCAGCGTTGGTACCTTCATTGACCAGCTGTTTGACGGTCTGCTGCATGCTGGCGCTCTGCTGTTTCCACCAGCGGTAGAAGAACGCCGTCTCCACGTAGATGAACCTTCGATCTGGATTCTTTAACAGCTGATCCACCACAGAGTCCAGGATGTACTGCACCCCGGCATGCTGGATTTCATTACGATCTACACAAAGATACACAGAAACACACCTGCTGTTTAATGAAGGATAAAAAAACTGTGGGGTTTTCATTTCATGCAGAAAAGGATGAAAAAACTGTAACTTAACTTTGTCCAACAACATTGTGAAACCTTCCTTGCAATTTTAAACAAAACACTACCAAGTAAAAATTACAAAACACTCTACAAAAACTTAAAAAATCAAAACCCTGCACCTGTGCTGCTGTATTTGACCAAAACCATGGCTAAAAACTGATGAAAGTTTGCACCCACAGATGTTTTGAGACATCATAGCGGTGTTTCTTAACAAACTGAACATCAAAACTGTGGAAAACTCAATATTTTGAGATTTTTTTTGTTTTTTGTTTTACTTTTTTGAGCAGTGGTGCATAATCATGACATTATAAATAGAAAAATGCATAATTCGCAAAACAAGTTTACACTTCCTCCCACTCCATTTTGGACATGCAAATGACAAAATTATTTGACTCTGGTTTTGTTTTCTCTCCGATTTTTGTTTTAAATGGTTTTTTTTTGTGTTTGGGTCTTTAATTTGTACTGTGTTTAATTGTTGTTCATGTTCACATAAATTCTATAAATAAAAATTAAGATAATGAAAAAAAATGCTTAGGATGTTTTTAGTTTATGATTAATAAGTGGAGAATATATTTAAGCCTAATGTTCAAGCTCACACTTTTTCCACAGAAGAAGACCAATCAGTGAGTTTTAATCGTTGGGAAAACATTCTGGGGTGAATCACTTCGATTAAGACGAGACGAGTTTGTGAACCTGCATCAGGTGGGATTGTACATGCTCAGTATTTACAAATCAATGTTGTTATGAGCTCATTTATTCAAACAAAGTTGAGAAAAGTCTTTGACAACAGAATAAAAAACACAAATATAACCTCAGGAGGTCACTCTGAGATGTTTCTCTGACGTCCTCTAATGTCTGTGCTCATCACTTTGAATGGCCTTATCACTAAAAGGTGCTGGATATAAAAACACGCGTCGTCTGATTTGCTGAGATGACCTCTGTTTTTATAACCTCACAGCTCAAGAACATATTTGCCACTTTTCTTCAAAAGGAAAACATGTGATGTCGAAACAGAGAAGCTCACCCCTGAATCAGCTATAAAAGTGTTACGACTGTGTTTGTCTCTAAAGTCACATGATGAGGCATGAGATGTTTTAAACATGCTTATTCGAGGAGACGAATAAACATGAATCATAATACCACTGCTGGAATCATGCATCAGTTTTTCCTCGAAGAGTTTTGGTGGATTACAGAGATCAGAAACTCAACAAGAGTAAAGATTTATCCGTGTGTTGATAAGGATTTGGTAGTTTGCAGCAACTTTAAAGTGATCAGGTTGCAAGTTTCAGGACTTTGAACCTGTCAAAGAAAAAGCTGTCATTGCAGAAAAAAGAGGTTTTGCGGAATTTCAACATGCTGTCGTAACTTGAAGCTACTCTGTTATCTGCAATCTCTTCAATGTTTTTGCACAAGACAGGATGAGAACATTAACCACAAGCTTTCAATGATTGAAGCTTAACTGATAAAAATATACAAACTGGTTAATTGCTCTGCAGAGTACAAAAGCACCAGAGAAGTTAATGCATGCTAAACCTCCAGCGCTTTCAAACAGAAGTACATACATTGAAGGCGGCACAGAAATAAACTGATTTTGAAACAGATTTGGGGCCAAAATTTTTGTTTTTCTTGCCTTTGTTTGACTGTAACTCACCCTGAGCATAAAGCTAAGGCTCAAGATGATGTTGCTGTCAAGTTTTTTGACTGTGTTGACGCCAGTTTGGATTGAGTTTATCCATGTTGTGTATGATTATCATGCAGGACTCATGTCCAAAACCTCCTCTTACTCCCTCTTTGGTGGCTTTTAAAGCTTCTGTGATTGCTTGCTTTCTTGATTGATTAATTGATTGGATAATATGATGGACATGTTTTCATTTCTGAGAGGCGTATGATCTAGTTTACATCAAAATGAGTTTTTTTTTTTTTTACTTCGGTTTACAGACCACAAGCTTTTATCCTTTTTTATGAGAGTGTCTTAGCTGTCAGTGTTGTACAGTTTTTTAGCCCTATTTTCAACAGTATCTTTATATTTCAAACCCACTCATCCCATTTTACAAGTCTTTCCTGCCATAGGAAATATTGGTGTTTATTTATATCATACAGTCATACTCTGATGGATTTAGCTTCAACATTTAAGTTACCCTCTTTTTAACTTCATCTGCAGCAGTATCAGTTCACTGTGTAAGAAAAACAGTGTGCAATCACAAAGTGTTATGGGCCAAAAAAAGGCTATACAGTGTATATTTACAGGTGAGACTGACCTCCATAGTAGTACTGGTCCACTGTCTTGAGCCAGCCCACATCATCATGTGTGTGTGGGATCAGATGGACGTTCAGCATACCTGGCTTGGTGGCATGACATGACTGCGCGCACACACACATACACACACACACACACACACACACACACAAAGAGACAGCTACAACACTACACAACTACAGTGATGTAATATAACTAATAAAAGTAGACGGTAGGTAGAGGAATAAAATAGGGAAATGAAAGGAGAGGTTTAAATCTGGTTCCTCAAACTGTCACAGAAACTGAAAGTATCCTCTCAGAAGCTGACTCCTGACCGCCAATAAAATATTAGTTAAACATATCAAGTCTAAACGTGTCTGACCTGGTATCCACAGGTCGGAGCCTGTTTCGAGTCCTGACCCAGAGGAAAACTCAAACCCTGACTGAGGAGGAAGAGGAGAGCAGCAGCCAGCTGCTGCTGCCGCAGAGCCGCCATGTTGGAAAGTGAAACAGAAATCATGTGACCATTGTTTATGGGTGATAGAGTCACGTGACGGGACCTTCCACAGGGGCGCAACGGAGAATTTGTGCCCTCAGTTTAGTCTCTCAGGCAGCGCAAACGGGACGCAAAATCGCAGAGATGAAGGAGGTTTAAGTGAAAGATTGTATGTTTACAAGGACGAAAATACAAAACTACTCTATCATACGCTCACGTTTAAATAAAAAAGGCACTTTACATTATTATTATTATTATTATTATTATTATTATTATTATTAAAGGCAGGCTACTTAAAATAATTCAACAAAAAAATTCAAACAAACTAATCACTGAAAAAACATATACTTTACACACAAGAATTGATAAGTCAAGCTGCATTTGACTTTTTAGTGATGCAGATATTTGTGTAATAGTTTTAAATCATTTCTGATACTAAACAGAATGCAATTATATTTGCATAAAAGATAATAATTTACGGTAAGATTTTTGTCTCTTTACTCTAACAGACTTAGAAAAGGGTGGGCAGAATATCAGCAATTATGGATCAATTCTGATGATGAACTTCACTGTCTCATTAACACATTTGCTATCAATTTACTTTATCAGACTTGGCATCAAATAAATGCTTCACTTACTTACACTCCAATAACAAAAATTAAACTTTTTTCCTGTATTTTATCTATAAATGAAGTGCAGGCGTGGTGCATTGGGGGTCACTATGCAGCAAATAAAAGATTTTTTTTTTCTTTCAGGAGAATAACAAACTATTGTAACTAATTAAAAACTTCCCACAGGAGCTATATCACATTCTGTAAATAAGGTAGAAATATTTCTATAGTTGAAGAATTTTGCAGACATATGATGCAGCCCAAAAAAAGATGTCTGAGAAATTTCAACCTCAAGCTGGTGCAAAACAAAGGTAGGATTTACCTGTGGTTATGACTCCACTTGGACGAACTCCTCCTTCCTTTCACAACTGTCTATAAAGAAGCAACAGACTGCCAGTGTGGATCCCCAACAGATCAGTTTATTGCAAATCAAGGTGAAATGACCTCATCTTGGAAAAAGCAACACTCAGACAACTATGACATATTCTACAATCACATTAAATAGAAGTAAAGCACAAAGAGTAAACAGGATCAACAAAATTTCAAGGACTTCAATCAACAGACCAACACAGGCTACTAAACTCATCTGACAACCTGACAGTGAGGAATAATAATGCACTTCATTTTAAAATATTTTCCTTAAAAAAAAAAAAAAAAAAAAAAAATGCGGCCACAATATGGCATCAAATCAGCTTAAAGAGAGGTCATCCCTGTACCTGGAGAGCAGCAGTGATTCCCACTATGAGGTTACAATCAAACTGCTTTTATAAGGAGAAAGACTTCGAAGTTCATACATACTTATTTTGATATGAATTATCCCAAGACTCTGATCTCATGCTCCTTTTTACTCACGTGAATGCTGAGATCTGCAGTAAGTCATTTTTTTCATGAGTATTAATTGGTAATACGTGTAGAATTGACTGATATGTTTAGATTTACAGTAAAATATGGTAAAGCATGCAGTGTTCATGTTAGTATTAAATGACGGTGAGTGTAGTGTGAATTATGAACCTAAGTGCCCTTTTGGTTATAAATTTAGATACTGTATGTAGTGATAAATTGTTTTCAAGTATTAGTTGATAGTATACTGGTGTATTTATGATTGAGATAGGAATCTGAAAAGTTTCATAACTTGATATGTCGTGTTATAAATCATGGCGAACACAAAACAAATGCTTGCGGCTCTTTAGCTTAGCACAAAGACGACGAGGAAAGGGGAAAATAAGCCCATCAGGCTGTGTTAAACTCCCCCTTTAATTCAGTATTTTTTGGTATACCATTAAAAACACAAAATGCAACTTTTTGTTTACAAAAGCATGTTGACCTTACAGAAAATCACCTTTTACAGCCACACAAACGCAACAAACATCAGCTAGAGAAGAAAGTTTGCGACCATATAGCCTTCATTCTGAGTTCATGTGATCCTGAGGTCACTCTCTATCCAGGAAACTGAGCTGGGTTTAACATGTCACATGGCAGTGAAAAATCTTCAGCTGTGGGTTTTCAAGTAGTTGTAGGTTCTTCATATTCAGCCTGACAGTGTGGTGAGTCCCAAAATATCCTCCATACTAATAAAAAAAGACAACACAGTTCGACATAGACGGGGTCAAATACCTTTAAAGTCCTTCAAAACCATAACAAACCATAAGTTCTTAGATATTGGGCGCTTCATTTCCCACTCTTTGACCTTTTAAAACACGCATGTAAAGAACAGAAGCTCTATACATGGCATCCATTACTCTTTAATTAGATGTAACATTCCCTATGAAATAAGCCAATAAATTTCACAATTGCACAACAACGCTCAGCCTGACAGTGATGCAAACAGGTATTTTGAAGGAATATTAAAAAGGGACAAAGCAAAGAGACGCGGGAGGGAGAGGAAACATTTCTGGCTTGTTTTGCTACCTCCTGATTTTGTTTTTTTTTTGGCCCCAGAGACCTGAAATTTTGTATTTCGACAGCTGAAGAGCTACATTTTTGCTTTTATCAGACACTATGCACAAAGTGTCTTAGTCATTGTTATTTTCCACCTGATGCAGTTATCATTTCATGTGTAAATGAACTTGTGTCCACATTTGCACCCATGCTTGTGTTGGACTAAACTCCACTTCTCTTTTTATGCAATAGTGGACCCTTGAGTGTCTTCATAACCAGCAATGCATCATATTGAAGGCGGAGGAGGTGGGGTTTATGACCTATACTGCTACCAGTCACCAGAGGGTGCTGTTCTCACAGAGGCTAACCCAGCAGGGAGGCCGAAGATGTCCATTCTATATACAGTCTGTAGTCTACAGACAGTAATAAGAACAGAAACAGATCAACAATGGTGCATCAACTATGGTGGAAATATCTGCATATCAGTTGTCAGCAAAAGCCTAGTATTGCATGTCTTTTGTCTGAGTGTGAAGTACTTTTTTGATGCTCCTGGGGCTGCAAGCTGAGCTGCTACAAAAGCTGCATTTTGGCGAGGATTTTTTACATGACAGAACTTTTTTCAGGAGCTGATTTAACCACATGGGTTGACTCTTCTCTTTGACGAAAAGTGGTATAACCACTACTACTAGCTGCAAGCTGAGCTACTGCAAACTAATGCTTGCAAACTGACTGCTGTTATTTGTCTGGTCAAATGGTTTGGTAGGAAAACAACAACAACATGACAACAACATGTTTCTGTATATGTCAGCACTTAGGAAAAGCATCAAAAATGTGTATCTTACATGTAAAGTATGAGACTTGGGTTGGCCGACGAAAAACAAACAACCAAAGCTTGGTTTCAGGCAGCCAAGGCTGATTCGAGTAAGAAAATCTGAAGCCAGCTACAACTTGGTGTTTGTCTTCTTAAGCGGAGAAAACAGCCCTTTCTTGTTGAATCAAATAAAGGGTCCTTGATGAAGGCCTGGACAAGGTTAGGTTGGGTTTCCATTGCCTCTATCATGGGGGCAGATGAGCAGGGTAGAGTCCAGGTCCAGGCGGAAGGCCGGATACAGCGGTTGAGAGAAAGGGCAGCGAAAGGTATGGAGGAGAACGACTGTGTCCGACACGCTGTAGAATGACAACGTTCCTTTCTGCCGCTCCAGGAACACGCCGATCCTTGGGCAGGGTGGTGCAGCCACCGTGGTTTTTCGGTTGTCGTGCCAAGCAGCGTACCCAGTGTGTGTGCACCTCAGTCGCCAAGAGTTCTCGTTCCTCCCCAGCAGGCAGGGTTTTCCACCACCTTTACGTCCAATACCTCTGTAAGTTACTCCAATGTCAACCCATCCCCCGCCCCTCCACTCCACCTCCCAGTAGCTGGCACCACCAAACTGGCCCTCTCTGCACAAGACCTGGGCCACTGAATCAAAGCGCTGAGGGTGAGGGGGGTAAGACTGGGGCTCCTCGCCACAGTGGGCACCCTGGGGCCCCTCCAGAAGAACCAAAGTCGGGTGGGCCGTATCAGGATCCAGGGATAGACGACTTGAAACTTGAAGAAAGGAAATCAAGGATGGGTTTAGAGAAAAGTTCAGGACTGAAGGTCCTCAAGTTAAAAATACAGGGTGCTGCAACAGTTCCAACTAAAACATACGCAAACATACATTTATGAAAACACTTGAATATTTCAAAAGTTGGTGCAGACGGGGTTCTGAATCCCAGGATTCAAAGACATTTGGTTGATACAACGATTGAAAATTCTTCAGCGTCTTAGGGGGAAACTGTGGTTATAGTACAGGCTTATTTGGTAAATGGAACCAATGCTCTTGACTCATTATCTATGTTTATCTGACCATATTTCCCTTCACATTACTTCTGAGGGCCCACCATGTCCTGCCATTCCACTCAGGATTTCCCAGGTAGATAAATGACGCTAACCAAGAGGTGCAAAAAAAAAAACTGCACTTTTTTGAGTGTCAACTTGAGACTGGCTGCAAAGGCCAAGGAAACCTCTTTGACTCATTTGGTCTCTGTATCTCATTTCTGAAAATTTGGCTGAGTCGGTGTTTTCAAAGCACCTTTTCAGGAACCAATGGGACTACTTGAAGCTTAAATCCAAAGTCTGAATCAAGCAGGTGGAACAAACTCAGCATTTTACCCAAATTCTATCAAGACTTGCAGTTTGGTGAGTTTCCCACCAAGTTGCCAATGTAAAGCCATCCATGATTGTTGACAGCAGTGTTTGCTATGAGCAGGATGACTCAGCTGAAATGTAATAACCCATTCATCAATCCAATTCCAGATCCTTGGTCTTCATAGTATTGAATAACAGAAGCAGATTACTGCTGTCTCCTGGTCTGGAGAGAGCCTTTCTCTCCTGCAGACACACGTGTTCATGTTAGATCTCCATCAGCTGAAGTCTAGTCGGTCTTCAATGCAAATATCAATCTGGGGTTCTTAATCACTGTTTGATGACTGAACACAAAACTTCAGAGATGTTAACATTTCCTACCAGACAAATTATGGCAGTTTTTAAGAATCCCCAATGCTGAATCCAGCATCACCCTCAGGTCTGAACTATTTTGGTCTAGTGCATTTGTATAAACGGAAAGGACCTTTCAAACTTCTAACACAAAAGAGATCAACAAGTTAGTGCCTGAATTCCTACCCCTCCTCTTCCTCCAATAAATGGTAAGCCATCCAGTGTTTCTTGCTGACAGTTTGGCACAGAGAGGATGAATAGCACACACAGTCTTAGTCCCCCTCTAACTTTATACATAATTGATGCCAAACAAGGTGGTTATACGCTGTCAACATGTCAGCTGAGCTGTACCTGATGAGACAAAGCGCCAGCCTAAACAGCCAACTAGGATGTCATAAATACAGTATGATTGCCATGAATCATTGATTAGGATCCAGATTGGGCTCTCAGATTTCTTAACAGGTCTTTTCATTATCTTCTCAGCATTAAGGCATGGAACAAAAAGAGAGGGAGGAGGATGGAAAAGGTGGAGGAGAAGGGGTCAAAGATGGGGAATGATGCACGAGAAGAGACAGAGAGCTCAGATATAATAGTACTTACACCTGAGGAAAACTGCCCTCATCCTCTGATCAGCCGGCTGCAGAGTCGGAGAGGACAGAGGGAACGACACAGGCACTGCTGCAAGGGGCAAAAAAGGACAGAGTAATGGTGGTTAACACTTCTAATCAACATATGGGACAAAACATATGAGTTTTAATGGAGGTAGGACGGTGTCAGAGAGCGAAACAAAAGGTGTGAACTATTAAAAAAAAGAGTGAAAAACGGCAGCATGTATTCAGTCTGACAAAAAGGTTAGAAAAATATGTGTATGAATGACGAAAACGGGAGAAATGAGCAATGTGAGGATGAGAGAACCCACTTAGACAGAAATTCCTGGCAATAACCACAGCTGGAATCCCATTTACTGATTGATTCGGTGCAATATCTCATTGTTAAGCAAACTTTTTCATGCATGAAGCATTAGTAAAAAAAGCTCACAGATGTAGGATATTCATCTCCATTTAGAACACTTATGATCTTCATAAATATTAACTATTTAATGCTTTCTCAGCAACAAATAGTGCAGTATATTTGTACTAACTGTCAGTGAGATGATAACTGTATATGAATTGGATCATCATACAGATATAAATGGGTGCCTAAAGATAAGGGTTGTCACAATGTTAGAATTTCTCTTCATAGGAAAAATATCAACTCAACCATACTAATGCAATATTGAAATACTTGAAATAAACACACACTCAGCCAAATTGAGGGAGCAATACATGAACTCATAAACTTTACTAATCAACACAATCAGCTTACATATCTAACTCTAAAAATACTCAAATTTATGATTTATCATCAGCTCTGTGACTAAAACGACATTGTTTTATTTTTGCATTTTCTATCTTGCCTCTGGGTTACTTTATTTTCTGCAGCATAAAACTATGCTTTTATTCTGAAGGCTCCACTACTTCTGATGGATCAAATGTTACAGGACTGAAATGGTTAAAAGAACAGTTAGAAAGTATAAATGTTTAATCAGTGTTTTACATTGTCTTTGGATTCACAATGCAAGTGTCTAATCATCTCTCAGAGGGCGCCTTCAGTAAAGGTTGCTAGCTTTGACCACATGATAAAGTCATGATCACTACATACTTATTTCTTAATAAGGAGGATTATCCTCAATACCGGTAAAATAGATACAATTCGCTGCAGATTATTTCCATTTAATTTTGTTTTTTTTTATGTTAATTTTGAAGCTTTTGCCAGATGGCGTCAGTAAGTCCTGCACATGGTGTTTGTGATAAATTTGCTTTTGCAGGTTAACACAGTGAAGCAGTTAGTTAGCAGCACATTTGGAGCTCGTGTTAGAAAATCATTTCACAAAAGATGACCAAGAAACCCACATTTTTAAACTTACCGCCTTCAGATGGAGGATGTTTCATGTGCTGCGGCTTCAAGTTCTCTGCACCTCCCCAATACAACAGACAGGACGGGTATTTGATTTTTTTTTTATACATAGGTATAATAACCGTATAAACAGAACTAAAACAAACCAATTTCTATCAAGTAATGAGCATGGACAAAAACTTTTGGGATGCATGCCATGATAAAGTTTATCTATCTGTAGCTTTTTAATACATTCTAGCATTCTAGTGGCTGTTTATAGGCACATGAAACAAAGCTAATTGAGCTAAATGCTGACAAAAAGCAGGCTGATTACACCCATTATAAGAATACTAGCATGCTTGAGGTTGGATGTTATAATTCTGACCTTTTCAACCATCTCATGCTAAATCTACAGACTAATATTTATCTCTAAATACATTAAAATCCAAGAGGACAAAGTTTGCAGATTGGACAGTGGAATGGTCCTGGCCTGAGTAGCTTTTCTATCAACTTGGCACACTTTTTCATTGTGTAACTACAGTAAATCCTCCAAACTTCTACAGTTTAAGTGAATTAAATTTTTTTTTTCAGTTATACTAAGCTGGAGATGAGCCAGAGTGTGTTGTAACAGGCGTCGCTCTGACCTCTGTAGCATCAATTATTAACCCCCCCTCACAGTCTCTCACAGTGTTAAATGTCATGTCAAAACCTGCAGCCTTGTAAAAATGGGTCACCTCAGACCTGTCACAGTGTGTGTGTTTGTGTGTGTTTGTGTGCGTGTCTGGCCACTTGTTTCTTACCTTTCATACACTCTGCGCCGGACACATAGTTCTCATTAACTGGAAGGAAAACACAATTAAATGATGAAACTGATCATAGATACCCCTCACATGTGACAGTGTGCATTTGATAATTAAATATATATTTTATGACAGTAACACTTTATATAAACTCACCACTTATAGTGGTTTGTAAACCTTTTCAATGCATCTACAAGGCTCTATAACAATCCCTGTACTTTAAGCATTCATAGCATTATAAATGCTCAATTAATTTTAAAACCTTTTAATAAGCTTTATAAGTGTCTTTGTCATGCATTATAAGTGGTGGGTTTATAATGTGATACCCTAGATTTTTGTGGGATTGCGTCAGGTACTTAGATGACACATAATAAATGTATTTTCTACACAGCAGCAAGGGTATATGAGGCTCTTGTTCTCTGCATCTACTCATGAAAATTTCTGGACAATGTCAGGAGCCTTGCCCCTTAAATCAACCAAATGTCCCTCAGAGTGTGATGTCTTACCAGGCATTTAAGGACAAATGCACGGACATCTTTTCTCATCCATTCCCCTCCTCTGGCCTCAGATATTTTAATTTCGTCTCGTTACGTTTTGCTCTATTGCATAATCATCTTTTGCCCACTTGCTGATGGGGAATTTTCCTGAATATCTCCTGCTGCTCTCCCACTGTTTCACCCCAGCTTCAAACAAATATTTCACCACCAGGTTGGATGGAAAAATTCAGGATAAAGCCTGGTAAAATGTGGGTTATTTTCAATCACATGTGCAGCACACCCTAAATTCTTTGGGAGGTTTTCAGTCATTTCATGTATGCATTACAACAGCTGTGAAGAGTGTACTGCTGCAGACAGAGTTGGACCAAGATTTATTAGTTTGCTTCTTCCTGATTGTTAGGTTAGGCCTTTCTTTATTTTATGTGGGTTTCTCTTTGTCTTTTCTGCAAAAGTGATCACTGCATACACAAATCTGTCAATTTTTTTATTCAAACCAGCTTACCCTAGCTGTCCAGAACTGTTATTATTTAACAGGTTATGAGTAAACAGCTGCCAAGAAAACATCAGGTCTACCGCAGTACTTGGTTTAGCTGTGGCACTGCTGCTCTGGTTGGCTACTCCAACAGGTAGCCAGGTTGTATCCCATCTACTGCAGGTAATATACTTTAAACTGATAATTGCTTTACAAAAATCCAGACTTTACCTTATATTCATCTTAACTTACGCTAAATCTCAGCCATTTCTGGATACTGTATGCTAAAGATTTAAATAAGGACTAATAGACGGCAAAAGTATGCAGTTTCTCTCTGCCTGTGGGCCACCTGATGTACCTGCTCGGCTGATCTTGTCCACCTCCTCCCTGCAGACCTCCTCCATCCGACTGCGGAGGTGGCACAGCACTCTCCTTGTGCCGCTGAAGGCCTCGGTGGGCAGGCTGAGGGCTCTCGAGTGCCGACCGGTGGAAAGAGCGACGCACAGCGGAGGGGCCGCCTGGGGTGGAGAAATATAACGAGAGAGAAGATGGAAAATATAGGCCAGCATCCGTCACTCTGTTAATTCCTTGTACAATTGGATTTGAAAACAGCACTCAGATGTGTGGTGTCTTTTTCCGCTGGTCACTGCTGACTCATTCTTTCCTCTCATTCACTCTCCCTGCTCCATCTTTCATCCACACACTGATCTCCACAGGGATTTCCTTGTATGCTCTCTGCTGAGTCTTAATGGCTTTCAGGATGCATTAGATTTAATGGGTCAATAATTGCTTGTGCGCAGTCATGGTAGAAGTTCTTAGATCCAATACATAAATAACACTGAAGTTAAAGTCTTACTTATGTGCTTCAAAAACTTTAATTTGTTTGGAAGTTTACAGATTTCTTTATTTGGACACACAAAGTCAGATTTCTGTCTCACCTGTAAGAAGTGAGCATTGTCCTCCGTTTGCAGGAGCTGACTGATCTCCTCGTCTCTTCTCCTCAGCTCCTCCAGGTCCTTCTCCGCCATCTCGATGTCTCGCTCCGCCCTCCCAACCACCACTCGCTCCTTGGCCTCCAGCCTAGCTCGAACCTGCAGCACCAAAAACAGAGCGTCAACACAGAACCACGAGCGCAGCCTGTATCTTAGATTAGAAAAAATGAAGAAGAACAAGAAGAAGAAGTAGAAGAACAACTTTATTTATCACAAAGCTACTACCACATGGATGACACAACATTACTGAGCTGGAGTTGGTCAGTCAACTCAGCTGATCAAAGCAACCTGGGCCTCAACGGCACCTCAGCAGTGCAATAGGCCTTGCCACATTGATGCAGCATAGTAAAGGAGTTGCTGCAAAATGATGAGTGTGTAAATGAAGATACTTCTCTTCAGGTTGTCTTTTCCTAGACTGATTAAAAACGTATTCTAATAACTTGTGATACTGGATATTTGCTTAATATTTCACTTGTAGAGCATAGAGAAGTTAAACTTATAGGGGTGAAATCATGAAAAACTTCTTGAAAATGTTATTTATTCAGATGCATCTGTCAAGTTGAAATCTAAGCTGATAATTCAGGAGCTGATGCTCACCTCTGCCTTGGTTTTCTCCAGGCGAAGAGCCATGTCTGCAAACAGAGCTTCACTGTCCTCCAACACAGCTGATGCTGACACCTGAAACACACACACACCCACACACACACCCACACAGAATACAAGAGTGGTTAGACAAGATCATATTAAATCCTTAAAGACAGCGCACTTGTTTGTACCCACTTTTTTAGGCATTTTTTGGCACATATTCCCCAAACTTTGGTGCAAATGATAGACGGCAATAAAAAGATGGACAACATGACAACTTCTGCAAAAGTGAAGCCAAAACATTCACAACTCCAGCTTCTTACTGGTGGTAATATGGGATATAAAGCTCTATGTGAACAGATGAGGCATGTCAAACTTCAAAATACACACTGGATTAGCAGAGCAGAGGTCGAAGACTTTGTTAAAAAAAAACAACAACAAACTAGGTGGCAGAATTTCCACGTACATAAGTGTGTGCTTTAAACCGACACAAAAGTCTGTTGTGCTTTGAGAGGGTCAGTGTGCTTTCAGAAACTGGATCTAATGCATCAAAATAGAGGGTTTATTTGGATTGAGTTATGCTTAAATTTGAGTGAAATCTTCTGTTAGCTGACTATGCTATTGGACTGACTGACTATGCTGCATTCTTTGATATGCTCTATCAACCAATCAGCTGCATCTGCTGACTTGTCCAGGTCCAATCCAAAGTCAACCTCCTCCAAAGTGAAGCAAAGTAGTGAAGATATCCAGCCTGACAGGCAGGTAGTCCAGAGGAATCAATGAGAGAACTCAGTAAACAGAATTAAGATGTATTGTCCATCTCTGTACACATTCAAGAGTGCTCATGCTGCATCCTGCCAAATGGTTTCCCCACCAATTACAAAGACTATGACAAAGACCAAGAATAAACTCTCCACAGAGAGGACAGGGATTTAATTATTTGATCTAAGGCCACTTTCAGTTTTATTAAGTTAACACAGTCAATTTCCAAGAAGCTCCAGCAGCTCCATTCCTGCCTGGTAGAGATGATGCTCCAGGAGGGAGATAGGGGGAAAAAAAGCTTTCCAGGAAGACGAAGGAGGGGCGGAGAAACTGAAACTTAATTTAGTCTGGCAGTGGAAACTGATACAACAGCTCCTGTGAGTATGTGTGCTAATGTTTGTGTGTGAGAGAGATAGGGAGGCAGGTTTGTCGGCTTGATGTTAAAGGGGAGGTTGTGTGTGTGCGTGTGAGCTGCTTGGTCAGTTGTGTAAATGTCAGGCTGAGTCTATTAATGTCTGAGTTTATCTCACAGGCTTTACATAACACATACTGTATCTGACAGCAGTATACGCCACACCGCGTCATGTTCAGGCTGCATGACTGTCGTGTTATTTTAAAAAGCCTCTTTGCTCACCCTTACCATCAGTGCAGCAATGGTGGCCTGTAAGGACAAAAGGCTCCTGTGTTGCATGATAAGTTTGATCGTCTTTGATTACGTTTTTGCAATTATTGAACACAAAAGCTCTTGAACAATCTGGACACTTTAAAAAACTAACAAATTATTGAATGAACAAATAAAAAAAGTCAATTATGTAAAGATGGGCCTATATTTCACTGAACAGCTGATTTAGCCTTGAAATCATTAGGAGGTCTGCGGGCAACAGCCTCGAAAGATCGGTCTCCTCTGGTCGGAAAATGAGTCCGTGGAACCATTAGTAAATTCTGATCCACAGACCTCAGACCTGGATCAAATTACATATGTAAGATGGAGCCTGACAATGCAAGGCTCTAAATATTTGGACCATGCTCACTCTCTCCCTCTGTTTTACTAACACACACCTCCATCCTCCTCCTTCCTAACTGTGGCTGCATGATAGTTTGTACTGCTGTGGCACAATGTGGTAACAAGTTACACTTCTCCATACTCCTGATTGCTGCTTTAAGCCATCCAACACTGCGGCAGTTCAGCTTAAGGAGGATTCCTACCGTGACTCAAAACTTTTGAATTATCTGCCTGTAAATATCCAACAAAACTACTATCGTACTTCCTCGATAAATCATCTCAATCTTGCATTTCATTGAAATTTACCATCAGGTTATTTATTTGTTTATTGCTTTTAATTCTGAAAGAAGAATATGCCCGGCCCTTTTTTGTATGCGCTTGACCCTTGGTTTTCTCCTCACAGGCTGCAAAATTGAACTTATGAATGGAGACATGAAAATGCTGACGTTAGGTGCTGTTCTGAGCATTATTTGTGGCTATAGAGTGGTGCTTTGATTGAGGTTTGTTTATGGCTCCTCAGACCGCTGTGTATTGCTATCCTGTGGTCGTTACTAAGGTTGGTATAACTAGAGAAGCAAGCGGTCAGCAACATTCATCTTTCGAGGGGGCGTCTAACTCTGTGTTACGGTATGTTTGACCCTTAATTAATTTTTACACCGGAATATCTCTTTAAAACTGCATCACCAATGCAAACCCTTGTGTTTGTGTCTCACCTTAAGGGACTCCAAGCTTTGCTGAAACTCCTCAAGCTCTCTCTCTCCGGCCCTCATCCTCCCCTGTATGATCCTCTGAGTCTCCTGGAGCTGCAGCTAAAGGACACAAAGCCTATTGTTATTATCAGCAGGGGATACATATTCCTTAAATTCCCTTTAATTTTGCACAAGAGGTGCTCAGTCAACAACTGTACTATTCATTCTGATCATCCTGCATCAATTTTACACCATGAAAACCTCATATTTGGCATTTAATTCTGACATTTCATCATTCATTTTATGACTCAAAAGCTCCTGTCTGCTCCTGTCTGCGTTTTCATGTCAGACGTATGGTTGGATATGACAACAAATTGTTAAAAAAGCTGAATTTAATTTGCACCAAAATGTTAAAGGACATATCTGTAAGAGAAAGTGTTGCAAAGGACCATTATTTAGCCCACTCTCATGGTTTAACAGGTAATTTAAAACTTTAGAGTTTTGATTTTGAAACACTTATCTGTTAGGTAACCTATTTTTTTCTACCTGTAAAGACTGATGATGAAGTTTATCTCCCTTTAAAAAAATAGTTGAAATTAAAGTCCTGAGGGCCCATTAATTGTATTATACTATGATATTAATAGGGTGTGTTAGCACCTGTCTCCTGGCTCTCTGGGCGTCCACACTATGCACCTCCTCCTGGTCCGCCTCACACAGCAGGCAGTCCCCGCTCCACTCCACCGCGGCCTCCGCCTCAGAGCCGACCCCCGCGGGCTCCAGACCCAGACGGTGCTGGGCACACAGCCGCTCCGCCAGACACTCCACCGCGGCCACCATCTTGTGCCGCCGTAGAGTGCCGACCTCCCGGTGCGGAAGGACGTGGAGCTCACAGAAGCTCGCCAAGCAAACCAGGCACGACTTGACCGCCCTCAGTTTACTCTCCGCTGGGCAGAAGTCGCACGGTACCTCCCCGACTCCTCCCAGGTAGAGCTCCGGAGCCGTGACCATCTCGCTAAGCTTGAGTTTGTCGACGACCTCGGAGAGCACCGTGTTCCTCCGTAGAACCGGTCGAGGGCTGAAGGTCTCCCGGCACTGTGGGCAGCTGAACTGGGCCGGTTCCGCCTGGTCCCAGTAGTTGTTGATGCAGGACATGCAGTAGGTGTGTCCGCAGGGAGTGGACACCGGGTCCTTCAGGATGTCCAAGCAGATGGGACACCTGAACTGGCTCTCCGTCACCGAGATGTTGGCCTGGGCCATCTCTGTGGTGGTTCTCCGCTGACCTGGGCTGACTTCTGATCCGCCTGTTGCCTCCCTGCTTGTTGATGCTGGAGCTTTTTCCTGACTCCCCGGTGTGTTGTTGTGAAGGGGGAGGGGTCAGGATACAGGAATAGCCCTTCCGCAATGTCATACATCCCATCAGGCTGAAGCAAGATCTGTGCCCTCAACGCTGACTTACAGGCAACAGGAGAAATTAAAGCGTCAGCCTTGACTTTATTTTTGTGCACAGATTTTAGACTCTATTTTTTTACAAATATTTATGTCCGAATTCCCTGTAATTATAAACATCTTTGCTTTGTTTTGTGTATATCTAGCTTGACTTATTTTGAATCCTCTTATGCTGTAGGGGAGAGTGGGATAAGATGAGCCATTTTTCATATTTCAGTTCACTACATCAAGGCAATCATAGTTTTGTCTCTAACTAGTGTATCTGCATATATTTCAAGATGTTGTGCATCCCTGCAAACCAACAGAATGAATGTAAACATAACTGTCTTGATGATATACCATGCCAAAAACAGTGGTCTCCTATGGTCAACTTACCCCGTGTATGGGGTAAGTTGACCATAGGGGCGGGGTAAGTTGAACCGTATCCTCACCTTCTCTCTCCCTAAATAACAGTCACTTCTTCACATTATGATTAGCATATAACTGCTAAAAAGCTGTTTCATAAATAGCCATTTTACCATGAGAATGCCTCTGATCCTCTCATCATTCTTCTTTACTTTCTCGGTTGAGACACTGGCTCAACTTACCGCTGAACTACTATTATGACTTTATTAGTCCTCTAAGCTAAAATGGTGGACTTTTATACTAGGTTTTTGACCTCATGTTGTAGCTCATAGATACCATAATTGATGTTTAAAACAAATTTAAAATGATCTTTTTTGGTCTGAACACAATTGGAATAAAAATATGACAGACTAAATTCATTTTGAAGAGTGAAAAATGTTTTTTTGGAAATAAATGTCTAACCTTTTCACCCATGTGCTTCTAACCTTCACAGAATCCATGAACTGATGCCCATCTCCAAAATATTTGGTCACGTGATCAATTTCTTTCTTTTACCATTTCCAAGCAACAGAAGGTGACTCAACTTACCCTCTGGCCCAACTTACCTCACTCTTCCCTTTATTACATTTTTAACATGTTAAAATATCAGCCCACATATCTGCACCAGCAGCTACTTAATGTGTTTTTAATGGTGCAAACTCGATATATATGTGATTTTAGAAAAATCAAAAAGATTCAGAGTAATTTTTGTACCATTTTTAATAAAGGTACATCCAATTAGGAACTTTTCTGAAGGCAACATATGTGGTTAAAAAGTGAAGATAATCCAAAGGCCCTGCAACATTTTAAGGACCCTGAAAAATATTACACCACTTGTGGTGGTGAAGTCCTGGGGCCCAGTGAAATGTTTTTCCATGATGCCCCAAACTCTGAATACAGAGTAAATAAAAAAGCAAAAGGATTTTTTTGTGTTTTGTCTGCAACAGTGTGAAACCATAGACTGTATAGTATACAGTCTGTGCATGAAACTTTTTTGTTGTCAGTACATGGGTATTTAAGGGTATGTATCGCCCTCTGCTGGCCTTTACATATATTACAAATCATTAAGGGTATGGATATAAAAGACAGAAATGCTGTTACTTTGAAGCAGCAGCTCTAGACTATCAAACAATCTGCAGAGGCCCTGAGCAGACATGCATCCATACATTTTATTCATAAGACATAGAGCTTGCATTCAGGATTTTATGTCCCACCTGGTCCTGGAACACTTCTCCAGCTCCAGAAAGTGTGTCCAGAGAAAAGGGAAGTCTGGGTTAACTCATATGGACTGCTGCCCCGGCAACCTGATAAGTGAATACAAAAAGTGGATGGATTCTCAACAAACACAAACTCAATTACGTTTTTAATGAAACCATAATAAAGACATTTAAAAAACGCCATTTAAAGCTATGGGGAATTTTCAGCTGCAGTTGATCTTGATGTCTAATTGTGACCAACTACAGCAAACTAAACCATCAGTATAGCAAAAAGCCACTCCTAAATGTCTGAAACCACCACAGAGGGTCAGTACTTGTTGTAATGAGTAATGTATGATCAAAGTTTAATCCTGCAGAGGTAGGTTTTAGGATACATTGGCACTGACATTGCTTATTTTTTCCAAGGGTGTCATAGAAAGTGACAGTCAAGCAGGACATATGTTTGGAAATTAGAGGTTTGTCCACAGGGGGGCGCCTAAATCAATATAAAATCAAATCTCCTCACTTGAGCTTTACTACAATGTTTTAATACTGGTACTCTCTGAGCCATACAGGTCAAAAATAATTTTTATCCCCCTTTTAAATAAATTTGGAACAAGAATATGTTATCTAAACTCTTACTTTGTCCAAATAGTTATGTAAGTAAAGTAAGCTCATCAAAGTGACACAAAACATATAGAAATTTTTAAAAAATCTATAAGGAATATTATAAAATGCATCAACCAACAATAAATATTCAGCTGCTATTTGAAGATAATATTTGGAATTAATGCTCTCTAGGATCATAAGGTCTGGAAAACCTTTTTTTTTTTTTAAGCACATTTTACACCAGACGAACTTGTCATAGTACTTTACAGACTTGGACATCATCAAGTGAAACAGGTTAAAAGACAATAAAAATATAAAATAATGAGTAATAAAGTTAAAATATTACTTTTAATATTATTCTGGTTGTATATACATTTGATTAAGTGTAACTGAAATCTCAAGATACAGTCAAGTCCCCACACTTTTTAATCTCACTCCTGTATCCGTTCTGTTTCCTAGTTCTTGATCGTGGTCCAAGTCTCTGTCTGACTTGGAGCTCGGAGCCAGTGGAAAGACAAAGCCTTGAAAGGGGGTCTGGTCCCTCGACTCTCTGGGCTCTTTGTTCAAAGTGGGGCCATGATGTACTCGCTGTTTCAGAAAGAGCCCTTTTTAGCTAGGCCGTAAGGCGATCCTGGGCCTTTCCTGGCCGGGGTGTGCCCTCGGCGTCTCTGGTTTACCTGCGGGACCTAGAAGGGTGGGGCTGGGGTGGGCTGGTTTTCCCTGAGCCAGGTAGGTGAAGTGGAGAGGAGGAGAGCAGCTGGTCAGTGAAGGAAGAGAGCGATAGAGAGAGAGAGAGGGAGAGAGGAGGGGAGGGATGGAGGGATGGATGTAAGGCGAGAACTCTGAGAAAAGATAAATAAACAAAGGTGGCGATGAGGGTCTGAGCTGAATTAATTCTATCAAGCTCTTTCTGTCTTTGGTGACGGTCTCCAGAGACAGCACCACTGAGAACAGTAGACAGGGGGTACAGTATGAGACTACTACAGACGGCTTTGGAGTCAGGCTGCAACTGCAAGCACCTTTAGACATGCTGCTCCTCGCTTTGTATAATTTCTTTTTGTTTATTCAAGTTTATTTTTTTATGATAATAACTACAAACAAAATATGAAATGAAATAGATGGGGAGAAGGAATCACAACCTGTTCAAAAGTAAGGACAAGAAAGGTCCCAACTTTGATTAATTTAATTGTAAAGTGCAGAATGTCGACATTGACAAAAAAGTGAAAGAAAATCAGATTTTGACAGATAGCAGATGGACCAGTTATTTGCAAACATGCAAACTATGACCTGCTGGTGGTGCTGCGGGAAAAGTTATGGGGTCATCTGGGGGCAATGGAATGCGTCAGCTGAGCCAGAGCCTGCAGTTTCAGGACCCTTTTGTGCATCAGTTACATTAAAGGCACGGTAACAGAAAGCATGTTTGAGTTGCACAATCAAACACACAATTAGATCATAAAAATGTAGTTCTCTACTTCTATTGGATGGTGCTGTAGCAAACAACAAGGGCCTGAGGAGGTAAAGTCCTAAATCTGCTGTCTCTGGGTCTGCAGACCCTGCTACCCCTGAGGACACCACGATAATATGCAATAAGAACTTTATGTCAAATGCCATTCAAACTGGGATTTAGAAGATGCTCGCTGACAGAAAAACAACTGATGCCTTCATGGGTCATTCCCAGTCCATGATTCAAAGTGTTTGCAGATTCATTTTTAAACTACTGGTTGCACATAGAGCTGTTTTCTTAATTTAATGTGAAGAGTTTGTGTAATGCAGTTTTGCAGAGTTTTTGATGCACCTCTCAGAAAGCTGTGTATCAGAGACAGCGCTGGGTGCTGAGGAGGAAGGAAGAAGGTGGAGAGTTTTGCTGTGGTCTGCAGTTTCTGGCTGAGTGAACAGATGACACCAGGGTCAGTGGGCTGCTGTACATCGTCTGCGGTAGTCTGCATGATTTATTCTTAGTTTGAACATTATTGTCAGCTGTTAAAGGCACAGTGAAGAGTTTTTAACTGATGTTGAAATAGTAACACTGATCCCTATTCATAATCAACATAGTAAAATAAAATCATGATTGGATATTTTCTTATACTGAAATTTAATGCATGTGTTGTTGACACCATGGTTATGATCTGTAACAATACTGTTCAGTTTATAATACTTTAATCTAATGTAGTTTCAACTCAATGCATCACCTTGTCAATCTGCATATTGCAACAAAAGTAGTATTGAAGAAGAGCTATATTACATTCCTTTATTCACACTACAAATACACATACTGGAAGGAGATGCATGTTAATGACAGTGAGTAAAGGTGCTATGAGACTTTATTTTTCTTATTCTTATTTCTTTCCTTTGTGTTTTATGTCATCAGGATCCCAAAATAAAAGAAAGAAAAGAAAAACACATTTAAATTTAAAGTAAATGTTCAAGGATCTTGTGCCCCAAACCCTCATGGATGCTGGTTCTGAATTGTGAGACGATAACAAGCCTGGTGGTTTTTACTGCACATGATGATAGCAGCAATTTTTGGTCAATTTCATGCTGAACAACAATATTTTGAAACTATTTGCTCGCAGTCTTTCACTTTGTTTTTGTTTTTTTGTTTTTTAGGAGTTAATGTTTTAGCTAATAATTTAAATGTAAAGTTGGAAACTTTTACCATCTGTATCTCATAATTTGAAAACTACAGGGTTTATCATTTTTCACCTCCTACAACCAATAACATCAGGTTTGTAGCAGGAAGTACGCCCTTTTTCTCCCTCAATGTGGCTTATTTTGAAATCTATACCAGGAAGTGTCAGTATTTCTGCCCGAGGTGCTTTGCGTTGGTGACAGGAGGTTGGCAGAGCTGAAAGTGTGACAAAGTGTAATACATCAGTGTCAGAAGCTTTTTCACAGAAAATGAGAGGAAATAGGCCCTGTCACGGAGCTGTAGCGTATTTTAAACTATTTTTACCTGATCATTTGTAACATTACTCTATAATAAGAATTGATGATTATAATTCTATTGTGGGGGAACACTCGGCACTAAGTCATGAAGAAGAAGGACTGAGCGGTGATGTAGAGGAGACCAAAACAAGCCAACATGAGGAGTTTCATTTTAAGAGTTAACGGGATCTAATTTACTCTTCCTTACCATGAACAGAAGATGGATTCGCCGGAGGCTGCCTGTTTTAATCGCCATGTTCTTCATCATCCTATACGTGGATTTCCAATTACGCGCCAGCAGCCTCCCCAAAATCAGCGTGGATCACCCCCCTGACACCCGGCGCGCTTCACCGCTCCATCCAGCAGGCTCCGACTCCAAAGACGCACAGAGTCCGGCCAGAAACAGCAGCGGTGATGTAGGAGTTCACCCTGCATCCGACGGTGCACATGTCGCCAAGCAAAAACTCAAGTTAGAGGATATCTTCATCGCTGTGAAGACCACTGGGAGGTTCCACGGGACGCGTCTGGCGCTGCTGCTGGAGACATGGATCTCAAGGACGAAGGAGCATGTGAGTGTCTGGTGTTTTGGTGCTTTTGTGGGCTGCGCTGTGGTCACAAAACAACCATAAAATATAATTCATGAGAGGAAACGAGCAAATAGACAGATTTTATCGAACACTTTAACAGAAGTCTAAAGTCTGAGATAAAGAATTAGTAAATTTTTCAAACATATTTAATTCACTTCTTTAAAAATTAGAAAAAATGTATCGAAAGAAGAAGTTTGCTGTTAACTGAAAGCACTGAAACTCTCTTCCCCCTTTAAAGCTGCATGCGAAATGACTTTACCTAGAAGCTTGAGTTTCTGTGCAGTTTCAGAGTGAATCAGTGGGTACATCTTCCAGAAACTGGTGTCAGAATAGTGAAAACATTCAGGTTTAGATGTTTTTCATGGTTAACAGTGGAAAACAAAAATAGCTCATCTATAGTTTGGAGCATGTTCTAACCTTGAGGTTATTCCTTAAAAGATCACTCTCAAACATCATTCTCAATTTCATTTGTGATATTTTATGATTGTGCAGCATTGTCGGCTTATTCCAAACTCAAAATGTACTGGTGTTTAACATTTAAGTTTGCTCTTCAAATACCCAGTCTTAGACTAAGTGATGTTTTAAAGGAGCCTTTGGAAATTCAACATAAAAACATCAACCCTGTTAAAGATCTGTCTTTGGGGACTGGGGAGTCTTTTTTTTCCTGCCATTGGTCCAATTTTTAAGTCTCTTTTTCTTTCTAGATACTCCCAAACATTGGACAAGAGACATAGGTTTCATAAGTACAATGAAGGCTGGAATTTAACAGAGCTCTAATGCTGCGTTCTAGGTACATCGGAAGTCGGATATCAGAGCTGGGAATGACGTCACACCCGAGTTACCAGCATTTCAGTTACATAGTCGGAAAACCAAGATGGACGCCTACATTGGCCGTTGTTAGCTGTTGTTTACAATTATCAGCTGTTGTTAGTTGTTGTTAGTGATACCAGTTGTAAACAACTGCATAACACAGTATTTTACTCTTACAAACACCATAGCACCGTGTTCACAGTTAGACGTTAGGCAGTACAACATAAACTACTTATTTAATTTCACAAAAACAAAACAGAAGTGCTAATAAATAATACATTACGAGAGCTTCCGCTTCAACTCTTTACTGTTGATGCACTGCGTGGCCATCTTGGTTTATGATGTTGCCGTTAAGTGGGGTTGGTGAGGATCGTCCTACTTTCTGAGTTGGAAATCCGACTTTAGGGGGGCGTTCCAGATGAATTTCCGACTCAGAGCTCGGAAATTCCGACTTCCAAGTACAACTGAAACACAGCATAAGTATATAACATACAGAGTGGGTCCACTTCTACGAAGGTCGCCATCTTGGATTTCCATGTTACTACAGTAGCCCAGGGCCGACAAACTAGTGTGTTTTTATATTTAGTCAGTGGCCAAAATGTATTTATAAATGGATTCATGAAAAAATTAATGAGGAAGATGAAGAGTTATATTTTTATAGTAAAATCTTGACAATTGGAGGCCACCATTTTTAAAGGGGGGGTATCATGCATTTTCTTTTTTTTGGACTCTAAACTTCCTCTCTAATACCTCTTTCATAGCTTGACATGATTTTTAAGATCAAAAAGCCTCAAATTTCTCACTCTGGTGTATTAAAATATCATTATTTCAGCCTCCGTCTGAAACGCTTTGTTTTAACTGCTGTCTCTTTAAGGACCCCCTCCACAAGCATACTTTCATCTGACCGGGAACCTCGCTGAAGGCTTCCCAGAAGCCAGCCGAGGGCAGAGCTTGATGTTTTGTCCCCACTCCCCTTTACTGTGGTCGATCAGTTGACATCATATATGTAAATATATATAACGGAAAAATCTTTTTGTGGGCAATTTAGATGAAACACCCACCAGCTTGTGAATCAGGAGAGCTCAGGCACATTTTTAAAAGTGCCAAAACTCTGGACAAAGAGAACTTCTGCTGTTCAGTGTTCAACAATGGGCTTTACTGGCATGAGAAACAAAATCATTAACAAGGAAAACAAGAAAAATTGACAAGGAACGGTCTGGTCAGATTGATATACCAGGTCAATGTCTGTCTGCTCGCCAATATAAGCATATACACACACTCACTCATAAACACTCCCACACACACACACACACACACACACACACACACACACACACACACACACACACACTGGCATTTCACTTGTTTTCTCTGTGAAGCTTTGCCAGCTCACGCTGTATCTACAGGTGATAAGTGGCTTGTCAAAACAACACAATGCTCTTCAAAGGACATTGGTGGAAGAGTGCGTCTCTTATCTGAAGGGACCATTGGTTCAGTCGTGCCAGTAACATCAAAGTTGAGTGAATCTAAAGGAACAAGCCATACACAGGACTTATAGAAGGACAGGCATCATTGAGCGAGAAAAGAGTGTAAAAGTGACACATTGACTTGTTTTTGGGTTTGATTTAGTCAAATACAAATAGATTATTACCAAATGTGTGTATTATATCAAATTGTCCTCATGAACTTACTTTATATCCATGCCATTGTCACCAAAACAGCTCATTTCCTTTTTTGAAGTAGGTGAAACACATGAGCAGTGAACTTAAGCGGAAGTGTTCATCTTGCTTCATACAACTTCTCTTTTTAGGTTTCACAGATCAGAAAAAATGGCCAAAAAGCGCTGATTCATTTGGGGGAAGTTTATTGTTTTTTTGTTTTTAAAGCAACATGATCAAGCCATAGTACTCTACGGACTTGAACCTTAAAAATGAGGTCAATGTATGTCAAAAATATTTTTATTAGTTTAGGCATGCCCGTTAAAACAAACTAGCAACAAAGGTAAAATGTTGGCACATGACAGCATAGATACACCATGTGGCAACTTCTGGCATGAGAAAATGAAGACCATGTGGAGGTGTGAAAAAAATGATGCAGTTCCTTAAATTTCCACTAGAGATTGACTCTAAAAGTAGAATCACCTCCATTAGGGCCAATGGTTTACAGAAAAGTAAACATTTTTTTTTTTTCCCCACATAAGAGTTTTGCATAATTATGCCCATGGCAGACTTGATTGACGTAGAGGCAATGGCCTAAACCTCCCCTTTTTGATGAGTTCTGGGAAGAGTAGACATTTCCAGGTACAGAGTCACAGAGGCACTGTTTAAATGGAAACCTTTACAATAGAAGATGGTAAGGTTTCATTGTATTTTGGGTTTCTCTCAATTGGAATGTCGAGGGTTCGATCCCAGGTACCGCTGTCCACATGCCAAGGTGTTCATGCCCAAGACACTTGACCCAGACATGCCCCTGCTGGTGACACACATGATGTGTGATGTAAAAGTACTCTGAGTGGTCAGAAGATGAATGAAAGTGCTATAAACATAGTCCAAGTACCATGTGATCATTTTCAGGCTGAGTTAGGCATAATCACTCTCGTGCATTCGCCATAATACTCACCACTCTGTTGCAAAAAGACTTGATGTGCAGGTGAATTGGTGTTCCTAAGTTTGGTTTCTTTACAAAGTTACACCACCAGGTTTTAGTCTGGTATGCACCACATGAAAAATCTGGCAAGAAAATTCTTAAAGCTATGAAAAAAACTTGGGAGTTTTCCAAAAAGGAGGTCTGGCCCAAAATCAGCCCAGCTATCTTTCAGAAAACAAGGGAAACATACAGCAAAAACCATGTATAAGCCTGGGAAGGATCAAGGTAAAAGCTGATAAAACCACCGTCTATGCATAAATAGAGACCGTATTTTTATAGAGAGAGGAGAAGAAATTACTCCACTAAATAAAGGTCTTTCTTTGTGTTAATTCTCAATGTAATTTGCCAACACACACAAAAACCAACCCCGCTAACACACATGTTTATATTCAGGCCCATGAGCACACATTCACACAGGAAGTGGTGCAGGCAGGTTGTCTGGGCTGAGAGGAAGCAGTCGCTGTGTAGAGACTCTGTTAACAATACTGAGCCGGAAACTGGTCAGAGAACAGGAAGAAGAGAGGCAGATTGCAGAACAGTACACACATGTTCACACACAAACACACATCACCAGACTCTGTCCATCACAGTGGGTGAACATTCTCCTCTATCAGAGAAGTAGCAGCTGCTGTCACTCAGCAGCTAATCTGTTGAGCACCGGAAACAGAAGTGTTACAGCGGAAACCGGCTCCTATCTGCTACTATTTTAGGGCACTGGAAAAGTTAATATACTCTGAAAAACTCTCAACATATTCTACTTTATGTCCTCTGAACCGTTTTCCATGAGTGAGAAGGTCATTTGAAGGTCAGAAGTCATGTCAACGCTGACATGAGTGGAGCAAATGACAAACATTTTATTGGCTGAGTATGATAATATGAACACACTAAGCAGCCCATCTTAACAGGGTGCAAGTGTTGGATGTCGCCATGCATCACCTCCAAAACTCACTTAACATTTATCAAATATGTACCTCCTGTACATCATGTAAACAAATTATGTTGCAATCAGTTGCATATGTCTTATGTTTGAACTTTATTTACAGGAAGATTTTTTTCTATTTCTACAGTATATATTGTAATATGAAAAAAAATCTGTAATTTACACTAGATAAAAGCAGTGCAGTTTAAAGTATGTGTTGTCTGTTCAATCTTCGGTCTATTTCTTCTTTTTAAGTGCGAACTTAAGGCTAAAATGCATCCCCATGTCCATTCTGTGAAACAATTTAAAATGTCCTTTTTGTTGTGAAGACTTTTTATAAACTAGACTCCAAAGGCACACTTTTCCATCTTACCTTCAGCCAGGTCTATAAAGTGTTTGAAGAATCAGAAAATCAAAATGTCCCAATTTTTCCCAAAAAATGTCCTCAATCTCAAAGTGAAAAACACAGGGCCTCACAAAGGCAGGAAAACAACAACAACATTACACACATATACACACACACATGCAAGTGAAATAATAACTCTGCTGCCCTCTACTGGACATCTGCAGAACACATCTTGTCATCATTCCTCCACCCTGTTCCCTCAGTTTACCACAACACAAGGTCTTGAAATCTGAAGTCACACAAAAGAAAAAAAACCAAAAAAAAAAACAGAGAGAAAGAAAAACTTTGCAAAATGTGTCCCTTAATTATATGTTATGATCATGTCATCCAAAATTTGGGTCATTTTTGTTAAATGTTTCTGTAGTTATTTTAATTTGTGTTTTTCTTTTTAAATGTTTATGTGATTCATTTTTACATTTTGGGTTTTCAGATTTCTCAAGTGGTTCCAAAGTTTCTATTCAAATCTTGTGTTTTATGTATATTTTAAAGTTTTGTTAAATGTTTGTAAGAGAAATTATATCTATATGTGTGTGTGTGTGTGTGTGTGCGTATAAAAGTCAGTTTGAATATCTAAAAAACTACAACTTTTTGTCAGATCAAGATCTGTTCTACCTTTTTTAGAAGCCAAATTTGTCAGAGCTTGACATTTAAAAAAACAACACTCACATAAATATGTTCGCAAAAAGTGGCTGAAAAAAACTCAAGTATTTAAACACATAAAATTGTGATTTAAAAGTGTGGGACACAATAACACCACTAGAGTTCAGTGTTGTATCACAGCTCTATCTACCAACTATCTATCTATCTATCTATCTACGTGTGTGTGTGTGTGTGTGTGTGTGTGTGTGTGTGTGTGTGTGTGTGTGTGTGTGTGTGTGTGTGTGTGGCCAATTACCATAGGTCCCAGTAGGGGGCCTTATTTAAGTCACAATGAATTCGCTCCATTCAAAACAATACTGATACCCTTGCTGATACTGATACAGATACAGAGAGTGAGTTTGTGTGCGTTCACTCAAAGATGTGGATGTTTTCACAAGACGCTGCATACAAGATGAGAATATAATAATAACAATAATTCATCTATTTTAATTCCTGTATTTCTCCACCTCTTTGTCTAGACCTTCGTTTTCACAGACACGGAGGATGAAGATTTCAGTTCAGAGGGTGAGTCAAGAGGGTGATTTATCATGAAAGTTCTGTAAATGCATGTGTTGATAATGAGCAATTCTGCTTTTGTCCTCCATTGTAATCTCCTCTTTTCCTCTGTCTTTATCTTGAACCTTTCTTGCCCTGTGTTACATTAAGTCCTCCCTGTCCTGCTTACACACACCTGCTTCCTCCTGCTTCTCTCCCTGCTCTCCTCTCTCCACCTGCAGCTGCCTCCACCATTAACTCTAACGTCATATGCTTCTTCCCCACACATTGACTTTAGCCATTAATGATGATGTTGAAGTGTGAGGGGAGAGGTTATGCTATCTCTGCTGTGAAGAGAGAGGAGGTAGGGCCCACTTTATTAACTGTATAAGATGAAACGAGCACAGCATAGCAGGGGGTACAGTACTTTTATGATTGTGAGGAGCCGTAATTGTTACTGAAATCAAAATTCAATTATTCGCTCAGTCCTACATCTCCTCTTTCCCCTTCATTCTTTTTAATCTCTGTTCATCCTTCCTCTACTGTCTCTTATTATATCATCCTCCAGGTTATGTCCTTCACTTTTCTTGTTTGAACTCAGCTGCTGTCAGTTGCAATAAACCCATTTAGCACTTCATAAGAATAAGAACTTTATTTTCACCGAAGGGAAATTCAATAAAAATTCAATGTTTTAATCATCTTTCTTGGAAAATGAGTAATGCAGGAGTATATAACCATTATCATCTGCAGAGTTCAAATATGGGACATCTATGAAATTTTAAAAAACGCTAAGATTTTGGTATCTTCTGTTTTTCCAGGTTGTAACGTAGTGGTAACAGACTGCCAGTCAGACCACAGCCAGCAGGCTCTCTCCTGCAAGATGTCTGCTGAGTACAACGGTTTCCTTGCCTCCGACAAGAGGTGAGACAGATTATTGTTGAGTCCACACTGGATTACAAGATCAGATTAAGATAACAAACTCTTCAAAGTGAAAGGAAGAACTAAAGAGGTAAAGAAATTGCATGAGCATAAACATAAGTTAGAGTTATGGCTTTGTATTTATTTCGCAAGCATCTTCATTGATTTATCGGACGTCTGCTCGCTCTTAACTTCCCACAGGTCACCTGCCAATCAAATTTGTGCAAGTCCAAAAATCAATATCTGTAAATGCTCATGTCGGATTTTTCTTTAGTTTATGCCTAATAAACAAATCAAGCTCAGACAGGTGGCATGTGGGATTATTATGTGGGATTACCATAAATCTTGCTGATATGAAAAGAAAGTCAAGAAAACAGTGAGGGTGGTAAAGAAAAAAGGAAAAAGATAGTTCTTGCCTGATTATAAATGCTTTTTACTGATTCATCAAAAAACTCTTATACAACTTATTAACCTGGTACTTTATGTACATTTTCAGCTTTTACTTACCAGTACAACACTCTATGAAGTGGTTGAATATAAATACTGATAATCTGACTTTTTCTGTCTCTCTTTTTTGCGTTAAAGTTAAATATCATGAGTGATATTTTTAAACGCTTTATTACGAGACCTGCCAGAGTTTGTCTACCTCTCAGTTTTAATTTCCTATGGCAGGGAACATTGAAACTTCAGACTTTGATAAGAAGCACCCAAAGGTATCATTAGTGATGGGTTCAGAGGTCTGTGTTTCACTGGTGGACTTAAATCGTGTTCAAGTCATAATTGGTGCCCCATTTTAAATGGAGGATTATCTCTTTCTCATGTTTATAAAGGAAAACCCAAAGGGAGCAATCAGGGCCTCCCTGTAAGTTTCCATAAGCAGAATATTTTCAGCTTCAAACACTTAGCAGACAAAGTTAGCACATGGAGAGTCATTCCACTTGAGTATTTTGTATCAGAGAAGCAAAAAGAGGGCACAAGTGGAGTAAATGTCACACAGATTGTGCAGATAGACTTAAAAATATCTCCAAATGAACACCAGCGTTTACCTTATTTGCCAAGCGTACAACCAGAAACAAACTTCCAGTCCAAGCTTGCTCAGTGATGAAACAGGTACACTTGTAGTTTTGCTTAGCCGTGCACTGAGCTAGATGATGTGTTGCTGGTAGTCTATCATATTTATGATTAGTGGAAAACACACTAAGACTAAACAGCTTGTGTTTGGAGTGTGACTAAGTCTTCTGCTGCTGCTGCCGTGGTGTAGCAAATATGGCAGAGAAAACGAAGGAGTGTTTCAGTTTGGCTCTGGGGCTCACTCTGTTATTTGGACAGCAGAGTGCAGTGAGGCTGTTTGGTTTGGAAGGAAGTGTTGGTGTTGTTGGGCGGCCATTAGGATGGCAGGGGAAAGACATCAGCGCTTTGTACCAGCAGCTTTGTCATTTGGACTCTGATGTTGTTGTAAGAGTCTGTTGGGTTTGGAAAGAAGATTTAACATCATGTCCAGGCATGAAGGTGGCAAGCAGAAAGCATTTTTGGAGTGTGATTTCTCGCAGAGGAAAACTGTTAAAGTCTTCGTAGAAAGATGTGAGGATGTTTTCCTGTATTTTTTTTCCTTTGAAAATGTAGTATCTGAAAACTTATTAGCGGACTTATTAAACTAAAACAAATCAATCAGACTGGATCAAATCTTGAGGTAAACAGAAAGGATAATGAAAGTGGGAAAAAAAAACTTTTTTAAAACTTCCAAATCCCAAGTTTGTGTTGTTTAAAGCGTTTAAGTAGGATTGGAGGAAACTGTAAAAAATTGGATTATCCTAATCAAATCTACAATATATATGTAACATTATCTAACATACTCCCCATTCCAGTGCAGTGTCACTGCAACATTTTTATCTGTGTTGTATATGGAGATCTTTTGTATACGAATGCTGCTGGTCAATGAATGATTGATACTGTTTATTATGCTTCTTTGAGGTTCATTACTAACTATAAGATGTCCACTCACCATTGTGAATTATACTCTTGAGTGGGATTGCCTGCTGTGGCCACTCTAAGGGCTAGTCATTGGTACACTTTCATTTATAAGGCAATATTGGGTCTGCTGCCTTCATACATTTGCACTTTAATTACTTAGAGAGATGCTGAATGTTATTCTCTTTGTTCACAAGATCAATTGTTGCGTTCTGTCCTTTATGCTTGTATGGAGATGGGTAAAAGGGCATTTGTTTACTGTGCACCTTATGTATGGAAATATGCCCTTAGGAAGACTGGAAACTAACTGATTTAATTTCTTTGAGCACTTTTTAATCCAAACTGAGAGTTATTGAGGCCAGTTCTACAATATGTACTTGATTTTCATAATGTGTTTAAGTTCTGAGTCTTATTTATGCAAATATGTAACTGTATTTTGTGTTTGCTGCCTCTTGGCCAGGACTCCCTTGATAAAGAGGTGTATTTCCTGGTTAAATAACTGTTAAATAGATTTAAAAATGGTGGCAGTGGAGCACAAATGTGTCTTTTGTCTGCAAATAGTGCAAAAAATATACTTTCCAATTGCAAAGTGCTACAGATTTCTCAGTAGAGCATACACTTTAATAGAAACTGCAGGAAACTGTAGCCGAGCTTGTATACCCATTCCCCCTGTCCCTTTAACGTGTTAAAACAACTTTAAATGACTTTTAAGTACTCGGCAAAGTCAAATGCATTCAATTACTGTAATTTCCTGTTTTCATATATGTTTTCAAATTTCTCGCATACAAAATCAAAACCATGATATTTTGATTACCCATCCCCCTCTTTTGGGTAAAATATACTACACATCATAATGATATATTCATCTATTTTCAGTATAGGAAAAAAAGCAGGTCTGTCTTTCAGTATTGCCAATCCTAATCACCAGAAAATCCTAATTTTTGGATTTTGATCATTAATGTTGGCATATTTTAAATTGGTCTGAGAGGTTATTTCTAGCTGGAGGACTTCATTTCTTTCTGTGAACATGAGGCAATTTTTTCTGAAAATGAAAATATCCTTCACCAAACTTCAGCAAAGTAATAAACCAAAAAACTTCTGACTTTTTAATGATAATTTAATGCACCATCTGCTATCATCCAGGCAATTTTCATGTCTTTGTGAGTTATATATCGAGAACGAAGACTGAAACCAGAAGGTATGAAAATGAGTTTTCAGTTCAGCACAAAGAGGAATGGAGAACAGTGGAAAAACTAGGACCAGTAAATCAGAGCAGAGTTATATTTAAGCTTAAGTACTTTTTTTTCTGTTTCCCCCTCTCTTTGGCTCCTCAGGTGGTTTTGTCATGTGGATGATGATAACTATGTGAACCCGGAGGCCCTCCTCTCCCTGCTCTCTGCTTTCCCCCAGGATGGTGACATCTATGTGGGCAAACCAAGCCTGGACAAGCCCATCACTGCCCACGAGCTGCTGGAGGGCAACGCAACGGTAGAGTAGAGTAGCAATGTCTGTGCCCACTTCTGAACTTTGGCTGCAGCATGGTCACTAACCTTCTGAATCCTTTGTCATCAACCACAGGAAATGTACATAGATCTTTGGATATATTCATACCATCACACTTCAGTAGAAATGCTGAGAAAATTTTATTCTGCCAGTATTTTTAGGATTCCAGTTTTTAAAGGATGCTAGATGACTCCAATAAGAACAAAAAGGGTCTCTGTGTTTTTGAAAAGAAATTATATCACAAACACATTTTTAAAAGGTTTTAATATCTGGCAGTTTACACATATTCTCTCTCATGCTTTCTAACTACACCAGTCTTCCCTCAGGGTTTTCTCTTGGCAGGATTGGAAAAGCCTTTCAAACAGCATTTACACCAGAGTGCACTAAAACTCCCCTGAAACCCAGACAGAATTTAATTTATCCAGACCGATAACTCCAAAGGCGGTGACCCCTCTGTGAAGCTTTACTGTCTTTAATATAACACCACAGATTTATTCCTTTCTTGTTGTCCCACCTCCTTCGAGTATTTACTTCCTCTTTGATGCTTTATTTTCCTTTTTGAAGAAGCCTACTGTTGGCTGTGTTTTCCGTGTGCTTGCTTGCAATTCTCTGACCGATTACTGTCATTCACTCTTTCTTCTCCTCTAAAAATAAAGTTGCACCAACTTGTAGGAATTGCAATTACACACACAGATTGTGAATTTTTATGATTTGCAGGAACCATCATGTAAACTCGACTATCATACAGACAGCTAGCAGGTTGGGGGTAGCGAACGGTAACACAAAAAGCTACACATCTGCATAAAATCTGCACATTGCTGATGGTAGCCATCATGCAGGAACACAGTTTAAACCAACTTTAAATGATACTCTAGTATAAGCTCAACTATCACATAGCAGCTGGAAGATTAGGGATGGCATATGGTACCAGAAAGAGCTACACATCTGCATAAAAACTGTTGTCATGCAGTCATCCTTTTAACCTTAGGAATCTCATCCACTGAAACAGACTGTCTTGTAGATAGGTGCAGCATATAATCAGGATTTTTCAGTATTAACTAGAATGGGGTATTTTCCTTGGGTAATAATCGTGACTCTTCTCTGACCTCCGTTTGTCTCACCTTTCCTCTCTTTTCTCACTCCCCTGCTTTTCATGCTTTGCTCAAATACTCCTGAATAGACATTTATGAAGTACACAACAAAATCAAGGTCTGCTGATTATGGATTTGCACTCAGGGACAGACGCATGTACGTGAGGATGGATGTAGGATCATGAAACATGAACAGCAGAGCATCTTTTGTTCACATAGGTATTCAGACTCATGGATCAATGGGTGATTATGGCCTTGCTGGGATATTGGCTTGTAGTACAAAACACTCACAAACACAATGATGAAGACTCCTCAGGGAGGTTTGAAGGCTGATAAACTATAAGAAATCCATGTCTTGTGTTTGGAATAGGCATGCAGATGTTCCCGAGTGTGCATGCTTTTGTGTTTTATAACACTATGTAGGACACACTTTTTGTCAATTCCTGATTACAGCAAGTTTCCTCTCTCTCTTTGGCCGCCATTTACAGTAAAACATTGATCTGTATTTATCTTTGCTTCCTTACATTTCCGATTCTCTCCTTTTTTACGTCTCCTGATCATTGGAGTTCATATTTTGATACTGTTTTATTTTCATACTCACTCTTGTTTCTGCTTCTATGATAACCCTGATGTGTCTCACCTGTGCTCTTTAAACTCCACTGCCCTGGTGTCAGTGGCCGTTTTCGAATTCGCCTACTACACTAGCAGTACATACTGATTTGCCCAAAATTTAGTATGCAGTATGCAGTAGGCAAACAAATACGAAATTTGCAGTATGCCAAAAATACACAAATGACGTACTGATTCAGGAAAATTTCACAGTATGCATCGGACAAGTCTGCTTTGCCTTTACCCACAATGCAAAACGCTTGGGCAGACGGCGGAATAGCGGAGAGCGGCGGAACTTTTTCACCCGAGCATTCATTTTCCAAGAGGACCGCCAAAAGATTTCTCCTTCTGACAGCCTGTCTTCTCCTCCTTCTTTCAGCATTTTGTGTGCAAACCACTGACAAGAATGCAATGTTTTGTTGCCGTACCCTACAGTTTTTTTCCTTTTTTTCCCATCGCCCCAAATTTCCCTGCTTCTCCTGATCCTTTATACTGTACAGTACGTGTGATGTTTACCACACACAGCACGTACCATCGGTGATGTTTACATCACATAGCTGGACAGACAGCTGGCATTAGAGGGGGTCTAAAGCTTTAATGCAGAAAGGTGAGTAAACGTTAAAGCAGTCAGACTCAATCAGCAGCCAATACAGTATTTGAAATAAACTGACAGGACACACCTGATTTAAATGATTAGCTCGTTATGAAGCCATTACAGAGCTTGATAACGAGCTGATCATTTGAATCAGGTGTGTTGGAGCAGGGAAACATCCAAAACATGCAGGACAGTGGGTCTCGAGGACTGGACTTGAGAAACACTGTACTAGAGGGTTTTCACTGTAGTTGTCAAACTATCAGGACAACGGGAAATAAGACCACACCACGCAGACGCCATCAGTTAACATGTTTGGTGAGGTTTGCAACTTCTCCCATTTTAGCAGGAAACCAGGACAACATAACTGACAACATAACTTTGCTGATTGACAAGTCATTGCATTAGACGGAACACGTTTTGATTGCTTGTGTTGGGCTAAAAAAGCCAGAAAAAATCTAATTATAACATACGAGATTTTTTTCAGTGTGGAAATGAATGGGCAACACTGTAGTGTTGTTGCAATTTAGCAGGGTATGATGTACTTTTCCATACCGGAAACCAGTTGAACCAGGCAAAGCATACTACATAATAACGGCCGACTTGCAGTCATACTGCATACTGCTATCGAACACAGTACTCAGTATGCGCTCAGCAGGAGTATGCAGCAGGCCAATTCAAAAACAGCCAGAGTTTTCTGACCTTGCCTTTTGCCACCTGGATTGGATACCTCTGCCTGCGCATTTTAACTGCCTGTGTACCAAACGTTTTCTGATAAAAACAGACTTTGATTTGGGCCAGTTTGTGAATCTGCGTCAAGGGTTTTGGTTTAGTATTACACCTTCACTCATTCCTGTCCTTCCTAATTTTCTTCTTTTCGATTCTGGCTGTGAAGGAAACTCAGTGTCAAGCCTCTCTCATTTTCCGAGTCTCATTTTCTTACATCTTGCTGCCTATCTTCTTCGATTTCCTGTCACTGTTGCAAAGCTGCCAAGAGGAGGAGAAAAAGAAAGAGGAATGGGGAAAAAGGGATGAACGATGGAAAGAACAGGAAAGATAGGAGGGAATAAGCCTATGATAAAACAAAAACCAGGCAATGACAGAATAGTTGGAGGAAATAGACAGTGAGAAATATGAAGAAGAGCGGAAATTAAGGAAAAGAAAAGTACAAGAGGTTTAAGGGAACAGAGCAGGAAATGGGGAAAATATAGAGAAAGAGAGAAGAAAGGAAAAGACAGCAAAGGATGAAGAAAGGAATAATCGTGGCAAAAAAAGCAAACCAAAGGCTGTCAAGGAATTTTTCAAACAGAGGAAAAGAGACATTCAACAGAGAAACAGAAAATGATCTTTTCTTTTTACAATCACAGCTCTCTTATCTGACAATGAAAACAATTCAGCAGAAAGAAACTCCTGCTTTTTTATCACCTCAAGAGTTTATGCTGCAGGCAATAAAAATAAACCACCAACTTAACGTCTGCTGGAGAAACAGCAAAGGATATTTAGAGTAAACTGGTTTGAAAAAGACCAAAAATCAGTTTAAGGAAAACCACAGACAAGAGGGAGTTCAACTACTAAAGCTTATAATTCAGGTGGAGCCAAACTGGTGAATAGGGTTCAGAGGCTTAAAAGATCAATTTTAGATGCCAAATTGGCCAATTTTCCATTTGGGGCTGATTTCTTTGGATTTGGAGCTGGAATAAAAACAGACTCTCTCTGCAGATCATAGTTCGATTTTGCATCAATATTATTATATCTTTTATCAATCATAAGATTTGGAACTGAAACTGTGAAAGACACTATTACTTATCAGAACTTATCCTTTTTTTTTTAAGATTGTGTTTCATTGGAACTATTTCAATGAATTACACTCAGTTTTATAAATGAGACAGCCAACACTGCAACACTTGGGATCATGGAAGTGGAGAAAATGCCGGAAATACCGAGAGCAATTTGGCTTCAAATTCGTATAATGACTGAAGGCGGAGCTAAGTTCTCCATAGTATATACAGTCTATGGCCTATACCCTTCCTCATGAGACAACATTCAGGCAGGCAATCATCACAGTGGCTCATTTTTAAAGCATCCCTACTCACTTAGATCACCGGTTAGGAACTGAGAGGCTGCAGATCCGACACAGAGACTGACAGTTGTGAATGACTTTGCTACTGATTTCAAAACTTTGCTTAAAAGACGACAGGGACATGAAAGTAAATAATCATTTTGTTTTTGTGCAACTATAAAATTTTGGATTCAAAACATTAATCAAAATAAAAGTGGAGAATTTCAATGAAGAATCACATATAATTCTGTTGATATCTCTGTGTGTTCTGTCTTTTAGAGAGAAGTGCGATTCTGGTTTGCCACAGGAGGAGCAGGGTTCTGTTTGAGCCGACGGCTGGCAGAGAAAATGGCTCCATGGGCCAGGTATGTATGAGCTTACATTAAGAATGACGGTGTGGACAAGGGGTACGCAACAAATGGAAATATTTGTGTTTTTCACACTAGAAAGGTGCAGCTGTTTGTGCTTATATTTTACTAAATATCGAGACTCAAAATTTTCTCTTCTATTCAGCCAAAGATTTTTCTTTTAAAAAGGTTTGTAGGAGTTTTCAAAGTCAAAAGAAACTTTCTGAACAAAGCGGCCAAGACTGTAAATGTAGAAACAAAAATCTTGACATGTTGAGGCACTTCTTGTAGACTCCATTACTTGAGCTTTGTGAGCCTGAAAAAATAAGTGAACTTCAATAATTTACATTTCAGTGAAATATTGCGCTAAAGCTTGAGGAGAGTTTGCACAAACTCTCCCCGAGCATTTGAATGCACCAACCAGCCTCTCGCTCTTCAACTTAAACTGCAGTTTGACTTTGACTAACAGAAAATAGAGCTGAGTAAACCTCAGGAGCGATAAATCACCAGTCGTAGTACGTTTAAAGTCTGTGCAAGTTTGTATTTATACTGCTATCAAACAGCTGAGAGTAATGGCTGCCCCGGGCTAGAAGGTGGAGAACCAATCTATAAAATTTATGGTGTACTTTGGAAAAGGTCAGCAGTAAAGTCCATGCAGTACGTAGTTAATGGGCTAAAACATGCAAAATCTCCTTATAGCGTCCTTTTGGGATGGAAGTCTGACATTTTATGGCTTTTCTTTGGGGGAGCATCAACCGTCATAACTCAAAATCTAACTGCACAGTCCACTGACACCATAAACATTAAGAACAGCTCTGGGGTAATCTTTTGTGTGTGTGTGTGTTTTGGCTTCAGTGGGTCACGATTCGAGCAGACGTCAGCAAAGATCCGCCTCCCTGATGACTGTACGGTGGGCTTCATTGTAGAGAAGAGGCTGGGCATCTCGATGGTCCACAGTTCTTTGTTTCATTCACACCTGGAAAACCTGCTGCTCATCAGCCAGAGAAGCATCCCACAGCAGGTAGACACACACCTGAACACACATCCACAAACAGACACACACACACGGACACAGACATGAAATTAATATACATATGATTCTATGTGTTATCTCTGTGCAGGTGACCCTGAGCTATGGCATGTTTGAGAACAAGATGAACAGCATTGAGGTGAAAGGCAGCTTCACCAAAGAGGAAGACCCTTCCAGGTTAGTCACTAACGAATCTGCGACAACCACACTCAGTCCAGGGAGTTCATAAGCTGCTTTTAAAGGGATATTCCGGTGTAAAATTAATTTAGGGTCAAACACACCATAACACTGAGTTAGACACCACGTCGAGAGATGAATGTTGCCGACCGCTTGCTTCTCAAGTTATACCAACTTTAGTAACGACCACAGATAGCAATACAGAGAGCCATGCACTCAACCAAAAAGCCACTCTATAGCCACAAATAATGTTCAGAACAGCACCTAACTTCATCAACAAACACAACTCACCCTCTCTCTTCCAGCAGCAGCTTGTTTGTATGGATACCTCTGGACAAGTCTATCATCGACTGCAGTGGGGTGACGCAGCTCAAGGAAGAACATTTATGATCATTACTTTATCATCGCCTTTAAGTAATAATCACCATATTGATAATTTTGTACTGCAGACACTGTAGTTCTTCTGCCTTAGTGTCACAGTCTGATTGTATTTCCATGAAGAAATGATCATAAATGTCCATCCTTGAGCTGCGTCACCCCACTGTAGTCCGTAATGGACTGGCCTGAGGTCTCGCTACAAACAAGTGGCTGCTGGAAGAGAGAAGGTGAGTTGTGTTTAGTATCTTTGCTAAAGAAATCAGGCAAAGTTAAAAAGATGTTTGGTGGCTAGCACTATGGCTGGGACCCTATATGTACTGTTGATGAAGTTAGGTGCTGTTCTTAGCATTATTTGTGGCTATAGGGTGGCTTTTTGGTTTAGTGCGTGGCTCTCTGTATTGCTATAGTGCGGTCGTTACTAAAGTTGGTATAACTAGAGAAGCAAACGGTTGACAACATTCATCTCTCAATGGGGTGTCTAACTCAGTGTTATGGTGTCTTTGACCCTTATTTAATTTTACGCCGGAATATCCCTTTAACTACTAATGTGGAAAAAAACATTCTGCACTTTGCTTTTGTTCATTAGTGGCGACATAGAAATGTTTCAGCAAGATGAAATAAGTCCAAGTTATACGACACAGGAGAGGAGTATGAGCTGTCTTTCTCTGGACAGGAGTGAAGTGGTTAAAAAGGACGCAAAAAAGCCTGTCCTGTGCTCTAAAAGGAGATACTACTTGATTGTCAAGATGTGAAAAATAAACACTCAAAAACTTGTAATCAAGATATGAAATATTTATCCAGAGTGCATCCTATAAATATTTCAGCCTGTGAACTTCCTCGGCACTCAGTTTTACCTCTCAGCTGATCCGAACCGAAGACGTGACACCTCTGCAGCTCCGGTTCATCTTGTTCTCTGTTCAGTCAGAGTTAAAAGCAATTTGATGTCACACCACAGAACAACAGATGTGTTTGTCTTTCCCAGTCCTCTCCTGCAGCACCTGCAAGAACGAATTACTGTGAATCCTCAGCTCTGAGCTTTTTCTATTTTGTTCCTGTCCGCTGGTGTCGCAGGTAGTTACATTTGACATTGCTGCTGCCTTAACGTAGCAGCCAAAACTTCATCATTAATAAAACTTATTTTCTTTAAGATAGGCCATGTTTTTCTTTGGATAATGTGGTTTGTATGGGGAAATGTAGCTCATTCAACCTTCAAACTGCAGACAGCATCACTGAATGATGATAGAGAAAGTTAGAAGGGGTACAAAGAGTTACTAAGGGTAAAGAAAGATAACGATGAAGTCTGAAGAAATGACCAAACAAGGTTATTTACAATCAAGGTGTTTAAAGAGAAGCTAATATTGTTGCAACATAATGCATGTATGCAAATGTATAAAAACTACCACAAATGCCTCCATGCACTGAAGATTTCTGGCCTCCTTGCAGAGTATGACAGACATACATATTGAGATATTGTGTTAAAAAGTAAGCAAAGGTTGTCACACATCTTGAATCAGGGGATGGATGAAGAAGAGGTAGCAGACTGTTAGCGAGCTAGCTGACCTAACCCTCTCAGAGATGATAACATCAATATTATTGATGGATCCTAAAACAATGTTCAAGTTTAAGCTCTCAACCAGTTCTTTTATTCTGATCTACCTGATGTAGTATCCTTCAAAATAAAAGCATAGTTTGACAATACAGGTGGTAAAATCTATCAAAATAAAAGCATGACGAACAATTCTTTAATGAGGAAGGTGAATTTTAGAAAACATTAAGTACATTTAAGTCATGTCCAACTCTTCTTTGTTTGAACTAGCTATGACAGTTAAGTTTAGATTTTCCTGCTTCATGTTTGGGGTAAGATTAGGACTGAGGTGCCAAGTTAAGAAGAGTAAACACATGCCCTGGTAAAGGAAATATCCAACATGGAAAAGTGCACAGCACAAGTTGGAAAGACATGATCAAACTGTGCGCAAAACAGTCATCTGAAAATGTTCCACGGAAAACAAAAGCTCGTGTAAATCATATTCAAGGTCAATAATGTTGCATGCACTCAAACTTAAGGATCACAACTAAGACTTGTATTTTTTCTCTTCACTGCACAACCGTCCTTTCTTGGCGCCTTATCCGAAAAACTTCAAACAAGTTTTAAAATTCCAGACAAACAAAAGGGGGCAATAACATGTTCTCCTTGCTGCAGGTGGAAAATCATGAAGCTGCATAAATTATGTAGGATTATTCTAATATGTGACATCTTCATTAGACGCTCCTGCTGGACTATTTTTAGCTGCCTAAGCTTTCTTTTTTTAGCAGCAGCAGATCATCAGTATCAGTGCTGTCGCAGTCTCCACAGGCGGCTGATAGAGGACGATGCAAAGTCACAGATAACTTCATGTCCCCTGAGAAACTTTCAGATGATGGTTTTATCACTTTCAATACAAACAGGAGTGTTGTGCTTTCTTTTTCGGATTTGTGGTATTGAAGGGAAATTTTAGACCTGCATCTCTATACACTAGTGAGGATGACCTGCCTGTCAATGCATGGATACAGTTAGTAGGGTTGACTCACTGAAGGGGTTTTTAATAATTCATGCTATGATTTGTTAAGACAAAAGATTTTACATTTCAGTAAGGTGCTTTCGCTTTCATTTTATGCCTTCCTAAATCTGCTGAATCATCTATTTTAGCTGCGGTGCCCCTACCCTCTGATCATCCCCTTCTTCTCTCACATTTTGACATCTCTTCACTGTCACTTCAAAATAAAAGTCAAGAAATGAAGTTTTCAGAACAAAGCATGCTTCTGAATTATTAATCCGCTCCTCTGTTGTCTGCAGGTTTAAGACTGTACACTGCATGCTGTATCCTTTCACCAGCTGGTGTCCTTGAACTCTTCATACAGAGACTTCAACTCCCTAAAAAAGCGCACATGTGACTGGACTGGTAATCCTGCTGGAGGAGGAGGAGGAGGATTTTTTCCTTGATATAAAGTGAATGCAAAAAAAAAAAAATGATGGATTGATGTCAGATGCAGACACCAGATTTGGGTAATTAGAAATGGACTGTTTGAGTCATGCAAGTTATTTCTGGAAGATCAGTGCCTGAGGAAGCTTAATGAGACACCAACACCTGCATTTCTTCATACTTGTGGACTCAACAAGTTGAATTATTGAACATTTGTCTGCAGAGAAAATCGATTCTATGTGCTAAAAGATCACCTGGATGAAGTGGTAGGAGATGTGTCCTCCCGAAGATGGTGGTTACCTCCACCTAACTATTTTAGGAACAGGTAAAGAGGTGGAGCTACAACACGCTCACTGGTCAGTCAGTTCGGTCAGACTCTAAAGTTTGTAATTCTGCTGCAAGTCTGGTGAAATTGCATTTTCAGCCATGTACAAAGTGTCCAAGCTGCCCAAGGCTTGATCCAAAGAGGCAGCTGAACTTTGATCAAGTTTTTGATGTTCTTGTTGTTTGTTTTGGTTCAAGGCAGACAAGCTGTTGAGGGAATCCAGGTGCCCCTTTGATTGAGTCTTGGATAATCATCAGCAGGATGAATAAGAACCTACACTGATGTCTTTTAAGGAAGGTTTTAAACATCATCTGTTAAAACTAAAAAAATGCAGCCTCTGCAGCCCCTTAGTTTCCAGCCTCATTATCCAGGTGGTGATCTCAATGGAAGAGGATGCTCTGAGGTCACTGCACTGATTGGCTGTCTGACGGTATTCTGGTAAGGAAGGTTACAGACCAGTGAAGACATATGCAGGGGTGAAAAAACACTGAAACAACAAAGGCAAGCCCTCCAGAAGAACCTGCACCAGTATCAAGCCAAATATCTTTTTGTAAATAGTTGCACAAGTGGTTACAGTCAACAGTTGCAGGTCCACTGTTGGTGATCCTGACTGAATTTCTCCTTTTAGGATCAATAAAAGTCTTGTTCTTCTTTCCTTAAAGGGGGGGCAGTGTTACTGTAGCCCACAAGTTGTTGGTACAAATAAACAGCAAACACTGTTACTTGTTGATCCTCCAGTGCTAAGAAAGGTCAAAAGTATTTATTTTGGATTTTGCAGCAAACAATAGATCAATAGGCATGTGTAGCTCTGACCTTTGACATCTTGACTCTGCAGAAGAAAAATCAAAGCACAATACAACATCATAGAAAGCAGAATATTAGAGGAGTGAGAGTGTATTTGCCTGCATTCAGATGCTGATCTCTCCTGCTGTTGAGTCAACGGGGCCAAATGAAAGTCTTCTTGTTAGGTGTATGTTTTCCTTGAAGGTTGGCTGCAGAAATGATGCGGAGGTGTCTCATGGGTGTCAGGCTGGAGAAAGACAAACAGTTTATATATCAAAGAAAGGAAAATGTGCCTGTCATCATGTGGGACCTAGTGAAGTGTTCTTAGACTTTTGAGTCCCCTCAAAGTGGAATACAGTATTTGCACTTTTGCATAAAGGATGCCCCTTGTTTTTTTTTTCCTGGACCTGTCTACAAAGGATCAAAACTCTGTTCTCATCTCAACTCTGTTGCAAGTTCTGACTGTCACGTCTCTACTCCTGAATATTTTTGTTGATTTCAGTGTTATTTTTAGGGTGAGTGAAGCACTTGAGATGAAGCAGCACTTCTAATTTCCTCTGAAGTTATTCCCTTGAATCAAATAAATATGAAGTTGTTTATATTTCAAAAATAAACCAAAATGTTGTGGACTCTGTTTACTCAAATTTAGATTCATATTTTTCCTGTTTGCTCTGTTTGATGGGGTACAACAGTTTAAAAATTTTCTTCACTAAAATGATCCAAAGTTTGACAATTTAGTTGGACAAAGTTCTTGACTTTACTGGCTTTGGTTGAGTGTGTGTGTGTGGTGTCCTTTTCCCATACAATGACGTCATCTCCTTACCCACACCTACTGCCTTCCCGCCTGCCCTTCCTCCCTTTACCTCACTTGCTCCCCTTTTTTCTCCTCTCCTCCATCTGTTTGTGTTTCCTGTCTTGTATAAAACCACTTTACTTTCAGGCCACACCTGAAAGCAAATCAAACTCTTAGCTGCTTTTAAATTTCAATATTTTAACCAAAAATTTCAGCTGAAGGCACATGCTAGATCAGAACTGACATACCTGACACTTGGCCTCCACTGTGGCCTGAAAAACTCGCTCTAACCTGCAGGAGAATCATATCCAGTTGGACAGATCAGGTTCAAAACCAGGATACAATCTCACAACGACATGCACACACACTCTAATGTTAGCTGTGGCGAGGCCATGTGCAAATAGATGACGGCATGCTGCCGGCGGCACGCACGTAGCTTGTTTGCTGTGAATGGAGATGTGATGAGTACAGATTTTCTGCAGGATGCATGAAGGGCTGACCTCGTGTGAAGTGAATGAAAAAAGACTGAAAGTGTGCGGGAACGGCTGAGGCTCTGGTGTATCTCTAAAAGGGTGCTGAGATCACACTGTAAGAGTGTGACTTTGAGCTGAGAGCCGGCTGTGAACAGAAAATGAGTGAAAGCTTTAAAAGAGAGAAATATTTTTCTCTGACTTTCATATTGAGGCTTTTCAAAGAGATCCTACGTTCATACATGGTGAATGTGTCTGACAAATCAAGATTTGTGTGCACATGCTCCTAATGTCAAAAAAAAGGCTAACTCTAAGCAATGGCGTCTGGCAAATGAGACAGAAGAGAAAGGCGTATATTTTTAGGGTTTTAGGATTTATTCACACATTTTATTTCTTTTTTTTTTCAGGATATTTTTACACTGACAGCTGGACTCTGTCAAAGGCAGTTTAATTCTGCTCTACCACAGCTGAATAAGAAAATCTACATTTTTTATGCCTCTGTCGTTAATTTTTTCTAATCAGTTGTGTTTTCATCAAAGGTGCGCTGCTCAAATTTGTAGTTATATAATTTGCTTTTCTGTTAATGTTTTTAATAACCTTTTAGTTTTTTATTTAGTTTTTTTATTACAGTGCAACTTAAGCCTGTTTCCTGTTTCTAAATTAACCTGATTACAGTCACTTCACCTGAACAGTAATTAAATTTGTGTTCTCTTTACAGTGTGATTAGTTCAGTCTTAACAGAATCAAAACTGCTGTTAAAAGAGCAGGAGGCCCAGATGTGCACCTGTGTGTTTAAGCTCCCCACCTTCAGTACATTTTCACAGAGCAGGTGCTCTCTGCTTTTATTTTCACTTTTTTAAACCCACACTTGGTTTCTGTTTTCAACCTTAGCTTGGATATTCTTTTGCAGATCAGACAAAAAAAAAAAAAAAAAACGAAACAAACCAAGGAAATAAAAATGTAAGTGCAGAGTTTACAATCTGGCAATGCAAAAACATTTACATCAGCCTGTTTCATCAACAGTTATCAGCCTTCCTGATTTATTCTGCATTGATTGATTCCAGAAGAGGTGATCATGGGGCCGTACATCAGGGAGCAGTTTCATGGTGTAAGGAGGGCGAAGTAAACACTTGCGTCTCCACACTTCTTGTTCATTCAGAAAACTTGATTTTATTGTATCAGCAAATACGCTGATGCTTCTTATTGAGTGCAACTGCTGCACAACAAGCATCTTAGTATCTTATGTATGTGCACGCATGTACTGCACCACTATCTTGAGACCAGGTTTTGGTAGTCATTGATGCATTCTGCTTCCAAAGGTTTGATAGTACACACTGAGAAGCGCTTCATGTTCATGATCCCTGTATCCCTCCAGGTTCCACTGTCCACATGCTTAAGTGTCCTTGGGCAAGACCCTGAACCGCAGATAGCTCCTAGTAAAAGGATCAGAGCTCTGACCACATGTATATTTTAGCACAGGCTGCAGATTACAAAACACACCATTCAGCCTGTTTGAGGCTGCATTTTTACAACATCAAGAATTAGGTTTACATTTTATGAGGATAAAGACTGATGTTGCTGTTTAGCTTGGCAGATGTAGTTCATGATCACTATAGCCTCCCTGTCATCATGTGTACTTTGTCCCTTGGCTTTTTAGTCGCACATACTCAATCCTCCACCTGCTCCTCTCCCTGCTCTCCTCTCTCCATCTACTGCAGCAAAGATCTCCGGGAAGAGTAGGCAGACTAAGGCAAATTAGATAAAAGGCCCATTTAAGCTGGTAAAACTTCAATATAACCATAATTTATAAATGGTAAATAGATAGTTTATTAATGTTTAATTATCATTTAAAAACAGCATATAGACCAATTATAAATGGCAAATAGTTTATTAATGTAAGTTAATAGTTACTTTACCATTAACAAGCAATGAAATTGAAATGAAATAATAATTTTCATTAATTATAAATGGACTGTTTATTAAGGGTTAATACAGGGTTTAAATATTGGTTGTAAAACATCTAGAACTAAATGTGTGTCAGGAGCACTTTGTAAATGTTTAATATTTGTTTTTTAAACCATCTATAAACATTAGGGTTAGGTTTTAAAAATTGTAAAATTTACAATTTATTAATGGTCTATATGCTATTTATAGATGATAATTAAACTTAATTAAACTATCTGCTTACCATTAATAAATGGTCTCTTTATCATTTATAAGTTACGGCTATTGTTAAGTGTTACCTTTAAACATTTAGCAATCAGATACATGATTGGCTAAGCAGTCAGCTGATATGAGCTGGCGTTATGGGCAGATGTTCTCGAGGCTGAGCTTGCCTTTTTCGCCTGCCTGAACTAACACTATGCTCAATTTGTACATTGAAATTAATTGCTGTTGCTCTCCTACATGTAAATTACTATTATTTATTCTCAAACAACTAATGAAACTTTGCAAATGTTCTCCTCATGAAAGGATTTATTTGTTTTTTGATAATTTTATTGATTTGTGCCAAATTGATAGTTTTGGTGTTGTTTAAACAGTGAGGAGCTGGCAAAACTCTGAAAACATTCATCTTAAAAATGAAGCGTATTGCCTGTAATCATCTCTGCATAAACACAAATCCGTCTGTTAAATTTATTCCTCCAGCTGCTTGTCTTTGAGCAAACAGGATGTGAGTGGGGACAGAACAAAGACGGCGCTTCTTCAGAAGTAAAAACCATTGAGCAGCAGATTCTCTGAAAGAAAGTGGAGGCTGAAAATGAAACACCTGACAGGCTGACGGTGTTTTTTTTAGCAGCCTACTTATGTATTAACAGTCAGTTAAGTGGCATCTAAAAATAACCTGTTAATGATTTATGGATATTCATCAAGTAAAAGGTGCAACCCTCTTTTGAGCACCTTCAATAACTTGATAGATCTTTACAGCGTGAAAGAACATCCTGCATATGCATTTTTCACAGGCAGGGTGGTTTACATGTCGAGTGCTTCAAAACGATGCACCTGCACCTTCCTCCTTCCCATTAATCCATGTCCCTCGAACACTGGATTTATGACCTCTACTGTCCATAAACAGGACTAACAGTGGTAGCAGAGAGGCAGGTCAATGCGAGGCAGAGTGTAACAGCTGTCAGAGGAGCACTCTCTCATCTCCTCTGTCCATCACATTAAATAGACAGAGCTTTGCAGAGGATGGCGGGGCAGAAAGGGTGTCTGGTGGGAGTAAAATAATGGAGAGGAAGAGCGGAGTGCAGAGGTATGAGAGCTAGAATAAAGGAAATGTCAAGAACTCAACTGGTTCCCATTATGTGAGAGACACAATGACCCTCTTACCTAATTGCTCCTTTTTACACGAGCATTTTCTACAGAGCGTCACCTTCACATGCACACCTTTCATAGGACGTCTGTGAGATAGCTTTATGTGGTTTTCAGCACAAAATATCCTGCTTTATCTCACACTGGTGTCCATGGAAACCCTCATTTCAGCTCTTTTCAGTTTTCAGCATTTTGAAAAGCTTCATTTTGGCTGATTTCCTGCTGATATACAATTAGTTCAGGGGTGCTACTTTTTACACATCTAAGGCCGACACAAAAGTGAACCAGGAATTCAGAGATAGAGCAACCACAGAAACAACTGGACCCAGGTTAAGGGCTCTTGAAGTGGTGCCAATCAAATCAATGAGGCTGTGTGCACCTTTGGACGATAATATGGACCCAACCTGAGACAGCATTTGAGGTTCTCTAACTGTAAACTTAACCCTCTTTCTTTGGGTCCAAACACAGGTACTTAGGTTTGTTCCTCTTCTTCAGGTCCTCCTACTCCTCCTCCTGCCGACTGCGCACCTGAGAGCAATTTGCGCTCAGATAGGAGGAGGGGATTTAGAGGTTCAGGGAAGAGCAGTCGGGAGAGCAGGCAGGCACACCGGCCCACACACACACACCTTTTGCAGTGTGGTAAGGAGTTTGCGCTCCATCTAACTTTTGTTTTCTCCCCCGCAGGTTTGATTGTTTGTTTGTTCAACCGGTATGTTTAATTGCTGGTTTTGTTGCGTTAGTTTGTTGTTTTAGTTTGGGCTGGAGACCACGGTAGTCCAGTTTCCATTGTTTAGTTAAATTAGTTTCCAGAGTTAATAAGTAAGGTCCATTAAGCAGCCCGGTCAGCACCTTTCCCTTTTTGCTCCTTTTGGCCGGGGTCTCCAGCTTTTTTTGTTTGACAGTTTTTCTCCGATCACAGTTTTGTGTCTGTTCAGTTGCTTATGTTATGGTCCCTTTTACGAGCCTTTCCGTATTAAGAGATTAAGAAGGCCGTCACAAGGTTACTATGGTTACAAACTTTTTCACTTTGTTGACTAGGGGTGTAAATCCTTAAAAAGAAAAATCTAAATTTGATTGACTATCTATTGTTGGAGGTCAGAATACTATCAGAAATTTATTTTAAATTTAAGCAGATAAATAACCAGGTCCGTTGATTTACATGGGGTGCTTATTTCAGCCCAATGTGGATCAAAAAAGGCAGTTAAGCCAAATCTTATGGTTTTCATACTCAGTAAAATATGATTGATATTATGCGGTTTGATATTATGTGATCATTCAGGACTGCATATCTGACGTGGAGGGATGCCTTTCTCCACCTTTACTGAAACTTAAAATCCCACCAAACAACGTCAACGTCTGCCAAAGTCTGTGACAAGACAGTGAAGAACACATAATCCTGTTTTCAGTCAAAATACCCCCTCCAAAAAACCAAGTCCATGAACCATTTCCTGGTGGGTCTGGAAGACTTTATCTTGCCTGCACAGAGCCGTGGCCTCAAACCTGTCCAACATCTTTGGAGCATCAACTGCAAAGCCAGACCTTGGCATCTGATCGGCAGTGTTGGACTCCAGTCTTGCTCTTGTGCCTGAATGAGAACAAATTCCTGCAGCCAGCCTCCAAAATGTGGTGAAAAGATGTCCCTGAAGAGAGATGGCTGTTTGAGCATCTGTCGCAGTTTGCTTCCTTATTCCCCTGACTCCCTCTTTGCCATTTTACTTCTAACCTCCAGATGTCTTCACCCTTTTCCCCCATTGCCCTTCAACCCTTTTACTCATCTCTACACCTGTTCGCATGTCAGTCGATGAAACTTTTGATGTCACTCATTTCCAGCTCTGAAGCCTCCTTTACCCTGTTATATTCGTCCACTATACCAGCCTGTGTGTTTGCCCAATGCCGTCTATACCTCCATTGAAGCAATTCACCTTGTGGCTCGAATTCCTATTCTGATGGCATCAAAATAATAATCCTAGTGATACTTTTAGCAATCTCTTATTGGATTCAGATGTAGACAGACATATATAGTGAAAAAAACATGTCAGTAGTTAAGGCTGACATTGCTGTTGTATCCAAAGAACTTGCAGAAAGGGGTCGGACACATTTATTATGTCAATGATTTCACTTCAAAAGGGTTTGCTTCAGAGAGCGTCAGTAGTTAACACAGTGTAAATATTTCAGTAGTTAAGGCTGACATTGCTGTTGTATCCAAAGAACTTGCAGAAAGGGGTCGGACACATTTATTATGTCAATGATTTCACTTCAAAAGGGTTTGCTTCAGAGAGCGTCAGTAGTTAACACAGTGTAAATATTCCAATAATCTCAGTTTATATGGAGATCACAAAACAGGAAGAGACATCAAACAAATAGAAGAAAACAGAAACGAAACGACCACAATCTTTAACGGTATGGGCTTTTACACTCTTATGGGCGCTCACACCGCGTGAGTAAAATCATTTACTCGATTAATTCGTGCAAATGTAGACGTGTGAATGAATTGTATTTACTCGCTTCATTCGTGCGCCAACAGTGATTTCAACAGTAATTCCTGCCAATTCAACCGGTGGGATCAAGTGATAGACAAAGGTTTTTTTTACAGTTTACCAGGTAATCCTCACTCACTTGTCTCCCAGCGAGCTCCTTTCTACTCCAGCTTTGGTAACTGAAAGGAAAGGTGTCATATAATCCAGGGCACCCACACACCGACATGATCAGTTTTAGATTACAGATACCAGTGAACAACCGTCCGTTTTCATACATCACCCGGCAACGTTTGTGCTGATTAGTTATTGCAACGCGAATATCCACTCAAGTTGAGACAATTTCAGCTCCCACCCAATTTGCAAAGATCTGGTTTCAATATGCATGCTCAGTAAGAGTCACATCTTCACCTCAGTGGGTGATGGTGCTTCTGGGAAATGCTGTTCTCATCCCAGTGTGTTAAATCTGTATTTGCGAGACGGGTGTTGAAGCTTTCTATTCAAAGTACAGATGGAAAAGTGGCTTTAATGTTTAATGCACTTTTTTTCTTCTCATGCATTATAATGTTAGCAAAATAGACATATCTTACAGCAGCTGCAAACTTTATTTATGAAACCGGTCCCAGATATTACAGAAACTTTGTAAATGCTATCATATTTGCACCAGTAAACTGCAGAATTGCCTTTTTTTTCCACAACAGGTCATTTCTTGGTCAACAAGTTCCTCAAAAACCTGCCCACATCAACACATCAGACATTGTAAAACCATTTGATTGGCCATATCAGTGCACCAGGCCTCTTCTAACAAGAAGAGCACTTCCACAAACATTTTGAATTATAGATGAGTGTGAAATGGAAAAATGCAATCCCCAGAGTAACTATATGAAAAGTAGCCACAGAAGGATGCAGCAGCATTAAGTCCAGCTCTTGGAAAAATCATTTCAGGCACACATAATGGAACACGGGCCAAATGGAAATCCAGAGTTTTCTTGGCCTGATTCACACATGAAGATGTTGCTCTGACAGGCAGTAAAAAGAGAATATGGAGTTAAGTAAGAAGTTAGAAAGCAAAGGGAGATCAAAAAGGATTTCTCTGTCTGTATTCAGGATCTGGGTCCTTTTGAAGTCTGGATAAATAAGTCAGAACGGGTCAAGAAGCCGTATCTGTTTGACAGGATCTATGAAATGTGGAAGAAATAAAGCCCCTTGCTGTCTGAACCTGATGATGCAAGTGATGCTTCCTCTGCCGTCCGTGTTTTACTAAAAGCTCTGTCTGTAATTTAAGCAATTATGTTTTAATTAAAGAATTGAGACTTTTGAATTTCCCTTTGGTGATCAATAAAGTTCTTTTTTAAAATGGAAATGAGTGAAAGAGAGGGACAGAAATGTTCGACCTCAATACATGGACCTTGATCACTTTTACTTTTGTTTTGTGGAGGGCACAGATTTTTATCCTCCAGGAGAAGATGGGGCGGCAGTAGCTCAGGAGGTAGAGCGGTCGTCCAATGACTGGAAGGTTGGCGGTTCGATTCCCCCCTAATCCAAGTCTGTCCGTTGTGTCCTTGGGCAAGACACTTAACCCACCTTGCTCCATGTGTGTCCTCCACTGGTGTATGATTGTGAGTGTTGTGTGGTGGTGGTCGGAAAGGCCGTAGGTGCAGAATGGCAGCCACGTTTCCACCACCACCAAAGTGTGACTGTGTGAGCGAATGAATGATATATCCAATGTAAAGCGCTTTGAGGGTCTCTGATAAAGCGCTTTATGAAATCTGATGCATTATTATTATTATTATAAGATGGATTGGAATCACTGCCTTCATTAGACAGTATTTCCTTAGCTCTGTGAGGTGAAACAGCTGCATATTCTTGGGTGACTATATTCTAAATCTACCAAAAGAGGACACGACTACACGGCTTTGCGTGCAGTGTTCGAGTGTTTTTTACACGCTTCTAACTCAGTAAGTCTCCGTGACACAAACTAAAAACTTCCGTACAAGACCCCAGACATTTGAAGGATTTATAAACTCCCCCGGACATAGCCGGACAAGGCTGGACAGCCTCCCAAAAAGAGGACATGTCTGGGTAAAAGAGGACGCATGGTCACCCTAGCATATTCAATCTTAGTAATGCCACTTAAACATCATAAAACTCCCCAAGACCCCACATACCAACATGAATGAGACAAAGGAACCAAGTATACCAAACAACTTAAAATAACAGACTCATGAGAGAAAAGTGGTACAGTTATCCTCCGAACAAAGTTCAAAACAAAGAGCTGAACTCCTGCAGACAAATTCATCAGATGCACAACTGATTACCAAATGTAGAGAGCTTACCAACACCTGAAAAAACCGACAACATTACGTTGGTTCATGCCAGGCGTGAATAAAATGTTCCTGTAAGTGAATTAGACACAAGCTCTTGTAGGGCGACATGAATGAGGTGGCACAGTTAACAAATCTGTGACGTGTTCAATGTGCTACTCGCTTGTTTGCAAAATTCGAAAATGTCTGAACTTAAGCAAATTGTTTGCACCTCAATAGCCAATTGGTCATGTATGTCAACAAGGCAGGCAGAGGTTCCTACATCTAAAAAATAGAGGAAAAACTACTTCAGCTATGTGATAAAACTTTTTAAAAAGTTTCACAAAATGGCAGGATGAGGCCCCATCTTTTTTTTGAGAAATAAGGTCAAATCCTTACCGCCTTTTAATGACAACAAACTTTTCCGGTTACTTTGTATTCCACACATTGAAAATCCCACCAGAACTCCTTTTCAAAGTTATGACACCTTTAGCTTTGGTGCCTTAGAGATGACATTGATTCACTTCACACGGAAAACAGGTCGATCCTGCTTAGAAGTGAGGCGCAGCTCACAAAGACGCCTACAGCTTACAACTCCCACCCTTTCTTTAGTCAAAACCGAGCTCATATCCTGAACAAACGATGAGAAATAACATCGGTGCTTTACCTTGGATCACAAAACAGAAGACAGGTGAGCTATTTGAGGCCTTTCACAGCTCAGTGGTCATTGATAAGAAGCAAAAGGACACCTGTGAGGAGGCTGAAAGAAAGAAGAAAAGATCTGGAGTGACGGTAAAAGCAGGGAAATGCAGCAAAGTCCCTGAGACAGATGGCGAGGAGCGCTTGAGAGGATTTTCCCCCATTATGAAAACACCACAAAGCTTGAAACTCCAGCTGTGAGCGGCACAAAGCGTACCAGCAGCAACCACCAAGAGGCAGCAGCCTGCCAACAAACAGCCTCTAATGAATGGAGGAGCTCGCATCAGAGGCTCTGGGACTGTGGATGGAGCAGCACGGCTTTCTGCAGGTGCATAAAAGCGGCTGGCACACGCCTGTCTGCATTACCAAACGGTCACGGTGCATTTCTGTGTGATCCTCAGATTAGATAAGATTCAGAGGCTGATCACCGGTGACGTGTGTGAAATGGAGAGAGTGGATTTTAACAGATTTGTCTGGAGGCTGTGGTGAAAATGAGGGGAAAGAAACTGACATCACCCCAGTAGCTGGTTGTGTCTTTATCAACATGCATTCACAAAAGTTGATGAACGAAAATGAGAAAGAGGCATGGAGCCAGAAAGGAGTTAGGGTGCAGTTGGTGCAGCCGAGTGACAAAATAATCTGTGATTAATTTATGCCTCAAAAAAACTGAGTAGATAGATTTCTATAGGTTTTTAAATCAGTTTAGTGTGAAGATAAACTGAGAAAGGAAAATTTACTAAATTTTGAAAGAGAGAAAAAAAGGAGGAGAAATTCCCTCGACTATCATCTGTAACATTTTGTTCAGAGTATGTTCAATTTCACAGCAGGTTCCTGTTCCTCGACTACAAATACTGTTTACCTGTCATGTCAATATGGCCTCTCTTTCCAACTGGAGCTGACCGGTCAAGCTGCGTTTCTGTGTGAGCGAGAGAGTGAGTGTGTGTGTGTGTGTGTGTGTTCATCCTGTAAAGCATGTGTGTGTCCATCGTACCTCATTTAGCATTGAGAGGCAGTCGTGTATTCAACGACCGAGCCAATTTCAGATTCCATTTTGGCTCAAATTAATCCAGGAGCAGGAGAGTCCCATACTGAACTGAGTACTCAGATTGCGCTGGATTTTGAAGGATTAGCCTCTCTGCTCATGATTTTCTCTACCTGAGAGCAGCTCAACCAGGAGAAAGCTGAAGACACTCTATAATAATGGCCATGATTTTTACAAGAGATGAGACGGGAGGCACGTCTTTATCCATCTGTATTTTCAGAAAATATGTTCAGCTTTAACCTGTCTTTGTACTTAAAGTCATATTATAAGTTTTACTTAACCAGTTTGTGCTTTATTCTCGAACAATTCAGAGTTTGTCAGCAGTTATTTTAGTATAAGTTAATAATTGAATAAAGTACAATTTCTCACTCTGAATCCCTTTCATGCATGGATCTACATCACAAATATTATATTTTATCCCACTTGTTCTAGGGTGCTCAAAGACTTCTGTGACGATAAAATTGTGACGATGAAAACATTTTAACCTCCAAAAACATACATATCTTGCATATCTGTTAGCTTTCAGGCGCTGCTCTCCCGAATTCTCCCAAATTTTAATGAAAATTTTGGCCAGTTTCAGCACAAGTACATGTGCTACCAAGAGCTTATAACTATCTATCCATTGTCTGTATCACTTATCCCCTCAGGGTTGCAGGGAGGTGAGGGTACAGCCTAGACAGGCCAGCCAGTCCTTAAACTGCAGTTCCCAGAATGGCAACTTGAGGCTGGCTGATGAAGCACCCAAAACCCGGCAAAAAGGCCGTTTCGGAGCAAAAATAAACACGTTCACAGCCTGGTTCAAAAAGGTTTCAGTCTGAGTAGCTCTCATGGCACCCACTCTACAGGGAGTGAGAATAAAGGCGGGTGATGTGAATGACTCAGACTTGTTTGAACTGGTTCTTGATTACCATCTTTAGTACTATCCAATTACAATGAATTTTCCAGATACAAATACTCTGTGGGTTTGTTTTGTTGTTATTTACGAATTCTAAAAGCAGAATTCAATATAAATTTTGCTTACATACGTCTTGGAAATTCTCTTAATGTCTCCACACACCAAGTGTGAGTAAAATCATTAATGTGGATGATTTACATGTTAAGTCAATGCAAAGACGCGATTAGATGCTCCTACTACTCTGGCTGCTCAAATGAAAATGCGGGAATTGGGCGTGATATTCTGCGGTTGAATTGGCAGAGATTACTGTTGAAATTACAATTGACATGCGAATGAAGCGAGTAAATACTATTCATTCACACGTCTAGATTTGTGCAAATTAAGTGAGTAGATGATTTTACTCGCGCTTGGTGTGAGCGCCCCAGTGGGTTTGCTAGTTTGCGCCATCTCTCCTGCATTTGTTTGGTAGATATTCTCATCTTTATTTTTTTTCACATTTTTGCAGCATTTGCGCATTTGTCATACCTCTCTGAAGCGTCATCTCGCGCTTGCAGCTCAGGTTTATTCTTGTATTTGTTTTCGATCTCCTTGTATGTTTCAAAATCTGCTCGCTGTCTCAAGCTGCAGCTGGTTCCTCTTGTGATTTGGCATGTTTGCCCTTGTGGGTATCCATATTCAGAACCTCTTTAAACTTTGGTTTTGCCCTGGTACTTGGTGGATAAATACACAGAGAGCTCAGAGGATTTGGTAAATAACACAAAGGAGCAAATTGTGCAGTTGAAGGTTTCTGATGAAAAGACCCCATGGAGATCTGGATTTGAATCTGTTTGTAGACACTGAAGGTCCTGTATTATTCCTGTTGTATAATTTTCTTTTACATACACATTGATTAAACCAGCATACTCAGTGTTGTGAGGGCTTTTATCTCAGTACTACCTCCATTTCTGAAAGTGGAACAGCACGGGAATCTTCAAGATTTAAGCTACAGCACCACAAAAACAGAAGATGCTTGACAAGAGGTATAATGTGTGTACACAGTGATTGTCCTGCAGATGTGGGTAAATTCATAAACAGCAGGCCACACAGACATCATGAAACATTTGCTCACAAACTCAGATAGGTTTTTGTTTCTGATGCAACTTCCTCCAACTCTGAGTCAGAATCAGGCGAAGCTTTCCATCACAGACTCAGAGATCTGATCTGAGGCCGCTCCAATTATAAAGGACACTTCAGGGTGCAGGGAGCCAGAAGAGCTTTGGTTATCTCACAGCTGAAGCACACAGTTTGATGAAGTGGGTTTTTCTCAGTTTCGCAATGCTCTTTATGGCAGCTTGTTTAGGCCACAGATTTGTAGGCATAAATATTGTAAAGAGTAGACTTAGAGTTAATCATGAGTGACTATAAGAGCAGAACTGCATTTGAAAAGTTTTTAATTTACGAACAGCTTAATGTTTTACAGATGTTTATTCAAAAGTCTGATTTAAATTAGTAGCTGTGAAAGTAATATTGCCATTACTACAAATCATCCGCCAACATGGTCTGAAGTTCCATCTGTATGCAGATGACACTCAGCTCTATCTCGGCATAAAACCATTCACCCGGTGTCCATAACATAAAGACCTGGATGACACACACTATCCTCAAAGTTGTGCCCCCTAGGTTCTGCTCAGGAAAGTTGGATATGTTGTTTTCGAAGTAGATAGGTGCACCATCCACCCATCCTCGAAGGTCAGCAGCCTGGGTGTTATCATGGACTTCACCCTTCTCCTCTTTCTCTCACATCAACTCATCGCTAAATCCACCTTCTTTTATCTGATTACTGCTATGATTACTGCAGTGGAGTCCTGTCCGAGGTACCCAGTAAATCCATGGACAGGCTCTAGTAATCTTACCTGCACCAAGCCTTGGCAGCACAACACCCCAACACTCATCCACCAATAAAATCTTGTATCATACACAAAATACTACCCCTCACCTACAAATCCAGTATGGACGGAGAGAAAAGTTTCGCTAACTGCATATGTGACTACTCATGGTAGTTTTTGTTGGCATTGGTGTTGCCCATTTGTTGATATGTATGCTACTAGTTTGTTTAGGTCTGCTTGGTACTGTTAGGTTTAAACAAATGTTTAGAAAGCGTGAGGAAGATCAAATACATCCTTTCTCGCCACTTCATGTTGGGCATAGGGAAAACTGTCCACTATTAGTGCTGCTCAAGAAGACACTCCATATGCATGCAAACAAAATTCTCCTGTGGTCTTTTCAACGTGACAAGGCCCTTTAATCTTGACAGTTCATGAATAATAAGCCGTGTATAAGTACGTTCCCTGTAAGTTTGATCAGTGTGCGGTCTTTCCTGTGGAGATCTTTCTAAGGCACTGCAGTGTGAAACAAATGAACATACAGACATGACTTCATACAGTGCGATCGGCAGTGATAGATTCATGCATGAACACGCACATGCTTGCAAACAAGATGGCAGGTGACTGAGCAGTGAGCAGTGAGGCAAGAGGACACATGCACAGAAACACTCCTTTTTACCACCTCCACCACAAACACCACCAACGCTTTAGTCGTTCTTGACATTTTTTCATTTTCCCACCGGCTAGCGCCCTGTTCAAGCCCCACAGATTACAACGTCATCCTCCAACACCTCTGCTATCTGGCTTTTGATTTTGCATTTTGCTCACGTAACAACGCACCGCTGTAATGTCTGTGGGAAAAAAAAGGCACTAAGGAATCACACCGGTATGACTGATGGAGTTTAAGGTCAGGTGGGTCTGGAGTGGACCTGCCTGCTGTCCGCCCTGCTGGGAGACACTCTATTAAGTGGTTGCCCTGTTTCCACAGAAAAGGAAATCTTATTCCAGGGGTCACATGTTATAAACATAATGTTAGCAAAAAAAAATGCTCCTGAGACATTATGGTGTATAACCCTTTGGCTCATTATTAAATTCTGTTTGTGAAAGGTTTAGGTGGGTGCCTATCATTACTGGAGGGAGGTGATTTAGACAGCTTCAACTATCTTATGGATTTAAAACTTCTGATTGACTTTCCAGACACTTAGAATAAAACTTAAGTGATTTAACATATTTTAATAACATCTAAATTCCTGTTTCCAAATAGTGAAACCACTCTCTTGGTTTGAATTGTATTGGCAGTGAATCCCCGACTTTCCTATGACATGCACTAATGGTGTATTTTACCTTAATTTAATTTGCACAGTTTTCTCTGTTGTCTCCATGATTTCCCTCATTCCTCAGTCCAAAAACAAATTCAAACATGTAAAATTACATGCCAGCTAGTGCTCTTTTCCTTTTAAGTTTAATGTGGGAGAGTAACAGTGCTTCTTGGATTTGCAGCCTGGTCTGAGAGTGTCTTTCAACTGATTTAGTGACCGTGACTCTTGACAATTGTCACTAAAATCCAAGGTTTTTGCCAAAAATTCAAACCACTCTCTTGGTTTGAATCGTGTTGGCCTTCGTTGGCAGTGAATCCCCAACTTGCCAATGACATGCACCAACAGTGTATTTGACCTTAATTTAATTTGCACAGTTTTCTTTGTTGTCTCCATGATTTCCCTCATCCCTTCAGTCCAAATACAAATTCAAACATGTAAAATTACACGTGAGCTAGTGCTCTTTTCCTTTTAAGTTTAATGTGGGAGAGTAACATCGCTGCTTGAATTTACAACCCGGTCTGAAAGTGTCGTTTAACTGATGTAGTGACCGTGACTAAAATCCAAGATTTTTGCCAAAGCTCGATCAATATGATAAAAAAAACCATATAATTTCTGACAATCCCTTTACAACAAAAGTCCTTGTTTTAGTGTTTTATGGTTTGTTTTTTAGTTATTTGTTTCTATGTTTTTAAATTAGTTTTTAAAAACATTGAAACTATATTTTACTTTTAATTCTGCTTTTATTTTATCCATTGTTTTAATTGTTTTTTGATTGTTTTTTATCTCGTTGTTTTGTCTTGTTATGTACAGCACTTTGTTCAGCTGTGGTTGTTTTAAAGTGCTTAACAAATAAAGTTGAGTTGCGTTGAGTTGAGTTGAGTTGTTTGTACTCTTGAAATTTGAGCCATAATTTAACACTAATAACAACACCAATATATTTGAGCTTATTCAAAAGTTTCTAAATTACATATTTTCCTCAAACAAATGGATGGAGTTCCAGTTTACAGCAATGTGATGATTACCACCCATTTGTTGCAAATAATTGAAATGATTGTGCCACCATGTCAGGATGATTTGGCTTGTCAGAGTCGTCCAAGATGATTGCAACACTTGAACATTATTTGATGTTAGGTCTGTGAAGCAAGCTGAAGGTCAGACTGATGGTGAATTTTTAAAGCTACCTCTGCTGGATCAATAGCACTTCAAACAGTCTGCTCTTCTTCCAGACTGTGTTTCACTGAGTTGTAATGCTTTATATATAATCTTTTCAACCAGTGTTTGACAAAATTTTAAAATTTTCTAAACCTGTCAGACTTGGTCTCTTCTCTTGGCACACACACTTTCTCTGCATCCGTTCAAAAGATGACTAAAGAGTTTTCACCAGACTTCCTCAGTCGCTTGGTCACACATCCCTTTTTGGCCAACCTGTCCTCCACACTTCAGAGCTGATTTCATGGGTGCTCCAGGGCCAAAGCACCAGTAAACCACGATGGAACCATGGAGCTTTTTGGTTCACCCAGCCATCACCACACTGTGTCAGGAAACAGGACCTCAGATAAAATTGCAGACCAATGAATTCAATGCAAGGTTAAAAGTAGCAACACTTTCCTCATCATCATGGAGCTTGCCCAAACCATCCAAACTAATTCTTACTTCCTGGTGTCGGATTTTAAGAGTAGTTTAATTCATTAGGCTTGCCTTTTGACTCACCACAGAGGTGGTCCAGCAAACTTTTCAGAGCTCCAGAGACTCCCTTTAATCTGTGTGCCCTCCTGCCCTTCGCTTAAGGTCTCCAGCTATTAAAGATTTTTGGCTTAGGCTCTGTCCTCTTCTCGGGCCTTGTCCCTCAGGTTCCCTAGCTTTGGCTCTGCCCTACCTCCAGGCTGTCCGAGGTCCCACACAGTCATTCAGTCGTCCTTTACCCTGTCTGAGAGATTGTATGGAGCTAAAATCTCACTCCAACTCTGCATGAGACAAGCTTGAATATATCATTGCCTAGTCCTGATGATCATATTTTTATGAAGGAGCACTTTATGAAGTGAAATCACTTTCCTTATCATAGATGGAGCATGTGATAATCAACTATTTTGGCTGTTGACTGTGTTTAACTGACCCTTTTGCGGCTTACTTTACAGTTTAGTGTCACATATTTTCTGTTTGTTGGTCAAACTGTGACTTTGAGCAAATATTATCTTTTGACATTCAAGCTGGGAAAACTTCATGAGTATGTCACTGCTGTGTTTTGTAACCTTTTAACTAACTAATATAAATATTAAATTAGGATGTATTTTTTAATTCACTTCTTATAATTAATGAAACAATGTGAGATTAACAAGGTAATATATATAAATTTTTATCAATAGAGCCATCATTTCATGACTTAACAGTTTTAATTTTGGTGTAATTTACTGACATTAGGAGGAACTTGAATTGTAGATTTGACTTGGACTCGCGGCTGAAGACTGAAGGTGTGACCTGGAATCACAGCACATGGACTTACGAAGTGACTTAGGCTGGTGGCCAGAAAATTTAAGACTAGTCTTGGATTAGTGACCAAAGCTTTGAGACTGGACTTGAATTTGCCCTTCAGACACGCAAGGATTGACTTTGACTCATGGCCAAAGACTTATCACATCACAGAATAATCTTGAAACTTGGCTAGGATTTGTGACTAAATAAAGTTTGGACTTGACTTGGACTTGTAGCCAATGATTTTAGACTTGATCTGGACTCATGGTCAAAAACACTTGAGACCTGATTTGGACTCAAGTGTCCAAAGTGTCAAAACAATGTGGACACTTGGCTTGGACTTGTGGCCAAAGACCTGAAAGTAGACTTGGCCTTGCAAAAGGTGACGTGTGTCCGTATATGGTCAGATCAAGTGAAACAGGTAAAGTATGATGAAGGTGAAGAAGCGTTTATGAGCACTTACAAAAAACAGTCTATTCTGTTGTTTTTGCAGGTTTTACAGACAATAAGCAAAGACGGTCAAGGACACGAAACAGGGCAGAAAAAAACAGCAACAGGAGATCAATTATCAACAGCCAGAGGCAACAGATGAGGAACGGCAGCTTCCACGGTGTGGAAAAAATGAGGAAAAACTGTCCTTATGAAGGCCTGAATATGTTATGAGTTTATGGAGAGCAGCTGTGCAGACAGGTTTTTGATTTACAGACTCCCATCAGCTTTTATCACTTTGGTCTATATCTCAGGGTTAATTTCTCCGCCTCAGTCTAGTGTATTCAAAAGTGGAAAATGATTCTTCAAAATTAGCATTTCAATATCAAACAGACGAGAGTTTGAAATCATTATAGAGGTATTTTATGGACTATAACTTCTGATTTCCAACATTATGAATGTCTAAGATGATCAAAGATCAGAGCCTGTGTTTGGTGACGTAAATCTGGAGAGTTATGCCCCCCAAAAAGAGCCATATACATAACAGAAAGAGGGTCTGAAGTTGGCATTAGTGAATGTTGTCTCAATCAAAACCACTTTTATCCCAATGATAAGGCTCTGGCTTCTAATCATCAGTACAGCTCTCTCCCACAGAGCTCTGCTGCTCCAGCACATTTTAAGTTTGCAGAGTAATTTGTTACTGTGTTCGGGGACATTTTTATGATGCCCACATTCATTTCCGCTGAAGCGCTTTCCGCTCGGTTCCTGCTTGAAGTGCATTTAAGGCAGCATGTGATGCATTTCTGTTGGCACCAGTATGGTAAAAAGGTTTTTTTTTCCCTTTTCATTTTATAAGCCACTCAGCCATTCTGATTCATAGACCATAATGCACCGGGCTCTGCTTTTTGCAGTTTGAACTGGGGGACTGGGGCAGGAGGTTTGCTGAGACCAAGCTAATAGACTGAATAACATCCGTGTATGATGGAACAAACAAAAGTAGACATGACTCAGCGAGAGTGGAGAAGTTCAATCATAGGTTAATAGAAAAAAATACATGTAAAGATTCAAATCTATGCCCTCATAAGGACAGTTTGAATGTATGAATGAGCATTTAAAAGAGATGTATGAAAAAGTACTCCAACAATAAAGCATCAAATACGGCACTCCTGCAGGACAAGATAAGCAAGAACAGCTTTGTAAGTTCTTCACTGGAACTTTAAAGATGCTACCTTACAAGTAAACTCTTTTTTTGAGAAGTAATGGCAGCAGTAAGTTAAGTTTTGTTGATCTAAACTAAAGGATTACACCTGATATTTCAGATAAAGGCTGATTTGACACTGCCTGCACTGAGGTAGCTGTGATGCTGGAATAGATGGCTTAATACCAAGAATGCAGCTTTAAAGCGTGGACATGGACTAGGTTTAAAGGAAAGTTTCATATCTGTTAATCCTGTGATATTTGTAACCACAACAGCTTATACGTAGACAAAAAAAACATGCTTTTACAAAAAAGGAAAAAAGACTGATATCAGCTGTCCACTTGTCTCCGGGCAAGCAACATTTAGAGATACTGAAAAAGCAAGAGGTTTGGTGGTCCACGGTGGTGGCGCATGTGGATGCAGTGGGCCCTCTCTGTCCGAATAGTTTGATGTTTTGTTCTACCTATGACTGTTTTTTGCATGGAAGTCTGAAGCTTTCGTCGAGCAACTAACCTGAGCCGTCCGTCCATCTCTTCAGTTTCCCTGGCTAATATCTCTGAACAATAAACTGGATCACATACGACTGCTGAGGTCTGCCCAGCATGGAGTGAAGGGCTACTGTGTTTTGGTTTGCACTGAGACATGGCTGAATGATAACATCCTGGATCCTGCAGCTAGAGTAGCTAACTTGCTACCGAGCCAACAGAGCCCTCAGGAGGAGATTCCGCAAGGGTCGAGTGTGTGTTCACATCAATGATGCTTGGAGTTGGGATGCTCTGTGGTGGTATCTAGACACTGTTCACCCCTGGCAGAGTTAATGATCATAAAGTGCCATCTTCTCTATCTGCTGAGGGGATTTACTCCAGCCACCCCATGCACAGCCTGTTAAGCCTTCTTCTGCCCAGTGGGAGAAGGTACAGGAGCCTCTGAGCTACTCCACCAGACTTGTGAACAGCTTCAACCACCAGGCTGTCAGAACGCTAAACTCTGTACCCTTGCTGCTCCCAAAAACACTGAATTC